GCCAATATAAATCCTCTTCTGTTGTTCCATTCATGTGTTGGCTCACTTGTTGTAAAATCCATGTNTTTTGATCTTTGAAAAATTGACGAATATTACTTGACATTCCCAAAGTTCTATTCTCCTTAGCATTCCACCACGATACACTATTAATATTCACAAAATGATTGTAAATTCTCTGCATTGTCAAATAGCCTTCCAAATATCCAGCCCCCTGAGCAATAGCAAAGTCTTCCACCAAACTTGTAGATTGTCTCGTCTCTAAAACCAATGTATCAAATCCTTGTGCATGTAACTGATCATTATATTCAATAGTAGCCAAACCAAATTTTAAATCCTTCACTCCATGAACAATTTTAAAATTAGGATAAATTGTAGCAGTAATAAATAATTGCTTGTTATTATTCTGTTGTTTGATGGAGAATAATTTTGATGTTTTTATGAGTGGAGTCAAGGCATTAACCCGATCCGATAATGATGCTGATGACACCAAAACGAAAGCGATTATCAATGTAGCAAGAAGTAACGGAAAAGTTAATCTTGACATTTTTTTATTTGAATTTTTTGAAAATAGGATTTGAAATGTTTACAAACATTATTCATTGAACATTGTCAACTTTGGCCTTACTTGAATTCACTATTCAGATTTGACCAAGGAGAAACTTCTGATACAGAGCTTTAATGTTAAATAAATTTTTTTGGAAAGAGCCATACATATTCATTTTGTAAATAATTTGCTGCTCTTTGTGAAACTTCATACTCACCAAAATTCATACCATCATTATATTGAGATGATGTTGAAAATATTCCTATACTGTTAGTACTTGCATTAATTATTTGTAAATTTGGAAACAATTGTTGCAACCACCATGTATGGTTATTATCAAAAGGATTACGAATTAGTAAAGTTTTCAATTTTGGTAAATTTGATATTTGAAAGAAATTTAATTCTTTCAAATTATCTGAATGAATTGAAAGTGTAGTTAGTGAATTAAAAGTAAAAAATGTTTCACTATAAAATTCCAATGTAATATAAAGATATTCTAAATTTGGTAATTTACAAAGTAATTTCAAATCAATTTCACTAATAGGATTACTAAATGTTAAATCTCTCAATGTTGATATTTTAGAAATGTGATGAAATATATTCTTATTATATTTTAAAGAAATGTTAAGAATTAATATTTCTAAATTTAATTTACTCAATTCTGATAAATCAATATTATATTCTGATTCAAAATAAAAATATTTAATATTTTTAAATGATTCCACATTTAATCGATCAGGTAAATGAGTTTCATTAAAAAGATTTAAATGTAAATATTTTAGAGATGGCATTTTCACATTAGATGCTAAATTCCATGGTTTTGAATATTTTGTAGCGGAATAATGTTTTTTTGCATATTCATCTATATATAATAATTCTAATGAAGGAAGATTATCAATATTTGTCATCATTTCTGTTCTATTTAAAAATAATTTTTTTAAATTTTGTAAATTTTCACTCGAATTAAATTGTAATTTTTCAATAGCTTTTCTAATAGTTCCAAATCCAAATTCTTGTAATTTTGAAATATTATTTGAATTTAATACATTGCTAATTGATTCTAATGTATAAATATAGGTAATATCAAGAAATAAATATTTTAAATTTGGAAATGAATTAAAATTAAATGTAAAATTATGTAATTTTCTATTACTTGTTGTATAATATTCTTTTACAAATATTCTAATATCAATGAGATTGGATATTGTTGTTGTTGATGGATTAAATATTCCATTTAATAATTTTACAATTTTTTTTTGATTTTCAGGTAATAATTGTAAATGGAGTGTTTCTAATTTATGACAATGTGTACTCAGAAATAATTCCGTGCTAATTAAACATTCTGTTACTACCGTTCCTAAACTTAAATGTTTCAAATTTGGAAGTGCAATAAATAAAGCACGTAAATCTTTCTTTTTCATTTTACAATTTAATCCTAATTCAGTTATATTAGATTGTTTTATAGAATTGAATGGTATATTATTTTTAGCAACACAAGAATCAATAAATAAACTTTGTAATTTCATTGAAGAAAGTAGAGCTTTAAATGTTGATTCAGGTACAGTATTATGGAAAAATAATGTTATGGAAGAAAAGAATTTAAAAAACTCAAATGCATTAATAATAAATGTACAATAAACTATTGAATATGAAGAGTTTAAAATATAATTTGTAAATTCCTTTCGGAATGGTTGTTGAACAACAAATCTCCAATATCTACAAACAAATGATATTTTTATATAATCTTGTTGATTGAGAAATTGAAATATTATTATTAAAATATCATTGGGAATAAAATTATTGTTATCACTATTATTATTGTTATCAGTATTGTTATTAGTATTATTAGTATTATTATTGTTATTCTTGTTATTGTTGTGTGTCAAAGCCTTGTGCAAAAAAGAAAGCATTTTTTTAATTTTTTGAAAGTCATGAAGAATCTTCCTTCCTTTTTAAAAATTGAAATATTGAATCGTTCGTGTATTTTCCAAACATAGCAATCAACTTAATTGAGACATTAAATCACAGTTTTAATCTGCAACTGGTTGATGATGACCATTAAGATATTTACCTTAATGATCTGAAGTGAGCTTGCTGATGATAAGGTATGATGAAGTAAAATTCCACAACTCGATGAATACAAATAATCCAACTCTCTTGATGGTGATATTAGATTAGACATCCCTAATAATCATACAATGTTTTTGGAATTCATGATGAAAATATATTAATTAGTTGAAGAAATTCCTAATGAACAAGTATTACTATTAATATAAAAATAAATATAATGTGATGTTGAATTACAGCTTAATGATAATGTTTGATATTTCCGAGGTTGGCAACTTTCTTCATTCCAAGAAGAAACACCATCACACAATATTGCTCTTATTACTTTTGGTGAGATGTATCCCAGCTACTCTAATTGAAATATTCCAAATTGATGCTGATTTATGTTGATTGAATTAAATACCAATGATGATGAGTAGAGGTATTTCTTGAAAGTACTGAGAGTTTAATTTCCTTAATGGATTTTCAAATAAGAGTTCGAAAAAGTGGCTTTGCTTATTTTTTGGTGTAGAAATTTTGGCGCGTAACATCTCTCACATCAATCACACGAATGAGATTTCATTTCCGCCGATCTAGCTAGACAAAACCAATGAATGCAATGCTGAGTAAGCACAATATTTGTTGTAACAATCTATAACAAAATAAAAGGTGTACAAGTTTATTAATGTCTCTTGTATCAATAACAACCGAGAGACCACTCTATAAAAAAAAATGAATCAATTCACCATTCACCATGTTGATCAAGTAGTGGACGACGAAACAGAACCTAATAACACTGCTTTCGGTATTAATTCTTCTAAATCACAATTTGTTTACGGATGCGGAGATGGATTCTGGAAGAAACAAAGTGATATTATTACTGTTACAAAATTAAATGATACATGTTTTGATAAAATTGATTATTTACAAAATTATTTAATTAATGATAAGATTATTAAATTTAAAAGTCAAGATCAATTGTGCATATTTCTTACGCGTAAGGGATATGTTTACAAAATGGGAAATTGTTCATTTATTAATAATATTTCTAATATTCCTACATTGATTAAATTTAATAATTTAAATACTAGTGACAAAATTATTGATTTTGCGATTGGTAAAGAACATGTTGTATTTTTATCTAAATTAAATTCCATATTTGGTATTGGTAATAATGAACATGGACAATTGGCTATCATTGCTAAAAAATCAAATGATGTAGCCGTTAATTTATTACAAAATACAAATTTAGAAAAGTTAAAAGTAAACAAAATATTTGTAACATTTCATTTGACATTTTTCACAACATTTGAAAATGAATTGTATGTTTGTGGAATGAATGAATATTCACAATCATTCCAACCATTTGTAATTGAAAGTATTGTAAATGGTAAATTACATGTTGAAGATTATTTTACCTTAAATAATTTTATGAATGTTACCAAATTAGTTAATAAGAATATTGAAGATATTAAGGATATTAAATGTAATGGAAGAACTAGTTTCATTATTTTTAATGATTCTTCTATTGTAAATTCTAGATTATACTTTAATTGATTATGGCTTGGCAGATTATTACAATCCTAAAAAAGTAATTAAATTACATAATAATTATAATGAGTTTAAATTTGAGAAAAATTATGATCAATTAATATTGAATGAATATCAAATTTTATCGTTATATAATAATGAATGCAAATATATTGACTATAATTCTAAACAAGCAAATATGGATAATATTATTAATATGGAAAGTGGTACCTTCCACAGTGTTTTGCAAACAGTAGACCAAAAGTTCTATTCATTTGGATCTAATGAATTTGGCGAATTAGGATATGCTAATAAATCAGCCAATGAACTAAAATTAATTGAATTACCATTTACTATTAAGGAAGGTGATGAAATTCAAATTTGTTGTGGTAAAAATTTTACTATTTTTATTCATGAAACAGATAATGAGAATAGTCTCAAGATTAATGATATTATGGTAACTGATAATTTTAAGTTCAATTATGAAATTAATTCTAATTTTTATTTAGATTTAAATTTATTAAAAAATATTTCAAATGATTTTTATAATTTAATTAAAAATGATATAATTGAACATTTAAATGAGAATGACCAAAAAGTTTTATATTATTTAATTAAAAACGCAATTATTGATTTAAATTGTTTAAATATAGATGATTTATTTAGTAATTATGATAAATTTATTAATTTCATTTCATTTGGAGAATTAGAATTAAATTTAGTAACTTGTCTATTTATATTAAATGATATTAATGATATCAAGCATGAAATTAAATTATTGTTATTTAATGACATTTCAAATAGAATGAATGTAGATAACATTATGAGGATTTTACGAATAGTTAATAATTATCTTTCTTTAAATATTTTAAAACAAGCTAAAAATAGTATTTTGCTATTGTTGGCAAATAAGTGTCTTGCATTTATTAAAGAAAATGCAACTTTATTGAAATCAGATCCATTATTCGAAATTATTCAAGATAAAATTAATAATGTTAAACAACCATTTAAACAAATTAATTATAAAATTGATAATCTTGAAAATATTGCCAAAAATGTAACTGAATCATTAAAATTATTATATAATGATGAAAGTAATAGTGATATTCATGTAATTATTAATAAGGATAAAAATGAATTATTGCAATTACATAAATCAATTCTATCCGTTCATAGTTCAGTTTTAAATATTCTATTTAAAAATAATGAAAATAATGTGGTTGACTTGTATGAATTCATTGAAATGATGGTATCAGATCATTGGATTATTGATTTGTTCAATAATTCAGCTAAAATTAATACAATATTACAAATCATATGTAAATTATGTTATGGATATGAGTTCAATTACCTTAAATTGAATGATTTGGTTGGTATTTTAATCATTGCACAACAATTGGATATTACATGGATTGTTAAACATGTCTGTATCTTGATTGTTGAAAAATTATATTCCATTAATGATACTGAATTTATTATATTACTAAATTTAGCTTCAGTTTCACAAAATAATAATGATTGTAGAGAGCTAGTTGAGTATTTCAAGATATTTTGCTCAAATAATTTAACTCTTGATTATTTACAAAAAATCCAATTATCTTGTCAAGAAAATATACCATGCAATAATTTCTTGAAAGTTATTATCGATTATTGGTTGAGAGTAAACAGAAAATAATGGAAATGAGGTAAAACCATGGGCCAATCAATAAATAAATAAATTTTCCAAGTTAGAAATCAGACTTGTAAGGATTTAATTTTGGCCTGTCTTAATTCTTCACAAAATTCTCCTTCATTTCTCAACACTAAAGCAATTCCTTATCCTTTTTCAGTTCTTAGGCTTGCAAATGATGGAAATATTACGTTTGAAGTCTAAATTGCTTCAGTTTGAGTCAGGGAGTAAAGACACCCTTTTCTTTCTGAATTTTAGGAACAAAATAATACCTTGTTGTCTCCACTTGGTTACCAGTTTTTTCATAATCTTGGTGAGTTCCTGGGAGCTTGGCTTATTCCAAATGAAAGGCATTTGAATTGGTAAACTTGAAGGAACTGTCCTTTATTCCAAAAGTTCCTTCTTGGGTACAATAAATATAATGTACAACAATATTCTGTTCAATCTCTATAACATTTGAATTCAGCATCTCTTGAACCATCCAAGAGGCTTTTATAATGATGATAAATAACAACTATGATGATGTACCAACTTTTTATTTGAATTTTTTGAAAAATAGGATTTGAAATGTTTACAAACATAATCATTGTCAACTTTGGCCTTCTCAGCATTGGCTTGCTTGAATTCACCATTTGAAACCAAAGATATTGGCTGAAGGAGATCCTTCTAAAAAATCAACTGTGACCAAGGAGAAACCTCTGATACAGAGCTTTAATATTAAATAAATTTTTTTGGAAAGAGCCATACGTTTTCATTTTGGAAATGATTTGCTGCTCTTTGTGAAACTTCATACTCACCAAAATTCATATCATCATTATATTGAGATGTTAAAAATATTCCAAAACTGTCAGTACTTGCTTTAATTATTTGTAAATTTGGAAATAATGGTTGCAACCACCATGTATAGTTATTATCATAAGGATTACGAATTAGTAAAGTTTTAAATTTTGGTAAATTTGATATTTGAAAGAAATTTAATCCTTTCAAATTTTTTGAATGAATTGAGAGTGTAGTTAGTGAATTAAAAGTAAAAGATGTTTCACTATAAAATTCCAATCTAATATTCAGATATTCTAAATTTGGTAATTTACAAAGTAATTTCAAATCAATTTCACTAATAGGATTACTAAATGTTAAATCTCTCAATGTTGATATTTTAGAAATGTGATGAAGTATATTCTTATTATATTCTTCAGAAATTTTAAGAATTAATATTTCTAAATTTAATTTACTCAATTCTGATAAATCAATATTATATTCAGATTCAAAATAAAAATATTTAATATTTTTAAATGGTTCCACATTTAATCGATCAGGTAAATGAGTTTCATTAAAAAGATTTAAATGTAAATATTTTAGAGATGGCATTTTCACATTAGATGCTAAATTCCATGGTTTTGAATATTTTGTAGCGGAATAATGTTTTTTTGCATATTCATCTATATATAATAATTCTAATGAAGGAAGATTATCAATATTTGTCATCATTTCTGTTCTATTTAAAAATAATTTTTTTAAATTTTGTAAATTTTCACTCGAATTAAATTGTAATTTTTCAATAGCTTTTCTAATAGTTCCAAATCCAAATTCTTGTAATTTTGAAATATTATTTGAATTTAATACATTACTAATTGATTCTAATGTATAAATATAGGTAATATCAAGAAATAAATATTTTAAATTTGGAAATGAATTAAAATTAAATGTAAAATTATTTAATTTTCTATTACTTGTTGGATTATTATCTGTTACAAATATTCTAATATCAATGAGATTGGATATTGTTGTTGATGGATTAAATATTCCATGTAATAATTTTACAATTTTTTTTTGATTTTCAGGTAATAATTGTAAATGGAGTGTTTCTAATTTATGACAATGTGTACTCAGAAATGATTCTGTGTTAATTAAACATTCGGTTACTACCATTCCTAAACTTAAATGTTTCAAATTTGGAATTACAATAAATAAAGCACGTAAATCTTTCTTTTTCATTTTACAATTTAATCCTAATTCAGTTATATTAGATTGTTTTACAGAATTGAATGGTATATTATTTTTAACAACACAAGAATCAATAAATAAACTTTGTAATTTCATTGAAGAAAGCAGAGTTTTAAATGTTGATTCAGGTACAGTGTTATAATGTTATGGAAGAAAAGAATTTAAAAAACTCAAATGCATTAATAATAAATGTACAATAAACTATTGAATATGAAGAGTTTAAAATAAAATTTGTAAATTCCTTTCGGAATGGTTGTTGAACAACAAATCTCCAATATCTACAAACAAATGATATTTTTATATAATCTTGTTGATTAAGAAATTGAAATATTATTATTAAAATATCATTAGGAATAAAATGATTGTTATCACTATTATTATTATTATTGTTATCAGTATTGTTATTCTTATTGTTATTATTATTGTTATTGTTGTGTGTCAAAGCCTTGCGTAAAAAAGAAAGCATTTTTTTAATTTTTTGAAAAAGGGCACGAAAAGACTTTTAGGATGCATTTAGCTGAATATTTCATCTTTGACAATTTAATGCTTCAAGATTATATTCAGAACGTAACCTTATTAAGAATGTAACAGTGCAGTGCTGAATTTGTGTGTTGCAACCCACCAATAATAATTCTGCAATACTGAATCAATTACAACAGTTGCAAATATTGAAAGAGTTGCAGGTCTTTGTTTTAGAATGTATTGGATGATAAAGTCTGAACTTTTGAGTGTATTACCTTAATAATTTAGGTTTTCATTATTACAATATTTTTCTATTTATTTTGATTTGAACTTGGTGATATTTGAAAGCAAATAAATGGTTCAAAATAACTTCAGAGAGATAATTATAATTTCTCAAGGGTAAATTGGCTAAATTCATCACATGTACGAAAGTGGGTGAATCATCAAGAATGCAGCGTTGTCTAGTAACGAAAAAGCATCTCACAAAAAAAATAACACAATAATGAAATCTAGCACACTCATTGTTGCTACCGTGTTGTTTTCTGTCCTGTTGGTTGCAAGCAGCTTGAATGCCTTGAGCTTGGAAAGAAGATTGGCCAAAGCTATCGTTCAAGAAATTAGACACCAATTGACCAAATCCTCTTTTTCTGGATTGTCTGATAGTGAATCATTCTGGCCTGAAACTCGTTGTACCAATGTTGATAATGCATTGAATGTTAGAACTTCTCCTGGTGGACAAGTTGTTAAAACTTTAGGACCAGAAACTCAAGTAACTGTATACGAAACTAGTAATGTTAATGGTGTCAAGTGGGCTCGTATTGGAGATAATCAATGGGTTTCTGCTCAATTTTTAAAGATGGCCTGTCAAGAATCATATTCTGGACCTGACAGCAAGACTGGTGATAAGGCAGCTGAAACATTGGCAGAAATATTCAAGAGTGAAGGAAGATGTCAAAATTGGGCAAGTGATTCTGGTAATGAATTCCAAGGAAAGATTGGTTATACATGTATGGGTGTTACTCCATCGTAAGTTTCTTTTCAATTGTATTCGAAAAACTGAAATTTTGAAATTTTACAGAGAATGTTGGAATAATAGAAATGGCTTCTTTGCACCATTTAATAATGGTTTCTCTGGTCATCCAGCTGACTTTTGCTATTATGCCTATAACCAAAATCCATCACTTTACAAATCAAGTGCAGCTCAATTATATTCTGAAAATTATTTTGGACCTGGAGGATGTTCTAACTTACCACAACCTGCTTTCTATGTCTGTTCTGATATTGCTGTCAACTCTGGTACTGGTAGATCAAGACAATACCTTAATGAATTTGGTGGTTACAATGGACAAGATCCAAAAGCTTTCGCCAGACAATTAAACGAAAGACACAGACAAGATTACTTGTATTGGGGAAGACCAGGAACTGCCAATAACAAATTCTTGCAAGGATGGTTGAATAGAGCTAATGATAGAGCTGCCTACATTGATAATTATTAAACTCTCTCACAATTAGCTAATTGATTATATCTTTTATGATTCGACGTTGCTGTCAATAAATTAGAGTTGATAGGAACTTTGAACTTGTATGTATTCATTTGAACAAAAGAGAAGTTCACTCAAAACAACAATTAAAAAAAATGATCTCTACTAATAGCCCTCACCATTCCGATTCCAATACTACTACTACTACTCACGATAATAATATTATTTCATCAATAACACCTCCTCCTCCACCCCCACTCATTGTATCAAATGAAAACAAGAAAATTCTGCTCAATCCAATCAGAAAGTTTAATGTCATTGCTGTTTCTCCAAATAGAAATGTTCCTCCACCTCCTCCTCCATCTGCCAACACAATGAGAGTTCCTCCACCTCCTTCCTCATTGAAATATATTCCAAAGGAAGATGCTTGTTCTTCCTCTGCTCGACCAAAAAGTTTGGCCGAGGAATTGAAATTAAAAATTAAGAAGGAAGTGGAACAATGTAAAGTAGTTCCGTTCAAGATAAATGAAGAGAATGAGACAATTTCAGAGGATGGGTTGAGAGTGGTTAGATTTGTAGTGACGAGTGACACTCATAACAAACATGGAATGTTGAATTTACCACAGGAGGCAGATGTATTATTGCATTGTGGTGATTTTACATATGCTGGATCGAATGCAGAAGTTTCCAGGTTTAATGATTGGCTTGGAACTGTAAATTACAAGCACAAGATTGTGATTTGTGGAAATCATGTAAGTTTCGAATATATTTGACACTATTGGAAATTTATTGGAATGTATTTTAGGAATACCCAAAAACAAAAGAAAAATATGATGAATTACTTTCGAATGCCACTGCTGTATTGGTGAATTCCAGTATTACCATTGAGGGAGTCAAAATATTTGGAACACCTTTCGTCCCTAACATGGGTGACTTTCAAGGTGAAAATTACTTTACAAAATTATTGGACAATACAGGGTTTTACAAAAAGGAAGAGGATTTGAAATCTGTTTATGATTTAATTGATACAGATACTGATATATTAATGACCCATACACCACCAAATAAGATTCTTGATGGAAGTGGAAAGTATGGAAGTTATGCTTTGAAAGAGAGATTACAATATTTGACCAATTTGAAAGTTTCATGTTTTGGACATGTACATGGAGCTTATGGATATCAGAAAGTTGGAAACACTCTATTTATTAATGCTTCATCGGATGGTGTGGAACAACCTATTGTTTTTGATTATATTGTAAAGAAGTAATTGAGTTAAATGAAACTGCAAGATTCCTTTTAATCTTTATTTGAATTTTCCATTTTGAACTTCTTTGAGAATTTCGTGTAGAGTATCTAATTGATCCTTATTTGAAGTGATTTGAATCGTTAATCTTGTTAAATTTCTATTCTTTTTAGAAAATAATTCTCTCAATACTTGTGGATCTGTAAATGCAGGAGTTTCGAGTGAAAATAATTCCAAATTAGAACATCCATTGTAGAGAGATAGAATTGTGGTTGAATTTTCTTGAGTAATTGATTGCTCATCAGCGTTTCCATTTGAAGTAGTTTTGGAGGTCAAAAGTGGTGTGGAAATGGTTTGATGGAAGTTTGCAGGGAATGCTTGATCTAGTTGGAGTGAGAACTTTTTGAGCTTACTCATGGAGAATAGATATCCGAAAGCTTTAGAATTACTAATAATACAATGTCTTAGAGAAAGATTCTGTAGTTGGTGTCTGTAGTGTTTTTGTAAATGTTCAAAGCATTTCTTTTCCTTGAAATTAGACCATTTGAGTGTAATTAGGTTTGGACAGGATTTTCCCAATTGATCCACGAGTTCTGGAGTGACTGACATTTCTGGTTTGAGACAATGCAGTAAATTGAGGACTTGTACGTGAACAAAATTTGGTTTCTGAAACATGTGAGAGATGGATTCGAGTTTTGATATTCTAGTATTTGTAAAACTGATGACATAGATGTGAGAGTTCTTATCAAAAACCTGATTGACCAAACTATCAACAATATGACTCTTGTAATTTGAAGCATTCTTTGGAGCCAAATTGAAACATAGAGAGTTTGAATTTGTGAAGTTAAACTTTAAATTCTCGAATTGGGTACTGGTCAATTTGCATTGTAAATTAACAGTCGAATTCGAGTTTTCTGCCACTATTTGTGGGGAAAGTTTGAGTGTAAAGTGTTCCAATCCATCAAATTGAACTGGTTCATCATAAAATTCCAACATGGTTGGCTCATTGATTATAAGAGAATTCAATTCTGTAAATCTTTCTCTAACAAGGGAATGAACCATATTGGGATAAGGAAATCGTGCAAACGTTAATTCTCTCAATTTGCTAGTTAAGCAATTGACCAATTTGAGTAAAATTCTATAATCAGAACAGTTAATAGTTGGTTCTTTCTCGAGATGGAATTTCCTAAGTTTGTCAAGATTTTGTAATTGTAATTTTTCAATGATTGGATCGCAATTATTCATTGTGGTTGTCAGCAAACTTTTTGCAATAATGATTTTCAGCTCGGTAAGCTTTTCCATTTTTCCAATATTTTCAATTCCCTTGATATTGAAAATGTTGGCAATTTCCAGTGATAATTTTAACATGTTATTCGAAAGGTGGGTCAGATCTGATAATGGAAAGTCAATAAAGTTTAAGAACTTGATATTCTTTGAATATTTGAGTGCTTCCATCATCATATCACTATTTCCTTGGTAATCAATATTTTCCAAATAAAATAAATTAGTCTTACTCTTGTTTGTTGTCATGTGATCGAAACCTAGGTCAAAATTAGAGAGTTTCAACTTGGCACTCTTTACTCCATTCAAGTAAATGTAGAATAATATATCAGAATTGAGCACTGTCTTTTCCTCCTTACTCGTATAAAGTGTATTTTGAATTAAGCTATTCACACGATTTCTATTCAAATCCTCAAATTGTTCATCTGATCGAATAATAAATTTTCTATTACTTTTAGCTCCAGCAACTACCACCTGAGAGGAATTCATCTCTTCCAACAATTGTGTATTGGAATCATGATTATTTAAAGCTGAGGCCAAAATGGCTGGATAAGGAACATTCCATTCCACATAATTCAGTGGTATTCCTCCAAACAAAAACTCCAATGTTGACATTTGATGCAACCAAACAATCATTTGATAGTAATGTTTGTGTTTTGCTTGTTCTTGATCGACAAAACTTTGCTCTATTGATAATGATACATTTTTGAAAAGGGAAACGACTACTCTTTCATTTTCCTCCGACTTGTTAGAACCAACACTTGTTGAACAACTGTCCGTATTAACACTACTACTATTCGAAATACTTGTCAATGAATTAAACAATGGATTCAAAGACATGTCATATTTATCCATAAATCCCAAAGACCTTTCCTTCTTCACCCTTCCAAAAAACAATTTCATCAAAAAGAAACCATTCGTCTTGTTATTTCTATACTTGTGATAAATCATTCTCACTAAAATTGTAAAATACTGAGTCAAATCCAAAATATAATACTCTCTAATAATTTTCAATATAATCCCTGTTGGGAGTGATTTAAAATCGAGTGATGATTTCCCCTTCAGTGATGATGTTGTATTCTTGATCAGAACATCGATCAGATCGGAGGAAGCTGATGAACCTCCCGATGAAGCTGATGAGAAGATATCATCATCGTCCTCGCTGTGATGTAATTTACTACTAAATAATTTAGAATGATTGGGCATATGTATTCAGTGATGATTCAAAGAATAGGAATTTGTTTCTTCTATTTTTTTTTAATAAAGTTTATTTGATGTTTGTCAACCAGAATGCTCTAATTGCCTTGAAGTTTTCCAGAACAATAAAGGGCAAGTGCGAGATCTGATGAAGAGCATTCTCTTTAATGAAGTAAAAAAGAAATTATTGTAATTGGCGGGAAAAAGTCACAAATATTCGAAATTTGATTATAAAAAAATATCAAAAGATAACTAGGTGTCTCTCTCTATTGTAATAGTAATCTTTTCATCGTCAACAGACTTTTTTATCGGATAGGATTGTAGAATAATTTAACCATCTATTTATTAATAATATATTTAAATATTAAATAGTTTAATATTCTAGGCTTTTGATGATGATGGAACATAAAGTGGGAAAATATAAAATTAATCAGGAGGAAATTGTGGCCCTCTTTCAACAAGAACCATTGAAAAAGATTGAAAAGAATTTAAATCAAATTCCTGGATTGTTCGGATTGGAAATTGATGATGATAAATATTTAACTTTTTGGAATGCGTGGTTTAATCAGGAGGAATATAAATTCATGCTGCCTCAATCAAAGAGTGATTTGATTTTTGTGTGTATTATGCATGGTGGACACTTTTCTGGAGCAATTTTTGATCCATCCTTAGGGAAGGCAATAGTTCACAAGACTTTTTCGAATTATGTATCTAGAAAGAAGCAAGGAGGAAGACAATTACAACACGACATTCAAACTGGACATAAGGCAAAATCTGCCGGTAGTGAAATTAGAAGAAATCAAGAGGTGAAATTCCAGGAAAAGTTGACCGAATTATTAACTGAAACTTGGAAGAAATATTTTGATGGAGAAGGTCAACAAAAAGTTTACTGCTCATTCGTCTATTGTCCTGGTAACATTAATAGAGATATGATTGAACAATTATTGTGGAACGAAATGGACCTAAAGAGTCTACCAATCAGAAATATTCCATTCCAAGTGCCAAAACCTAATTTTATGAATTTAATCTCCTGCTATGATAAACTGTGCACAGTTCACATCACTTCAAAGGATAGAATTAGTGAACTCACCAATGATGATTCAACCCTGCTGTCCAATTTGGAAATTTCAGATGAAGAAAGCTCAGAAGACGATCTAGAAAAGACCAAAGAACAACTTCTCAATGATGAATATCTCAAGAACTATCCAAGCCCTCTCTCACCACAATCAGCTACCTTCTCCTCTCCAGTTCACTCACCTAGATCTCCTCTCTCACCAATTTTACAAGCTCTTGGATTTAATATTGAACCAAGTCAACCACTTCCAAAGAAGAATCAAATTCCTCCAAAGATGACCAATGCCATGACAATTGGACAACCTCTTCTCTCTAACAAACGAAAGAAAAACAAAAAACAAGAAGAATGGAAACCACCAGCAAACGATTCTCTCATCAATCAGTCTTTGGCTATTTGGGGTGTAATTTTAGCAGTAGCAGCTGCCACACTTACTATTTACATTTGGAAATTTGCAGATCATGACGAACAGTAAATATATTCCAATACTATATTCATATTTACTATTTAACTTTAGAAAAATCTGATAATGTTCATATCTTACAATACGATGAACAAAGATAGAAAATCAAAGCAAATAAAGCAACCATAAAAAAATAGAAGAATAATTGTGAAGCACTATTACAAGAATCGGAACAAGTAGACAATTCATCAATAGCATCATCACAATAATAATCATCGATAATAATTATACTTCTCCATCATCATCACCACCATCATCATACTAATTGGAATTAATTGTAAATAAAAATGTATGCCAAAAGAATTCAAAAGGAAATTCAAAAACTTGTAAAGGAACAAGAAGATAATCAGAAGAGAATGCAGAGTGGACAAATCATACAGGGAAGTGGAGTTGGTATTGATATTTTCATAAATCAACCAATCAATAATTTAGAAACAATTTATTGTACATTACACGGAGCAAGAAATACAATCTACTCGGGAGAACAATATCTTTTGAAATTTACATTTTCCAATGATTATCCATTGCAATCACCTGAAGTAGTATTTGTACCTCCTCACGTTCCTCTCCATGAACATGTCTATACAAATGGACATATTTGCCTTAACATTTTATATGATGGATGGACACCTGTGATGAATATTCAGAGTGTTTGCATGTCGATTCAATCCATGTTGAGTAGTGCAACTCAAAAGAAGAAACCAATTGATAATGATACTTATGTAATGAGTTGTTCACATTCTCCAAAGAATACTCGTTGGAATTTTCATGATGATAAAGTTTAATTTATGTTTGTCTATTTGCATTTGTTTAGGTTTTCAAGGACAATTTAAGGTTAACTGTTACAATCTATTATACTACTGAGCAATGAATAATTGATTTGAGGATTAGTCTACAGTTCTTTCCTGCCATTAATTAAAAAATGTCATCACAAGAGGCAACATCAACATTATCTGCAAATTCCCACACTAAAAACTGCACCGTAGGTTGGAACTTCAATTTTTTCAATTACGTTCGACACATATTGACATAGGAAATTGTTTACAAACACATTTTTTAAAAGAATGTTAGAATTACTTGAATCTTTGAATATACAGAATACCAACATGAATATATTGTTGATTTATCGGGCTTAACACAAACATAGATCTGCGATTATTTTTCCAATCCATAGCTTCAAAATTGTAATAAGAAATATTTTTAAAAATAATGGACCATAATTTTATATAGCCAACAGTTGAGGTTTTGAGGGACAATTTAAGGATGGTCTTACTGCCTCTCTTAAATCTTCATACTTACCTTGAAGGACTTTCCAATGATCAAGAAGGTTGGAAAGTTATGCAGTCGACGCTTTTCCTTGCACTCTGAAAAGCTGTCCTGTATATGGTCAATTGCCATTGGCTATTGCCCTCCTTCAAAATTTTTGATACGTGAGGAAGTACCTAGTGTGTTTCCTCGCTCTAATAACAATAGAATATTCTTCGGGATGTTAGTAAATAAATTTACTAACATTGCTCAATTTTTGCATTTATGAGTATGATAGAAGCATATTGGATTACACAGGAGCAATACCAAGTTCAATAAACTGCTGTGGTAAATTATTAGATTCTTCTACCAATAAAAAATGACAACACTCCTCTATGCTGGAATTGCTGTCTTGGTTGGAGGTGGCTATTATTTATTATTCAGCAACAAGAAGGAAAATAATCAACTTGATGATGATGAGTGCATGACCGAAGGAACGGATGAGGAGATAATTGTTAATAATGATTTGATACAACAGAAAAAGACAAATACTAGAATGTTTTTATTTCCGAGTCTGTTCACTGATCACAGAATATTTTCAAATCAAAAGAAGGTTTACGGTGATATTTTGCAAGTGATAGATTTATTCGAATTGGATGAAAAAGTATACGGAAAAGTTGATGAGTTGACATTACATTCATATGCCAAACAATTGACAGCTTATATTGTCAAGAATTATGAAAAGGAAATTTTGGATAAGGATTTTGAACAATTCTTTGTTGGTGGATTTTGTGTTGGAGGAATGATTTCAATATTTGTTGCACAAGAATTAATGAAAGGATATCCTGAAATTGCAAAGAAATTGAAAGGTGTCATGTTGGTTGGAAGCTGTCCATCTTTTACTCACTGCGTTGATCCTCGTTATCTAAAAATTAAGAAGGTTGTTATGAATTATTTCCCAAGATTTGTCTTGAATGGAATTGTTAGATTCTACTTGTGGGCCAACAGATATCTCAACAAGATTAGTTCACTAATGGAATCAAATATGGTTTCTGTTTGGAAGGAAGATAGAAATATCATGTTAAAATACAAGACAGTATTGGATGACATGATGTTGGATAAGGATCCAAATTTTGTTTTTCAAATGCTGATTGCAGAATTCAATTTTACTGCTCACGATTTGGATAATACTTTGAAAAAGGATGAACAAGTTGAATGGGATAGATTCAACAATGATCTCCCCATTTCTCATTTACATGGTGATAACGATTATTTACTTCGATCCAACCTGTGTGAAAGCTTTGTCAAGCAACAAGTTTTACCAAATAAGGGTAACTACAGATTGCGTGTAATGAAACACTCTGGTCATTTTCTTCCTCTCACTAGAATGAATGCTGTCACTAATTTTATTTACAATATCATCCAGGGCTCACCAGTTTTATAAATCCATAGTACTCATTTTCAATTAATTAATTTATAATAATTTTCTGCTCAGAACAACTGTTGCACAATATTCTGTTTCATTGCTACTGTAAATTAACAGTTAATTATAATTTAGGGTTTGTCCCTTCCGAAAATTTAAAGTCCAAAATCTATTGATCATTAAAAGTAATATTCCATCATCGGAAATAATTTTAAACATTTGCTTTTGAATAAGTGGCAAAAGTAAGATTTCCATCCTTAACAGGACTTCTCTGAGCAATTACTGATGCCATAATAATAAAGGCATACAATGCAATACAAGCCAATCCTAATACAATACACAGACCAACACCCTTCTTTAAATCTTTCATTTTTTTAATTTTAAAATCAAAATTTCAAATTGTTCTTATTGCAATACAACCAAGCAATGAATTTCATGATTGCAATTAATTAAAATTAATAATTAATTGGTGATCGTATTATGAGATAATCGTTCGTTGACTTCTTGTAAACTTCAATACAACGTCCAAATAGTTCAAATATTTTCCTCCAAAGTCATAGAGATATCCGATTAAGGATTTTCAAAATTAAACATCATCACGAGAATTATGGATCAACACATTAGAGATTATTTGAATATTACAATTCATAGGTTCATCATCCAATTAAAAGATTCTCAAATATATTTAATACCAACAAGCAATATTTCATCATCAAACAAGTTAATTAATAACAGGTATGTAGTTGAAACAATTGAATTACGGAATTGTCGAATCATCCATCAACACATTATTTACACATATGAAGTTTGCACAAAAACTGTAGAAACATGTTGAAGACAACTTGTCGTTCTGAGTGCTTTCAGTGGCCGTTAGAAATTTTCTTGTTTGGCGCTTGGCAATTGTAAATGCTAGTCAACCACAGGGAAGACAGGTTTTGCCGCTCAGCGCTTTGTATCCAAAAAAAATACGAGTCGCATTGTATCAACACTTGACAAGCTAATCGTATCTTGCTCCTTCATCTCTCTCTTGTACTATTGGAAATAAATTTATTGTTGTTAGACTCGACAACAAGAACACATCATCATCAACAATAATATTATTTAAATTATCAGAGCAATTTTTTTGTAGTGCGCTGATTCAAAATTCTTCATAAAACAACAACAAAAAAATGTCTACACCTACAACACCAACGGCTGATATCGACATTGATGCCATCATCTTTAAATTGTTGGAAGTTAGAGGTTCTCGACCAGGAAAACAAGGTTTGTATTCAAAATCATCAAAGAAATGGTTCGAACTTTTTTATTAGTGAGTCTAACTGAAAACGAAATTAAACAATTAATATTAAAATCTAGGGAAATTTTCATATCTCAGCCTGCTTTGCTGGAACTCGAAGCACCTATTAAAATTTGTGGAGATGTCCATGGACAATACTATGATCTTTTGAGATTGTTCGAATACGGAGGTTTCCCACCAGAAGCAAATTATCTCTTTTTGGGAGATTACGTAGACAGAGGAAAGCAATCCTTGGAAACTATTTGCCTTTTGCTTGCCTACAAAATTAAATATCCAGAAAATTTCTTCCTTTTGAGAGGTAATCACGGTATGTATTATTGTTGTTATTACTAGTTTATTAATATCAACAACAACAATAGAATGCGCTTCCATCAACAGAATTTATGGTTTTTATGACGAATGTAAAAGAAGATACTCCATAAGATTATGGAAGAGCTTTACTGATTGCTTCAACTGCATGCCTGTTGCTGCTATTATTGATGAAAAGATTTTCTGTATGCACGGTGGTTTATCGCCAGAACTTCACAATATGGAACAAATTAGAAAGGTTATGCGTCCAACGTAAGTAATCCCTCTGTTTAATATTATTAACTTTTTGTAGTGATGTTCCAGATAGTGGCTTGTTGTGTGATTTGTTGTGGAGTGATCCAGAAGAAGGCATACAAGGATGGGGAGAAAATGATAGAGGTGTTTCTTTCACATTTGGTAATGATGTTGTAGAAAAATTCCTGAAAAAACATGATTTGGATCTTGTCTGTCGTGCTCACCAAGTCGTAGAAGAAGGATACAAATTCTTTGCCAAGAGGCAATTGGTGACGATTTTCAGTGCTCCAAATTACTGTAACGAATTCGATAATGCAGGTGCAATGATGTCTGTCGATGAGACTTTGATGTGCTCATTCCAGATTTTGAAGCCTGCTGTCAAGAAGAGTTATTATTATTAAATTTATAGTCAAATAGGATTGTATTTGAGATTGAGATTTACTAATGTGCAATAATAGCTAATTCGGATCACTCACTCTTATCAATCAAATCTTAGAGTGTCAACAATCATCCTATACAACCGAATTGTTGTATATAATTATTATAATTCATTTGTTTACTAAACTTTTTGCTTAATTTATAATCCTCTTTTTCTTTGAACCTTCCAAGTGGACATGTTGAGAGTGAACATTTGACTTGAATACCTTTTCATTTTAACTTGATATCCAATATTTTTAATTCAACTAAATCATGAACATTTATTTTCTAATAGGCCTCAAGCGAGCTGATTATTGAAAATCTCAAACTTCTTCAACTGCTCAGATAACACTCTTTTGAAACTTTTCTTCAAGAAGTACCCACCTGGAGATTTAAAACAATATCCAAGTCCTCACCTCCTCAATCAATGATGAAGGATAATTTGGGTCCAATCACTTGCTGCACAATTAAATTGAAAAAAAAGGAATGAGTTCTCCATCATCTTCTGGTACAGGTGTTGAAAATAATTTGAAGAGTTTACTTTCCATCAAACAAGTCGACAAGTCACTTATTGAACAGTTGTCATTGAGAGCTGGTGAATTTAAAAATTATCACAAAACTAAACAATATCATCAATATAATACTGTCCTTTCCGATAAGATTGTAAACTTGTTATTCTTTGAACCATCGACTAGAACTTTATGCTCATTCCAATCTGCTGTATTGAAATTGGGTGGTAAACCAATTACTCTTGATATTCAAAGTAGTAGTAGTGTTAAGGGAGAATCTTTGCAAGATACTCTTCGTACTATGGAGCAATATGGTGATTTAACTGTTATGAGACATCCAAAGAGAGGAGTTCATCAAGAAGTTTTACCAAAATTGGAAAAGCCATTGATTAATGCTGGAGATGGTGATGGTGAACATCCAACTCAAGCTTTATTGGACTTGTTTACAATTACTGAAGAAGAAAAGAGAGTTTCTCAACAAATTGATTTCAATTTAAAGACAATTTGCATGTTTGGTGATTTGAAATTTGGTAGAACTGTTCATTCCTTATTGAGATTATTATACAAATATTATAATACCCAACCGCTTAAATTATACTTGATTTCTCCATCTGGATTGAAAATGCCAGATTATGTTATTGAGGAATGTGTCAAGAATTATGGAAATGTTCATGAAATTGTTGAATGTGAAAAATTGACACCTGAAATTATGAAGGAATTGGATGTAATTTATGCAACCAGATTGCAAAAGGAAAGATTTGAAAATGAAGATCAATATTTGAGCTACAAATCATCATTCTGTCTCAAGAAGGACGATTTACAACATTCCAGAAATCAACACTTGCCAATCATTATGCATCCATTGCCAAGAGTTGACGAATTGGACGAAAGTATTGACACTGACGAAAGAGCAGCCTACTTTAGACAAATGAATAATGGTGTCTACATGAGAATGGCCATTTTGGAATTATTATTGAAAGATTGAATATAATTAAAATTGTAAAAATTTAAAAAACATTAAAAAAAAATATAAAAATTTGAATTTATGGAAAACTCTTTCGATTATTTGAATAATCATTCGAGTCAATTTAATAATTTTAATAGCAATAATAATAGCTATGGATTCAATAATAACAACTCATTCGGAAGCAATTATTACAATTCATCATCATCACAATTTAATTTTCTAAATAATTTTCAATTATCATCATTGTTTAATCCGTTTATTCGGAATCGATTTACATCACTTTTCTGGAGTTTATTAATTGATGATTCGATTATTGTATTTTCATCCTACGTTTTGGAACGTTTGCTGAGGAGGAGAGAAGCAATTTTAGATTCGGAACAATATGAGAGGCTTGCCACCAAGCAAAGACAAGATGTTTTTACATTCCTAGAGCAGACAGAGGTTGGGAGGAGGGGTTTCTATCAGGATTTGGAGGCAGATTCGGATTTTGAGAATTATTTGTGGAAGGAATCAGCTCGTATGAGGGAGAAGAAACAAATGTTGGATGAAATTATTGAAACTTCGAATCAGATGAGAAGGTTAGAGTTGGAGAATTTGTCAATGTTTGGAAGGAAATCGTTTAGAGTTGTGCATTTGGTGGTTTCGTGTCTATATTATTTGTTTTTTAGAAAGTTCAGATCAGAAAGTATTGGAAATGTTTTCATGATGTTGGAAAGTGTGGATTTGAATGGAGGAAAAAATCCAATATCATCTCCTCATTGGTTATCTTCAATGATTAAGGAAGGATTGAGATCAATTGTTGTCTATTATTTGTATGATTTGATTGATTCAAGTTTGGATTATATCTTTACAATGGCCAAGGCAAATTCAAGAACTGAAAGAGAAAGAGCATTGGAGAATTATCCTCATGTTGATTCAGATTATTTGAAAAATTCATTTCATGTAAGGAATTTTGTTTCTGTAGAAAAGATTGAGAGGGCAAAAGAATTTCAACAATTTATAGAGGAATTGAAATTGAATTTAGCAAATATTTTGACAAGTTTGGCTCTTTCAGTGCAAACAAATGCAAAATCAAAGAAAAAGAAGAAAATTAACGAATCATTGGCAGTGCTTATTGAAAAATCAAAGAAAACTTTCAAGGAATTGATGAATACAGAGGATGCAGTAGCAACTTGGATGTTCAAATATAATTGTTTTGCTTTATTGAAAGCGGAATCAACTGAACAGGTAAAAACACTGATTGATGAAATTGAACACTTGGCTGTTTCCATCTCAACTCTCAATAGAGAATTGCTGAGTTTGTTCAAGCCAGCTCTGGAAGATTTAGGAAGTGCTGTAAAGGAAATTGTTGGTCAACCAACTATTGTTAAACCTGTAGAAAAAGTTGAAAGGAAAAAAAGGAAAAAGAAGGAAAGAAATTTAACCACAGCAACTAATGGACTTGAAGAAACCGAAACAAGAAAGACAAAGAAGAATAACCTGGAGAAACTTATTGAAGAGTACGAACAAAAACTCAAAGATTTGGAAAGTCATTGTATTTCCTTAAATAACAAGATCGATTCACCACCAAAGACTGACTCACTTCTTAATCCATTCTACAGAAAGGAAAGTGGATTAACTGACAAGTTGAGAGTGTTTTTGATGAATCTTCCAATAAGGACTGTTTTGGTTTACCTTGTTGAACTCTTGCTTTCGTATTATATGGGTGTGAGGGCTAATCTGTTACCTATCACTAACAATCAACAGAATCCTAATATGAATAATAGAGCATACAATCCAAGCATGACCAGTTATAGAAATAGATAGTTATTTATGGTACAATTATTGGGATATTTGTTTGATATCAAGAACAACTGAAGTGTTTGGGAAGTATTTTAAAATCTTATCGGATGCCTTACTTCTCATTACATCCAAATATTCCAAGTAATGAAGTTTGGCAAGCAATTTAACGCCATCGTTGGTGATTGGAGCAAAATTAACAGTCAAATGTCTGATATTGTGTAAATTTTGAGAAATTGCTTTCAAAATCTTATTGGACATGGCTTCATTGTAACCGTGATGCCCTCCATGAAGTGATAACACCTTCAGATCTTTACAATTTTCAATGACTGGAATAATACTCTCGTCAGACAAGTTGAAACAACGAACAAGCAACAGAGTTTCCAACTTGGTTAAGCTCTTCAATAAATCAAAGCGAGACAATATCTTTACATGTAAAATGTGTAATTGTCTTAGATTGGTAAACTTTGAAATATGCTCTAGAGCTTGATCTTCAAATTTGGAACACCAATCTACATTAAGGAACTGCAAAGTTTCACAAATTCTTGTAGAATCGGCCAGGTATTTGAGTCCAGAACCATTCAGAGTCTTGTTGTGAGCTAGAGAAAGTGAGACAAGTTGTTCACAATTTGCCAAATACTTCAAATCATCATCCTTGAGATTAATATTGCTGGTCAAGTTGACATGCTTCACACTGGTCAATTTACCTAACCAATCATAACGTGTGCATTCTTTCATTTGCAAAAAGTCAAACGTATCAATCAGTTTTGGATTGCACATGGAAATAAATTGATTCATTCCTTGTTTCAATCTGATACATCTATCGAATGTAATGTTTTTAAATTGTTTCTTGTTGGTGGTGATGACTTCTTCATTCTGTTCGAAGGTTGAAGTTGAGGATTCTTTTGCATCCTTGTACAAACTCTCAATTCTGCAACAATAGTCAAAGGTAACATTTTCCAATTTAGGGAATGCATTTTCTCTAATTAAACTAGAGGTAATGTTATACATTTTGCCACTGTGAACAGTGAGTGTGTGTAGATTAGGATAAAAAATGGTAGTCTCGTCTTTAACATTGTTTCCAGTCATGACATCCCAAAATTCTTGTGTCAATATATCACCACATTCATTGAGAACTATTCTTTCAACACTGTTCGAAATTTCAAACATGTTCTGAGCTAAAAATACAGATTGAGTCGAGACTGATGTATTGGTGCTTCCTAAATCAAGTTGAATATCTTTCAAATTCGTCAATAAACTCAATACTTTTGTAAAATTGTAAGGTGTATCCTCTGGAGTGGTTGATGTATGGAAAAGAAACTCTGACAGCTTTAAACTCCGCAAAGAATCTCTGAATTGATACAAGACAGACACCAATCCATTGTTCTCGTGCAAAATACCTGTAAAACCACTTTGTGGAGCAACACCAAAGGTCAACTCTGTTGGTTTCTTATTCTTATCAAACCACAACTTGTTGAGATTCTTAAATAATTTGGAACTAGAAACACATGCCTTGTCTCCAACATCAGAACAAAACTTGAATGTCAATGAATTGAGGGGAATGCAATTTCTGAATGATTTTTCAACAGTAGATCCATAAATCTTTAATTCCTTTTCACAATATTCTTTTGTAATCTTTTCCAATTTTTCAAAAATCTCATCAATTCCATCACACTTGATTAATTCAACTTCTTCCAACAAATTACAATCAATGGTAGATGGAAGATCAGTTCTGGATTGCAAATGATTAGAAAAGTTCACTAAAATATTCTTAAAAAGGAAGAGAAATAGGATCGATGCTGAATGTTCAGCATCCAAATGTGCATTTTGTAAAGTTAACGACTTGAGTTTTGGCAATATTACAGTCTTTGGTCTCAAATCATTAAAATCCAAATCTTTAAATGTTGAAATGAGAGTTTCATTCTTAACATTATGAATATTCAAATAAATGTTTGTCAAATTATTCAAATGATTGGTGACATTAAATAATTGAGATGAATTGATGGGTTGTTTCAAGAAGAGTCTTTGCAATTTTCTTGATTTTGTTAGGAAATCACCCACTAGAAAATCATTTGTAAGAGCATGTTCTGAAGAAACAGTCAATTCTTCCAAATATGGAAGAGTTTGTTTTTGAATAACTTTGTTTACAATATATTTTACATATTGTTCACTCCATTTAGCATCAATATTGATGGAATCAGTACTAATCCAACAGAAAGTAAACCAAGTTTTAGAAACAAATCTCATCACACTAATTTTCTCTTCGAATGAAAAATACGAAAGTATAATTGACAATAATTCGGACGAAAGGTGGTCATTTACATTTGAAGTGGTAGAGATGGAAGTGATGGTATTGTTGTTATTTCTACTATTCCGATTGGGCAAGAGAAAGCAAAACATTTTTTTTGATGTTTTTTGATTTTGACAGACAGGTTGAACTTTGAACATAACAAGTGACATTCGTTGAACTGTATTTTACATTCCTCTTATTTCGATAATTTCACGTGAGGTTGATGGACAAGCAATTACTTGTTGTTTAAGATTTTCAAGTATTTTGGAATTTGTAATAATGAAACTCTTCCCAAGTATTCCAAATTTAAAGTAAATTTTGAAATTGTCATGTGTAATTAGCAATTCCTTTTTGATTGCTGATTTGAATTTGTCAAAATTATCAAAATCTGAAAGATTAAGAATGCATAACATGTAAATGTTAAGATCCTTGTACTTTTCTTGATAGGCAACAAGCTCAACTTTTGCTTCACCTAATGGAGCAACAGATGCAAAGGATGAAGAGGAAGCAACGTTAGTGGTTGAACTGCTTGCTTTGGCTGTTGACTTGTCAGCTTTACTCTTTTTAGAGCTTGGTGTCGATGCTTTACTCTTTCTCTTCTTTGGGTATTCTTCATCTTCATCTGATGTTTCAGTATCACTGCCCTCATCTTCCTCAGTACTAATTTCTGAGACATCTTCTTCATCATCCTCATTGCTATGATACTCTTCATCATCCTCATTACTATTTACTGTCTCTTTTAAGTATTCATTCAAATGATCATAATATTCCCTCTTTAGAAATGTTGAATATTCCTCTTCATTTCTAAATATTTTCCCCTCAATTTTCCCCAATAATTGTTTAAATTCCTCTCTAATTGATGCATTGAATTCCTTCATTTTGATTTTCCCCTTATGTCTCGTAACCTTTTTATTGAATGCATCATTCTGTGCCTTGAGGAATGGATTACTAACTCCTAGCTTACCCATCAGGGATTTAGCTTCTTCACACGATTGTTTATTTCGTGTGCAGATTGGACATTTAGTAGCTCCACCTTCAATCCTCTCCGGAAGTGAATTTGCATTATTATTTATCAAATGTTGATTACCAGGTATTATGGAAATACCAGGAGCAACACTCACCATGTTATTATTATTATTATTACTGCTACTTGAATTGTTTTTTTCTAAATTTCTAGAATTATTATTATTATTAATATTATTTAATGATGATGATGATGATGAGGTCGGAGGAGTACTGATTTGTGTATCACGATCACGACGAAATTGTCTCGTTTTTTTGGTTCTAGTACTGTTTGTGGAATTGGTGGAATTGTCATTGGTGATGTTTTGGTTATTATTAAAATCGGAAAGAGTTGGTTCTAGTTGGTATTGTGGTAAAGGTCCTAAATCATAGGAATAACTTTCAGAGAAGGGAGGAATGGGCTGTGGTTCGTTTCTGTTTGGTTGCATTTTTTTTTTGTGATTGAGAAACTTGATTTTTTGTTTTAGTTGCAGGGTTTACAATAATGTTTAGTTTTTAAAATGTGAAGAATTTGGATAAATGACCAATTCAAAAATCAGAATTGTCAATTATTTTGTTAGATAGCCATGCATTGAATTCTAATCTTGTTGAATGGAGTTTAATTTCAAAATGTTAGAAATTTCAGTTTCGGCAAAATCTTGTTTGTTGGCCCAAATCAACAATTTGAGGAGCATAAATTAGATAAGAAACAACTATACTCCTACTAGTGTTAGATAAGTGCTCTCATGTTTACAATTTCATGGTGGGTTACTATTAATTGATCTTGAATGACAATTCCGAGATATCATCAAGACAATAAAATGCCAGATCGTGAGATGAAAATTTTAAGGATTTGGCAATTATTGAAAAAAGACTTGATGTTATTTGACAAGATTTCAAAGTTGGCTCAATGGTTCAGCTAATTATCAAAAGATTGTTGTTTGATTTCTTGTGTTGTTTCAAAATAAAGCACTTTAAAACACAAAAAAGTTGTTTTGCCAAATTGCTTAAAATCATGTGCGAAGCCAATCTCCAGACGTGGCAAAATATTCATCCTGCAAGCCCAAATAATCCTTAATAAATTTTTCTTGAGCAATTTTGATTCATGTCGAGTAGTCAAGTTTGGTGCATTAATACAGCAATACCGTAGTCGAATCTTTTGAGAGAAAAAGAATAAACAGCGCGCAAACACAATGATGGCCATCAAAGGCTTTAAAAAAAAAATAAATGCAAAGACCCTCATCAGCAAAACCCTCACTTGCTGTTGCGGGGATGAACAATCAACAACAACAACAGGCAAGACCTTTATCACCCTCACCTCAACAACAACGACAACAATTATTGGTAGTTAATGCGAATAGTAATGAAACGAGTGCAATTACACCGAGAACAATGGTTGCTCAGAAGGGAAGTTCCATTGATGATTATCATGTTTTGGATTTAATTGGAGAGGGATCTTTTGGTAGAGTGTTCAAGGGAAGGAGAAAACAAACAAGCCAAACTGTGGCTTTAAAGTTTATTCCAAAGAAGGGAAAGAATGAGAAGGAATTAAATACATTGAGACAGGAAATTAATATTCTAAGAAAGTTGGATCATGAAAATATAGTATTGCTTCTTGATTCTTTTGAAACGAACGAGGAATTTTGTGTTGTGATGGAGTATGCACAGGGAGAATTGTACGAAATTTTGGAAGATGACGAAAGATTGCCTGAGGAAATAGTAGTCAAAATTGCAAGACAGCTTGTGAGTGCCTTATATTACATTCATTCGAATAGAATTATTCACAGAGGTAAGTACTCGTAATCATTCTGTATGGGAAGCATTTTAATAGACATGAAACCACAAAATATTCTAATTGGAGCTGATGGTACTGTAAAGCTTTGCGATTTTGGATTTGCTAGAGTAATGTCAAACAATACCATGATGTTGACATCTATTAAAGGTACTCCTCTGTATATGGCTCCAGAGCTTGTCCAAGAGCATCCCTATAATCATACAGTTGACCTGTGGTCGTTAGGAATTATATTGTTCGAGTTGGTGGTTGGAAAACCACCATTTTATACAAACAATTTCTTTTCATTAATTCAGTTAATTGTAAAAGACACTGTAAAATATCCACCATACATAAGTCCAACATTGAGAAGTTTTCTTAAAGGTCTATTAACAAAGTCACCAAGCCAAAGACTTGATTGGCCAAGATTATTGGACCACCCATTTCTTCAAGAAACAAGAGAGGAGAGGTAAGTGAGCTTTTCATTTTACAACTTTTTTAATCACCTTTTTAGAGACCAACGAGAAAGAGAATCGAAGAGTAGTTTAATAAGAAAGAGAATACATGATTTTGATAAAATAGTCTATAACCAGAGAAGATTAAGAGCTGGAGAAGTAATAGCTAAATCTGGGCATCATGTAAAGAAAGTAATAGAACACACTAGGGAAAGTAAGTAATTAATGATTTGTAATGAAACTAAATATGTAAATAGTTCCTTTATCTGAAATTGAATCAGTAATGTCTAAGGAAGAAAACGGACCAACCAAAGTCCTCAAGAATGTATTTTATTTAGATAAATTGTCATCATTTATTTTGGTAAATCAAAATGATTACAAGACCAAAGCGACTAAAACTGTACAGACCTCACTAAAGATTCTCTCTAAATGCTTGGAGAAATGTAAAGATACTGATACCGATAATTTGATTGATGCTAACCTTGTTGCCAATTTATTTGGTTTTTTAAAGGAATTCTCAGGTGCTACCTTTGATGCTAGAACTATAATAACGGATGCTTTAATTTCACTGAGCTATGCCCTTCAATTTGGAATTGAAAATATGGCTCAAACACTCAAAGATTTTTTCTCAATTGTTAACAATCTTATGGAATATAAGTTGGACAATACGCTAAGTGTACAGTTAAATACCATGAAATGTTTACAAGAAATTGCTATCAAGTCATGTATAATGCCTTTCCAATCAAGTTCTGTTTATCAAACCATGAATGAAAAGTCGTTTGCGATTTTGTTGTCAGGTCTTGATACAAGTAGCACTAAAACTGAAGAAAAGTACACAGTTGCCCTGTCCAACGCAACGATTATGGCCCTGGCAGAGTTGGTTCACCCTAGTGAAGGAGATATATTCCCTTTTCCATGCATTTTCCACTCTGACAAGTACCCAGTCACGGAAGTATTGGAATGCAATCAAGATAATACTGTTAGAGCCATGATTGCAAGACTTCTGACAAGGAACAACAACATGGCTCCTCTTGCTCGCTTGCTAAAATCAACAGATCTCCCTGCTGTGGTTTCCACTCTGAAGCTCATTTATCAGTGTTGCAGATTCTCTCATGAGTTTTGTAAGCAACTAGCTCTGGAAAATCCAATAGTAACAACAATTATGAGTTTAATTGTTAACACTTCGGATGGAAGTACCATGTATCAAGTGGAATTGGCTTGTATTATTATTGCCACAATATTCAAAGAAAATCCAAAGTTCACAGCTCTGTACAAAGCGGATCTAGCAACAATTGTTAGCCATTGCTTGACAATAGTTTCCACAGCATTCGATGAAAGATTTAAATGTCTTGCTGTTATGTTGTTGGCTAGAGCTTGTGTAAACCCTGAATCCAAAGCAAAAACTATTAAGGAAATAACACTGGAGCAAAATGCATTGTTGAGTATGGTCACAAAAGAGTACACTGTATATGAGGTACATGAAATCAAACGAGTGGAGGGTTCAGGTTTTGGATTCCCAGATTTTGGATTATTGGACGGAATTATATTTTTGTTATATCAGTTGAAAGATGATAGCAGTTTTATGAATGTGGTATTCTCATCTGGATTGTGGTCAGCTTTGATTGAAAGATTGAACATGTTGGATTCTGAAATTTCTCCAGAAGGATTAACTTCATTCATCAAGCTGTTGAATGATTTAGTGGAAAATGGAAATCATAATTTGTTTTATGTGTTGGGTGATTTGTCTGTCATCAGGACCGTTATTCAAGGATTGAAAAAGAATACCCTCTCTTGTTTTTCACACTGGCCAGAGAGTAGGCATGGTGGAAATATGTCTCTTACTCATTACATTCTCACATCCTCAAGATTCCTCGCCACCTGCTTTTCGAAATCAACGCAAAAAGATAAGGAACAAGAAAGAATTCATGAGGACATTGTGAAAATTCTTTCCAAGGAAGAAATTATTAATCATTGCATTGGCCTCTCAGAATTTGTGCCAGTAGAATTTTATGGGGAGGTGATTCGCTTCCTTTCAAAATTAGTAGCCCAATCCTCTCAATTCATGAAGCAATACTTAAAGTTTGGAGGAATGAACATGGATTTCGTCAGGAAAATGTTGGCGTTGACAGTTCCTTCTTCTGTAATCTCTGACATGTTGGCCATTCTCAATCAAGTAGCTAGATCCTGCAAGGATAGTCAGAAGTATTTGGAGCATGCTATGATCTTTCCTAATATCAAGGAACTTCTCAGACACAAAGAACCCTACGTTAGATCAAAAACATGTAACCTTGTTGGGAACATGTGCAGAAAGGATGATTATTTCAATCAAGCTATTGAGTTGTATGATATCATCCCTTGTGTTGTTGATTGTTGTAAGGATCCAGATGCAAACACTAGAAAACTTGCTTGCTTTGCAATAGGTAATGCTTGCTTCCACAGCAGTGGTTTGTATCAAAGTGCTGCTGCAGCAATTCCAATATTTGTTGGTTTGCTCAAGGATCCAGTTTTAAAAATTAGAATTAATGCAGCTGCAGCATTAGGAAACATGGTAAGAAACTCTAATGAGCTCAAGGAAGATTTTGTTGCAAACAAGGTGGTAGATGCATTATTGGAATGTCTTAACGATACAGAAGGAAATGTTGCAGAAATAGCCAAGCTTTCACTATCTAAATATGCTGAATATAAGGAATATGCCGAAAGATTGAAAGATATTGACTTTACTGAAGAATCTAAAATATAGATTCGTCCATTGTTGCTATAAATTGCCCATCATGCAAAAATTTCAAATCTTGGGTAATTATTTCCTTATTGAAATAGTGTTTGAAAATTTGTGGGAACAAGTAATTAGTAACAGCCTTGAATTCAATATTCAAAACAGCTCTGTGTTCACTATGGCTCTTGCCATTTACTTGTTCATTAGTAATAAATTCTTTAACAAATCCAACTGATTTACCTCCCAATTTTGTACTCTTGATTTGCTTCAGACCAAAACCTTCAACACGGAAAGTTAATTGTGACAAGTAAATGTCACTATTAATAATTTCTCTAATCTTTTGGAGAACATAGTTGGTATGCTCGAGTTGGGTTTGTTGGCTTAATTGTTCATCAGTCTTTTTCTTGTCGAATTTGTCTGTTATTTTGATCACAATTTCATCTGAGGTGCAAGAACTGAATCGTTCTGGAGTGAGATATCGTTTGAGAATTGGATCATCACTTTCTTGTGCCTTTTCTACGAGGATTTTGATCAAACTTCTCATTACCAACTTTTGGATTGTTTGTTGACGTTTTGGATTTAATTTACCGAATAAAACTTGTCTCAAGTACTTGGCATCAATCAGATACTTGTAAACAAGGCTTTGATTAGTTTCCAATTCTTCTAATAACTTTTTAGAATCCAATTTGTGATTTGATTCATAATTACCAGTTTCCAATTTCTCCTTCAAGGCTAATCTAATAAGTTCCTTATAAGTTTTGCATCCAAGAACAATTTTAGGATCAATGAAACGTAAAATGTTAAAATTGGCACTAGCCATATCAACACTAACGAAATAGAAACCATCATGTTCACCAGAATAAACCTCTTGACAATTATTCAAAACAGGGAAATATTGACCCAATGACTTTTGATCTAATCCTTCAACATTTGGATGGAATTCCAAATATCTATTAATCCACAACTCTTCAGGAACAGCACTGGTATTATATTTTATATAGGCTTCAGACTTTTCAATTGTTCCCAACAAGTTATTGACCACATCATTGGCCAACATGGAAAACAATCCTTCCGATGATCTAAAATCTCTCTGAATAATCTCATTCATCTCCTTCCATTGTCCATTACATCCCAAATAATCATCATACAATTCGATCAGGTATTCAAAGTGTGGACTCGCCAAAATCGATATTGGCAAACTATAATCCTTGCAAAACTTTCTTCTCAAATTCTCTTGTCTAGTTGTCATTGATGATGACAAAGAAGATGATCCTCCTTCTTGTTGTTGATTTGATGACATTTTTTTAGTATTTGTTTCCGTTTGTTGGTTGTTCATCAACAAGGCTTTTGTTGTAAACGAGTAGTGTTCTTGTTGGTGGCTCTCATTATTCATCAATGATAAACTGTTGCTGTTCTTAATATTGATCATCATCAAATTAGAAAAAGAAGCCTTTGACTGTGCAAGATGATAATTGCACCATCGGAATAATAATTTACTTTTCATTCACACTTCTTTTTTTCTATTATCTATATTTCGCTTTGAATCGATTTTGATTTGATTCAAAAAGTTTTATTGCTTATCTACTTTGATTTTCCTTAAGCTTTTATTACCATCATGATCCGAGAATAGCATTTCAAATAGAGTATCGTTGATAACGATCTTTAGATAGGCTTTCAGTCATCAAACTTTAAAATTTATTACAAATAATATTCTAATGATGATAATTCATAATAGCATTGTAGAACCCTACTATGATGGTTATCTTTTCATTTTGTTGTTCAAATCAAAAGTGAATAATGCGATGAGTGAAAATTTACAGTAAAAAATTGATTGCAATAATTAATTCTTCCTCTTTTCAAAGTTCTAATTGTCCATTCATTGTTGAAAGGTTTTCTTCTGCTTCTTCTTTTAAAAATTCATTCCAACATTTTCTAATAAATTTTACTAATGAAAAGCAAGTTTCGAATAGGTTGATCTCGTAAATATCTTGCACTAAATTGATCACAACATGAACCAACTAGAAGGTAATTAACCACTACAATTTGATGGTCATACTTTATTTAAAAATGTGAAAATCAATGGATGACCTGTTTTTTTGATTAGTGATTGATGGATTTATCATTAAAAAAAATGACTCAAGCAATAACATCACTAAACGACAAAGCTGGTCGTTTATTTATCTGGGGTAAAGTATCGAGAAACGATACAGAAGGTACCATCAAGGAAGCAACTCCAGTTCCTTACTTTTTTGATGAACCTGTCATTCAAGTTGCTTGTGGATTGGGATTTACAGCAATTTTGACAGGTAAGTGTTTTAATTTTTTCAATGTAATGATAATTGATTATCCGTATCATTGATTACTGTTTATTGTTTTTCAATTTTGATTTTTGACAAATAGAAAAAAGAGAAGTTTACACACTTGGTAGTAGGAGTTGGTACATGACAGATTATGAACATGAAGATATTGATGATAATAGAAATACACTCATGCACTGGAAAGAACTTTCCTCAAAGGAAATTATTCAAATTGTTTGTGGACTAAACTTTTGTGCTTGTTTAAGTAGAAATGGAGATATCTATACTTGGGGAAATGGAATGTATGGACAATTAGGACATAGAGAACAAGTTGTGAGTGCCTATGAGGAATTTAAAGTTCCACGTCCAATTAAAATTGACAATTTTTCGAATGGTATTTATTTATGTGCAGGTGAGGAATGTATGGCCTGTATTACTAGAGAACGACATTTATACACGTGGGGAAAGAATTTTTGTGGAATGTTGGGACATGGTGATGAAAAAGATGTGTTTGAACCAAAACGTGTGATTGGTGTGACAGGTAATTTCAAGAAGAGTATGCCAATGATTCAAGATGACGATGATGATGAAGATTTGGATGAAGATGACGATGATATTGGTGTTGATAATTTAGAAAAAGAAGAAGTTATTCATGTTTCATGTGGTCAATCTCACATGGCTTGCGTAACAGCAAAAAATGAAATTTTCACATGGGGAAATAACTTTTTAGGACCTTTGGGTCGTATTTTGGACACAAAACAGGAATCTGATTTTTATCCACATTTAGTTGATTTGGTTCAAGTTGGTGATTTGGTTACTGAAGATAATCTTAAACAAAGTGATGAAGTTGACTTTATTCAAGTTGAATGTCTCAAATATAACACAATTGCATTGACTTCTGATGGTCGTTTATTCAGTTGTGGTAAGGGTGGTTATGAAGGAGGTGGTCAAGGTGAAGCTCCAAGAACTCTCTTATGTATTGTTCAATCATTGGAAGGAAAGAGAGTTAAATCAGTTGCCAAGAGTTCTTTCGCTACTCATACAGGTGCTATTGTATTGAATTCAGATGATGACAGTAAGAATCGTGAAGATTTCTACATTTGGGGTAATAATGAGGATAACAAATTGGGTATTCCAAATTTGAATGATGAATCTTTGAGTATTGATGAAGCATCTCTTTTACATCCAAAGAAATTCCCATTCTCTACTCCACGTGATTGCTATATGATTTGTTGTGGTGAAACTCATACCGCTGTCATATTGAAACCACACTCATCCGATAAGAATCCAAATGCAGACCTCACTTTGGAAAAATTCGAAAGAGGAGAAACCAATCCAAATGTTAGTGCAACCACTGTCAAGAAGGAAAGTACCAAACAAATTATTGAAGAAGAGTACGACTCTGAATCAGAGGATAGTAAGGGAGATGAAGACAGTGATTCTGAAGATGAGGATGAATATGCTTCCATTAAGCCAACAGCCACAATTATTACTCCAGCCTCAACTAGTTCTGAACCTGAAAAGAAGCCAGCTAGTTCATCATCATCTGATGTCTATAATGAACCACAAAAGACCACTCCAACTGCAGTTGTCAATGTTGACTTGAGTGATGACGAGGAAAAACCAAAACCTGTCTCACAACCTGTCAAGCAAACAAACAAGTCATCAGCAGTTAAAGAATTACACGGTTATTTACAAAAGAAGGGTGAAAAGGGTTTGGTCAAACTCTGGCGAAAACGTTGGTTCAATTTGGAAGGAAATTATTTGTGCTATTATGAAAAGGAAGGAGTAAGTATTTCATAATTATTTAAAGTAGTTTAACACAATTTCAATAGGGAAAATCCAAAGGATCTATATGTGTTGATGACGTTTTGGATATTCTTCCAGGTTCAACTCCACTTGCATTCAATGTCTCTACATCTAATGGAAGAGTCTACGAATTACAAGCAGGTTCTGAACAAGAATTAAAATATTGGAAGAATGGAATTCGTTCTCTGATTTCACACAAGTAAATGAACCATCACTAATGTATTTAATAAATTATAAATTTGAAATGTAAGTTCATAATAGTCAATTTAAATTAAGGTTATCAATGAAATTAGTGTCACAATGAGAGAAATAATTCCAAAACTCTGAGATAATGTGGAAGCGTTGACTTTTGAAATGGAACAATCAGCATTAATAGTGTCAGTATTACATTTACAATTATTGTATCCAACACATTGACCATTTGAGGAACAAACAGAAGAATGTGAAGCTGGATATCCAAAACAAAGGAAATTCTCACAATAATCTCCATAATGACCAGCATAACAATTACAATTATCCAATCCATCACATGTACCTTGTCCACTGCAAACACTCGAATTGGATGATGATATTGAGTCACATGTATAGGAAAGACACTGGTCTCCAAAAGCTCCTGTAAAGCATTGACAGTTATTATTTGAAATGCATTTACCTCTTCTATTGCAGACTAGTGGTGATGAGGCAGTAATTCCATCACAAGTTGGTTCAGCTGCTACTTCTCCATCCTTAACATAGGTTCCATTAATGGCATTGTTTGATGCTGTCGCTTTGGAATTTGTACACAAAATATCATAACCATTTAGAGGACATTTTACATATCCAAAGAATGTGGAATCGTATTTTGTTTGAGCTGTTTGATCTTTTGGACAAGAAAACTTTTTAGATCCTACATAGATGTTCAAAGTTTCATTTCCACATGAATACTTTAAGCATCTGGAATCAGCAGTTTTGATATCTGAGTTTGAAGTGAGAGAAATAGAAGCTTCAAAGCAAGCACTTGAGCTTCCAAACTCTTCACCACTTGTTTTGATTGGATAACCACTCACACAATTACCATCTGTGAATGCTATTTGGAATGGGCAATAATCCATGAAAGAGTCAGTGCCTCCCTGTTTTGGAGAACTTGGGAAATGTTCATAGTATCCCAAATCATTGTAATACTTTGCACTATTACAGTAAGACTTGCTCTTCAAATCATGGGTGCAAGAACTCGTTGAAGTTGTTTGGAAATAGGACTTAGAAGGACTTTCTGAACTACAAAAGTATCCAACATTCTTGGTTGGCCAATTTTCACATCTATAATTGGCCATTGCACATCCCATATCCTTACCCCAAGTTAATCGTTGAGCATGACTAAAGTTTCCTCTATACCATCCAGAGTCTTCAAAGTAAGCAATTGTAAAACTACTCAAAACTAGCTCACCACTAACACTTGCAACCATTAGTTCATTCTTCATGATACTCTTTTCCCAGTGAGATACTGCACTTCCAGATCCACCATATTCTTCCATAGGAACACCATCTAATGTTGGGCAATTGTAATACTTTCTTGCTACTTCTAAAATCTTTGGAGTTTTGAGTTTGGTAACTGAGACTGATTGAGTTGTTCCTGTGCTATCAACAAAGGACTTATTAACAACAGAATAGACAGCAGACGCGTCGAGTGTCTTTTTGTTAGCTCTATCGTAAAAACTTGACAAGAAAGAGTTAGAGAAACCAAGTGCATGCAAAGCTTCATGTCTAACAACTGACAACTTTTCTTTGGTGTAATTACCAAGTTTAGGTGAAATATTGAGCTGGGCCACAAGTGGTCTCTTTGTGATTGAATCAAGAATGCAAGGAATTGCCCATCCAAGAACGCCAGTTTCTGTTGGCCGTGAAGTTACAAAAAAGATGGCATCAGCATTCTTTCCATCCAAACCATTTGCAATAATATCGCTTGGAACTGCTACACCTCCTTGAGATCCACATCTGCTATTGGCATTAAAGATCTTTGGATAATCACCATCCTTAACAGTAGGTACTTGAAGCATTCGAGAATAATCTTCTTTAATGGTTGGCAACATGCTTGAGACAATTTCTGAAAGGAATGAGCTATCTATCACATCAGTATCTTTGCAAACTCTCCAACAATTTGAACTACTATCTGTCAAACACTGTGTTTTGGTACTAGTTGGAGTATTGGCACCTGTCCAATAGTAATCACCAACAGCTTTGCAACTTCTACTCTCTGTATCACTGTCAGGTCCTAAATAATCAGTTCTGAATAGTACTCTAATATTGGACCAAGTTTCTGTTGCTGTTGTGGCTGTTGATTGTAGGATTGATCTTTTCAAATTATGTTGTGCTTGGAGTTTAAAACTTGATTCCATTGTTGAGAAGATACCCCTCGGGTGAGTGTTAGTCTTCTCGGCAGCCATTAATTCATTATGAATACATTTGTGTCCTGCAACTTGATCCTCCTGATGATGATAATGGTTATGGTCATCATGACTCTCTACGAAATTATTCATCATTACTATAATTAATAATAATATCTTCATCATGATGACTTTCACAAAGCCATACTTGCTTAATTTCATTCTTCCTTATACTTTAATATTAAGGTATTATTTAAAACAAGCCCTCACTCTTTTTGAATTATTGTGCGAGATGTGCTTGTTGCCAAATTTTTCTCTAATATGAACTTTTTTCCTTAATTAAAAAAAAAGAAAAACACAAAGCAGCAGTTAGATTAATACAGTTAGCAACTCTGCAGAGAGCCAAATAGAGGCACATGGAACCAAGATAAGGAGCGCGTTCATCCTCATTAGAAGTAAGACCGAGGAAAAGAAGATTGAATTTCATAGAAGATTGAATTCCTAATTATTACAATTATTAAAATATTTAAGCATCTAATTGTTCTAGGTAGAAAAGGTTGGATAATATATTGTACAAAAAGTGATTTATTTAAATTACAACTTGTTCACCTTACCAACAAAGAGAACTGTCTTGCTTGAATCGTCACTCAATACGAAGGTAAATGGTGATTCGGCAATGAATGAAATTTGATTAGGATCATAGCTCAAAGTTCTCATTACAATTGCAGTGGCAGCACTAGCTTCAGCACCTGCTTCATCAACCTTAATAGCAGCTTTGTGAATAACCTTATCAATAAAGATATCTTCCTTAGTGAGGAGATTAGAAAAGTCAGCTTCGTTTGTGAATGGTTTCTTGATGTTGAATGGAGCAGATTGCAAGATTTCGCTCAACTCTAATCCTTGTTCAAGTTCAAAAGCTGGGAATCTAAAAGAGCTAAGCTTGGCTTCATTTGTTGGGAATGCAGTGTCAATTCCTTGATTCAATTTTTGAGCAACCCATCCATCAAGTGTTTGTTGGAAACTTTGATCCTTAACTGCAACAATTGTCATCTTGTATTTAACATCAGAGAATGGTAAAGTGACCCAATGATATCCACCTTCACTACCATATTGTTCCTTTGAATCACTCTTACTCATCATTCTACAAGTATTTTCTCCTTCAGCTCCATAAAAAGTTCCATTATATGAATTTTCCTTATCAAAAGCTTTCTTCCAAGCTCCTAAAAAGTGAATTGCATTGACCAAAACCAATCTAGTGAGAGAGGTCAAAAGACCTGGTTCAATTAAATCCTTGATCATTTGATTTGTCTTGGAAGAAACCCATTCATTGATTTTTTTGGTTTCTCCTTCAGCATTTCCAGCAAAATCACATTGAGTAACTTGTGCTTGGAATGCCTTCTTGACATGATCCTTGTATTTACCATCCAAAGTAGCATTCTGTTCAACAAAGGCATTGTTGGCTACATTCAAAATGGAAGTGTTGAGATTAGAATAGAAAGTGGTAGCAAATGGCTCAACTATTTGTCTCCATTCTTCAATGGTAGATGGAGCTTTATCAATACCAAGTCCATTGACGAGTTCTGTCAAACTTTCACCATTTGCACCGGAAGTTGCCATCAACATGGCCAAATAAATGGAAACTGGTGAAAAGACAACATTTTCCTTTTGCTTCTTTTGAGTAATTGTTTGATACAATTGAGAGGAAAACTTGTTATGAGAGGCAGCAAGAGAGTTAGATGCAGAGAGACCCATTTTTCTATTTACTTTGTGTGAAATATTCAACTAGTAGAGGTTGTTAATTTTTTTTTGATTGATCTGTTTGAAAGTGCAGAGTAAAAAACTTTTTAAAGGTCATATGTGGTCACTTGAGAAATATCAAAAGGAAGACTGAAGATGTGTAACACTACATTTACGTAGTGTAATAAGACAGTATTATAATTGTCAATGGTCTATCATAAATTTAGTTGTGGAGAAAAGCTCACGTTTTGCCCCATGTTAACAACCAATTATTGTTTTGTTACAACAATCTTTAGAAAAAACTCGACTTTTTATAAAACAATTTGAATGGATATGAAAGTGGAATTGAAAAATAAACTGGTTGATAGTGGTCGACATTAAACGTGAACGTAATAGACGGCTTAAAGACATGTAAATTGTGAACGGAGCCAAAGGAATATTTGATGAAACAGGGGTCAATTCAAATGTATTCTCGAAAGCATGATTATTACGTAGTAGTACAGAAATAGGTGACTCCATCTGGAGATGGTTGCAATGGAAATGGAATTCCTTCCACATGTAATCGAAAGGGCTTTGACCTGGAGCACATGTTACCTTTTCTTTGAAAGCAGAACTTCAAACGATAAACCAAGAACTGCCAATAGAACAACTACAAGTAAGATTGATACCTTATTGTTTTGATACATTTTTTCTTAACAATGCAAGAAACTGTGGTCGAGTAATCGAGCATTTAAGTCTATTAGTGTTGCCCTGTTTTTGGGTATTGAAATCAAAGCAACCCTTTGCTAAACTCTGTGGTTGTGTACTTTTAAATTCATTGTGTGTAAAAATTATAAAGTTAATATGCTCCTTAGTCATCAAAATTTCTGTTCAAATGTGTATGTTGAGGATACGGAAAATCATTATGGAATATGTGGAAGAAATTAACAAAGCAATAAAACCTTCAATTTGAAGGTTGAGACACCACTTTGAAACCGTTACAATTCTGAAATTGAAATTGAAGCAAACAAAATTGAAAGTTGTGATTCAATTTCAAATTTTAACCAATTAAAAAAAATGATTTCACAACAAGAACTGAAAGACAGAGAAGAAATTAAATTCAACGATGATCAGGAAAATCAAGAAGAAAATAATCTAGAAGAAAATCAAGAATGTGAAGAGGAGGACGAAAGTTCATCATTTGAAAATAGAATTCTCTACAATGCTGATGTGATACAGAATTATGTTGATCAAGTGTTGAAAACGAATGGTCCTACGCAGGGAAATTCATCTTCCGAAAGATATTCGAATGGAGACGAAAAGGATGAAATTCTTGATCGATTGGTTGGTTCGATTTGGGGTCAAGTTTATGGTGATGTAGCTGGGTGTCCTATTGAAGGATGGAAATCAGGTGAAATACGAAAGTTTTATGGTGATAAGGAATTTTTACTATTCGATTTTGGACTAATCGTAAAGAAAGGATTCCCAAGCAAGGAATTGATGGATTCTAAAGATTTCTCCCATCTGCAAAATGCCAAAAAGGTTGTCGGTGTGAAAAGAAAGGAAAGTGGTACTGAGCTATTTCTGAGACACATTCGTCCAGTTGGTATTCACTCAGACGATACTCAACAAGGTTTCGCACTGATCAATTCCATCCTTGAATTTGTAAAATATTCGAAAGATCATGAGAATATTACCGAATTTCTAAGTTATTGGAGAAAATGGCTCTATGAAGGATTTACGAAAGGTGATTGTAAACTTGGTGACGAATTAGTTGCAAAGAATTCTCAAGCTTTCAGACAATTTGGATCCAATACTTCGAGGGCATTGAAGAAAATAGTCAACCAGAACAAATCTTGCTATGAAAGTGGGTCTAAAACTACTGGAATTGGTGGAATGATGAGATGTTGTGTTGCTCCAACATGTTTTGCTTTACAAAAAGTTCTTGGAATTGAAAGAAGGGAATCTAATAATTTATTCGAAGTTAAGCAAAGTTCAGAAATATTATCAAGAAAGGAAAAGAGAAAATTGGAATTATTGGAGAAATTGAATGCCTCTATCGAGTCTTCTACTACTAATGACAAGTATATTGACATTCTGTCAAATTTCTCATATGCGCAATGTTTGACAACTCACTCAACTATTGAAAGCTCATCAGTGACATTTGCATCCAATGTAATTGCTTACAAATTCATTCAAGATGGTAATAGCCAAGAAACCATTGATTGGATCTTGGATAATCTTCCACTCATTGTTCAGAAACATGAAAAATTGTGGCTCCAGAGAAGTTATTGCCCTGAATTGAAGAAGGGAGATCGGGTTGAGAATCAATTCCAAATTTATGAACCAATGAATCAATCGATTCACAATGTTTCAAATATTTTGGAACAAGTATTTGAATTTATTAAGGAAAATAGAGAAAGTGAATTATTGCTCAAGAATTGCAGAGAAAAGATTTCTGAACTAGCAAAGAGTGTCAAGAAGAAGGCCATGAAAGCAAATGTCAATCAAGGATTCTGTCTCTTGGGAGGTATTCATTGTTTGGTTGCTTCGGTAATGCCAGAAAATCCTAGAATTATTTTGGCAGCTCATCCTTCCAAAGCTTACCATTTGAAATTGGCATTGCCAAATATTCCATTCCCTGAATTACTTCTCTATTCAATCATTTCGAATGGTTATGATACAGATACTGTTGCAGCCATTAGTGGTTACATGTTAGGAGCAAGATTTGGCGCTAGCTCATGGTTATTACACAAATCTTGTATTGTAGATAAGGAAAGAATTGAAAAGTATTGTGATACATTGGTCTCCATCTATAGGAATAGTCAAACTTCATCTGATGTTGAACCTGTGGAAACAATTTCTGAATATATGAATAAGGAGAAACTCTTATCTGTCTATTGTTCCATTCAAAGACATACATTAATGGACAAGATTGTTCCAGTGTTTCTCACAAATGATGATGTTGATAGCACTGATAAACCTCTCGCTAGTAAGAGAGTTGAATACCATTCATTGAATTCTAATAAATAGCTTCATTGGTTCATTTAAAAACGTGTGTTTTAATACATTGTTAACTGATCAGTATATTTCAGACATTCAAATATCTGACCATGGATGTGATGATGACACTGTGAAAAGTTTATTGAACTAATCCAAAAGTAATCCATGTATTTCATCAAACAGAATCAAAGTACAGGCAGGTGTGATATCCACTCATTACACCCTTAAATAAACCTTTCACTCCTTGTTCATTTCGAATCTTCCATAATTCTCTAAAAGTTCCTTTGTAGAATTTCTTTTGAATTCTATCATATCCTAATGCTCGATCTGTAGCCAATCGAAAAGGACGAACAGAAACTCCAGAAATAATGGAAACTCCTTGGGCTACTACCACTTTCTTTGTTAATGAGTAGTGGTCTCTTCTCATTTCCTTCCAAATATCAAAAAGACCAAAATATAAACCGCGATATAATATGGAAATGGGTGCAACATCTGAGAGGCCATTAAAACAAGCTCTGAATCCTGGTTTTAAATAATGAAATTCCTTAGTAAAAATGTAATCATATGGATATTGGAATGATAATGTGGAAAGACCTGCCAAACTACCAGATAAGTATTCTAGTTGATTAGTGACTGGAGAATATTGAGGAAGCATTTTCTTAAATGACTCATGCAAAGAAAAATTTAAGGCAACAACTGTCACCTCTCTGAAACAATATGTAACGTTTCCTCTCCACAGAAACGAAATACCTTCGTTCTTTACAACCTCAGTAATACAATTGATTATTCCAGAATATTGTGATCTTTCTCGAAATTTGTAATAACATCTATTGCTCTATGTAGAGGAGCAGTGAAAGTTACAGAGCAGAGATGAGCACCACCTATGATGGAATAATCACGAAGGAATGCAAAAAGAGGATGGGTAGAAGTTTTTGATTGAAGGTTTGGTTGTTTATCGATTTCAGACATTTTTTTTGAGTTTTACAAAGTTCACCAAATTTATCTTTTAATAAAATGAAAGAAAAAATGGGGTAAAAACCGAGGTTTCTTTCTCGATGAATATTGATTTTAAAGATGTGATTTTTGGAGTAGAGATAGTAATAAATGTCTAGTTTTAGTGGTATAAAGTTGAAAAAGAGAAAATGAAAGAATGTTGAAATGGAAAATAATTTATGCGTCGACCGGGAATTGAACCCTATTCACGGCGATGGCAACGCCGTATTCTACCACTAAACCATCGACGCTTCTTGATATCTATCATAAAATGTTGTTAATGAATAACTAATGATTTTCTTGTATATTTTCCAAATGATTCTATTCAATTAGAAACATTAAATATCCTTTAAAGAGTTTTTATAGAGTTTTTATCGTTAATTTTAAATAATTATTCGGAAGGAACTAGAAAGTGATATTACTATCGGGTGATAATGCGGAATCCAAAAATTTACTTCTTAACCTTAGCTTCAGTGAACAAAACGTGTCTATCAACAATTGGGTCGTATTTCCTGAAAGCCAATTTTCTTTGAATGTTTTGTGTATTCTTGTTGGTAGTGTAGAAAAAGCCAGTTTTAGCACTGGAAACGAGTTTGATGAGGATAGTCTTTGCCTTCTTCTTTGCCATTTTTTAAATAAAATTATTTTTATTTTCAAAATTGATTGGAGTACTATATAGAAAATAAGGTCATCACCGCCTGCTGTTCGATGAAAATACATCAACCCTTCGCATCATCACATCATCATGATCAGAGAATGAAGATTTTAATTTTTCAACTTCATACATTTACCATCACACAAAGAGGATGAAATTTGTGAAGTAAAAAAGCAAGCAAATTTATTTTTAACGGAAAACACAAACAAAAAAATGTTCTTCTTGGTAGGTATTGTTGGGAGAGTCGATTTGTATTGAAATCAATTATTGTGTATTTTCATCATGATGACAATGTGATCAATATAATTATTGTTGATGAATATAATGATCAATGCGGATTTTATTAAAAAAGGTGGATTTGGACAAGAATATTCGTTTGCATCCTAAATTCTTTGGTCCTGATCTTACTCGTACACTTCGTGCTCGTCTTCAAAACGACGTTGAAGGACAATGTACAGGAAGAGATGGATATATTGTTTCTGTTACAGAAATCACAAAAATTGGACAAGGTAAAATTGGAGAATCATCAGGATATGCTACATTCCCTATTAATTATAAAGCTATAGTATTCAAGCCTTTCAAAGGAGAAGTTTGTGATGCTGTTGTATATAAAGTAACACCAGTTGGATTTTTTGCAAGTGTTGGTAAGTATTGCAGTGGTTGTGTGACATATAATTCATTGATTATCTAGGTCCATTGAATGTTTTTGTTAGTAGTCATGCTGTTCCAGATGATATGAAGTATGATGGCCATCATACTCCTCCAAGATTTATTTCGGAAGAAGCTCAAGTATGTATTTTCACAACAATTCAATCTTTTAACATGCAACAACAATACCTAAATTTTCATCACGAATCTTCATCATCAATTTGAACTTTGAATAATTATTCAATTTAATTTTCATCAATTCAATCATCAGGTTTCCATCATGGAAGAAAAGGATGTAAGATTAAAGATTATGGGTATGAAAGTCGAACCAACAGGATTGTTCGCAGTAGGTACCATCAAGGAAGACTACTTAGGTAGTTTAAATTAAACTCTAGGTTTTATGTACAATTTGTTTGATTATTCTATTCGAATATCCAAGAAATTTACAACATGTTAATCTTTTTCAGTCTATCAGCATTGAGCTTCATTTCAATATCTGACATACCACTTTGTTTCATGGTTACGTGTTGCTTTTCTTTAACTTGTTCAGATAAAGATTCACGTTGATTCTTCAAACCTTCTTTAAATCTTCTCTTTCTATCCAGTTCTTCTTGTTCTGCCTTTCTTAAATCTTCTTCAATTTGTTCCTTACGTCTCTGTTCTTCCATTAAAACTTCCTTTCTATTATCAAACTTGCCTTGAATTTGTCTGGCCAATGTATCCATCATTTCTTCCTTTTGTTTTTGTAAACGATCCCTCTTCTTCTTGTCTTCATTCTCCTTTTTCATTTCCATTTCAGAATGAATTCTATCTGCCTTAATTTCGTCTTCCTTAGCTTTTTCATCCAAATTGGCTTCTAACTTGTTAGAGAGAGCAATTGATAAACTTTGTCTTTCGTACATTTTCTTCATTTCCATCTCTCTTCTTAATTCTTGTTGACGTTGCTTTTCTTCAAAGAGCTTGAACGATTTCAAGTCTTCTTCAATTTCCTTCTTAGCTTCTTCTTCTTTTCTTTGTTTAATGGTTTCGTTGTAAGCCAAAAATGAAGAAAGTTCCTTCTTGTTGCTTTCCCTAGTTTGGACTTCCTTCTCCTTTTCCTTATTGATTTGTTTCTTAAGTTTGTTGACAAGTTCTTCTTCTTCTTCCTTCTTCTTTTGATCGATCATTTGTTTTCTAATCTTGGATTGCTCTAATTGTTGATCTCTTACTCTCTTTTCTTCCAATATTCTCAATCTTCTCTCCTCTTCTCTCTTCTTTTCTTCTTCTGCTTCTCGTTGAGCTCTTGCTTTTTGCTCTTCAATGTATTTTTGTTCCTTCTTAATCTTGATTTCTTCTTGACGGTGGTTTTCTTCCTTTTGCTTTTGCAATGTTTCTCTCAACTCTGCTTGCTTTTGTTTTTGACGTACGTACTCTTGATGTTGTTCATTGTGATATTCCTCAGTGTCCTTAACTGCAATGGCAGCCCAAATGTCATCACCACTTGGTGGCTTGTTTGGTTTGGCAGTCTTTTTGATACCACCTCCGAATAATCCACCCAAAGTTCCAATAGCATAAGCAGGTTCTTCTTCTGTTTCTTGTTGTTGGTTAGAAGTGGTACTTCTTGCAATTTCGGATCTTTCGCTTTGGTGAGAGCTTGAACTCTTTTTAGAAGCTACACTGTGTGTATCGAGAGGAGGAATAGAATGTCTAGAGGATGCTGTTGAAGATGCTTTTGATAGCATTCCTTTTACCTTGTTGGCAATAACCTTCAAGTCAGCTTCGCTACCTTTTCCTTCCTTCATAAGACCATCTACATCCCTACTGATCAAACTCAATGCTTCGGCAGGTATTTGAGCACTGCCTCCTTTTTTAACCAATTCAATTACTTTATCACAGAGAAGAGCCTTCAGTTTGTCCTTCTTTTGTGATGTTGTTGAGGCCTTTGAGCCCTTGCTGATTGTACTCATATTTTCTTTTTTTTTGATTTCTGTTGCAATTTGGAGGGAATTTTCTTACAGTTGTTTTTGGCGCCAAACCAAACCAAACCGTTACAGCAAACTACAGATTGTTTTCTCTAGTTATCAAAAACAATATTCCGATCCGAAGAATAAGGAACGAATTTTTTAAATGAAACAACAACCCTTTCAGCAATCAAGTGAGAGTGGTTCCATCACAAACATTAGAAAATACCTCAGAGGATCCATCTTCATTGGTGAGAACAATTCGATTCACAATGAAACTGTCGAGAGCTGCTTGTTTTAATCTCAGAGTGAGATGAGGAGAGAAAAAGTTGTTTTCCAATTGGAGAATGTCAATGAGAGGTAATCCATTAGCTTGAAGATAGTGTTTGTCCAATAGTTCAGTTGTATCCGTGGAGTGAGAGGCAAAGAGTTGGGTCAATTGGAGACAAAATTGTTCTGTTAGAGTATTGGAGGATAAATCGAGAGTATTCAAATGGAATGGTTGATGTTTGTTTCGTTTTTCTGTGAGTTGCTGATCAATTTTGGTTCTGAGATAGGTCAGAATGTTCTTCCCACCATATTCTTTGAAACGATTTCCACTCAAATCTAAATATCTAAGAGAGGTATTGGAGAGGAGAGAATTAAAGAGAGAATCTGAAATTTCATTGAGGGAGCATGTGGATATGGACATTTTCTTCAGGGGGCTGTTGGAGGTGATCATTAGAGACAGAGAAGAACCACACAAACGGAGGGAATGAGTATTGGAAATGTCCAATGTGGTTAGGGATGAATTATTGGCCACAGCAAGTAGGAGTGATTCGACCATTGTTTGGGTTAAATCACAATTTGAGATCAAAAGTTCTTTCAAGTTGCAATTAGGCCCATTCAAGTATTCTATCAATTTGCTAAATTCATTTTGGTGTACAATTCGATAATTGTCATTGAGGAGGTCTGTTCCCCCGAGTTTGTTGTGACTAATATTCAAATGTTCCAAAGAAATACCTGAAGAATAGTTATTCAATGCTGTGAATAATGCATTCACTCCAATAGTTCCAACAAAGTTATTATTACTCAAATCTAGATGTTTGATACTTTTGAAAAAGTCTTTTTGAGATGAGAGGTGAATGAGAAAGTCATTTTCTACATTGTTTTCTGTGAGTATTAATCTTGTTATATTTCTTATGGATTCTCCTGAGAGCATCTCATTGGCCATTACTGAACTCATTTCATTGAAGGAAAAATTCAGCTCCACTCCATGCATATCTGTTGAGTTATATTCCAATATTTCTCTAATTGATTTACAGGATGAGTGATACAGAGATATCGATCTGAATGAGAGTTTCTTGAGTTTGGGTGGATCTGTTTTTCTCTTTTTGGAATCAAGCTCGTCTTCTATAAACAAGTTATTATTTTCTCTTTTCTTATTGGATTCCAATGTTGTTTCGATTGGGACTGAAGGAGACAGAATGTCACTATAAAAATCAAATTCATCATATACCATGGCATTTGCTGGTTCTATTGGTTTCTTTTCCATGATATCATCACTAAAATAGACTGAATAATCTGTTGGAGGCACATAGATGGCGTCTGAGTAAATATCTAAAACCATTGCAAGATTGGACTCTGTGAAAAATGTATGATAAAATGAAAGTGATTCTACATTATTACACTGCTTGAGAATATGAATAATATTTTGAACATCTGAATCTCTCATATCTCTGAAGGATATTTCATGAACATGAGTAAAATTGCTAAAAAACTCCTCAATCGAACAACTTTCATCCAAATATTTCAAGAGAGTCTTTGGAACTGATATTTTTTTCGAATATTTAGCAAATTTAGAAACAGCTTGTCCAATCGTATTGAAAATACGTTTTGAGTAGTGAAATATTTCATTGTTCTCATCAAATTCCGAAAATGCAAGATTAAGAACAGAATCTGCAATTGGTAAATCGAGAAATTCCTTATAAACAACACAATCTTCATTCACTTTTTCATTCTCTTCATCACTCATCTTGACAAATTCAATAATTTGTCTCTCCGATAACACATTCACCAAACACTTTTGCAAATAACTTTCAAAATAGCTTGTTATATGATAACCTTCATCATCCAAGTCTTCGAGTGATGATAATCCCAATTCCTCACCTTCCTTCAGTAACTGTCCTTGTTTTGTCTGCAATTTAGAGTAAATTAGAGGTTCTCCAAATTGAATTCCGATTAATCTTGCAAAACATTGATCCACAATCCTTTGCATTAATTTCCTATTATTCAAATTAATATTATAATTATTATTCATCAATACATTTGATGATGAAGAGTTTGATGAAGAATAAAGAGAATAGTAATGTTCCAATGAAGAGGCCGATTGATAGGATAGTAATTCTTCAATTACTCTCATCGGAAGCAAATCTAAAAGGCTTGTTGATTGTTGCACATTGTGATGATTTTCCAATGCAGAATTGTTGTTGGTAGGAATAATAATGGAATTGGAGACTGCCCACTTGGAAACAAGTGTAAGCAGTGTATTGCTTTTCGTATTTACTCCCATAATGTTGTGCTCGGTTTTGCTTTTTCACTTTAAAACATTTTTTTGTAAATTAAGTTTGAAATTCTTGAATTAATTGAATGTGAAGTGAAAATAATAGAATTAAAATTGCAATTTATTGTGGATTAAGTGACATTTATTAAAAAAACTTGGAACAGTAATATGCTACCTCCATTAGCTTATTGATTAACAACATTTTATGATAGATATCAAGAAGCGTCGATGGTTTAGTGGTAGAATACGGCGTTGCCATCGCCGTGACCCGGGTTCAATTCCCGGTCGACGCATAAATTATTTTCCATTTCAACATTCTTTCATTTTCTCTTTTTCAACTTTATACCACTTAAACTAGACATGTATTACTATCTCTACTCCAAAAATCACATCTTTAAACTCAATATTCATCGAGAAAGAAACCTCGGTTTTTACCCCATTTTTTCTTTCATTTTATTAAAAGATAAATTTGGTGAACTTTGTAAAACTCAAAAAAAATGTCTGAAATCGATAAACAACCAAACCTTCAATCAAAAACTTCTACACATCCTCTTTTTGCATTCCTTCGTGATTATTCAATCATAGTTGGTGCTCATCTCTGCTCTGTAACTTTCACTGCTCCTCTCATAGAGCAATGATGTTATTACAAATTCAACACATATTTCGAGAAAGATCACAATATTCTGGAATTTCAGAGAGGTGACTGAAACAATGCATGCAAGTAGAAGAGAAAGATTTATAGTTAAAATGGAATGAAATACTACAACATTCAATTCGCAGCCAAGAATCGGAACTTTGTTTATTTAGTTTGAATCTTACACAAGAATTTAGAAGAAACATCTAAACCAAGATAGCAATCAGGAACAACAATAGCTTCCAATTCCTTATCATTTTCAGAGACTGGAAGATAAACTTCAGTACGATTGAATTTTCTGTTTGCTCTTACTCTCTTGAGAGCTAATAATTCATTGTTTTGAGGGTTAGAAACAATCAACCAGAATCCTTCATCCTTTTGTTTGGTATACATTGGTGTGTAAGCTTGTTCTTTTGGTTTGCTTAATCTTTCAATGTTGACAGAAACTTCAAGTTGGTGATCTTCTTCATCGTGAGTAACCTTGTCAATCTTTACAGTTAAATATGGGAATTCTTCAACAATCTTCATGAGATTGGATACTAAGTTGTTCTTTCTCAAATATTTGGAAATCAATTTTTGCAAAGCAGACTCGCCTTGTTGATATTTAACATCCAACAATTGCTTGAGACCAGTGACATTTTCCTTTTGAGCTAAGTTTTGAATAAAGTTGTGAATATCTTCTGAAGAACTTTCAGTATTTTCACGTGGACATTGCAAATTACTGAACAATTGATAGAGGGTTGAATCTGTTGCCCATCTGGCTTGCATGATCATTTGCAAAATGTGCATCATGTTAATTGTTGGTTGCAAGTATCCCTTTTCGGCACAGATATCAATATAGGATTGAGAAATACGGATGGTAGAATCTAAAATTGTTCTAGTATCAGTAATGTAGTCGACAATTGGAAGCTTGACTCTTTCAAAGTGAGCTTGTAAAAGTAAATAACACTTAATGTGTGGAGATTCATAGTCGTGCATGTAAACTCCAAGAGGAACAACTTCACTCAATTCCTTATTCAACTTGTCTTCATTATGTCTGACAGGGATTTCAGCAAATTCCTTAGCTTCACAGAGAAGTTCTAACAAGTAGTTAACGTTAGAATCAGCCTTGATGAGTCTGTTGAAATGAGAAGCAGTTCTATATGACAAATAATAGAAACTGGCAATAATACCAGTTGCTGTTGGTTCCAAATAAATTCCCTTGGCCTTTTGGATTTCCTTTTCAGCCTTTTCCTTCTCAGCTGTCATAGTACCAAAGGTTGATGATTGTGTTTGAGAAGCCATAACTTCCCAACGTTTCTTCTTATCAAGATTCAAATCAATAGCTTTAACAAGTCCAGCATATTCCAAGTCATCAATAATACTGGTAATCTTAGTAGATAACCACTTGTTCAATCCTTCATAGGACAAATCTTCAATACCATAATAGCATGGATTTTGGACAAGACGACGGAACATGAAAGTCCAAGTTAAATAGTCCAAACAATCTTGTTTGGTCTTGATAGTTCCTGAAACAATTTCCGCATTGATGTGGTCATGCAATTGAGTATGCAAACTTGATTCAATTGGGAATGGTTCATAGAGGAATCTCTTGTAGAAATTCTTCTTAATATCGTGAACCATGATGAAAACTCTACCTTCAGTATCGAAACCTGGACGACCAGAACGACCAGCCATCTGTAATACATCAACAAGTGGATAATCTTCATATCTCTTTGTGGATGGTTCAAAAAATTCAGTACCTTTGATAATGACAAAGTATGCTGGCAAGTTGACACCCCAAGCCAAAGTACTAGTAGCAACAAGGACTTGAATCTTACCAGAGTGGAAAAGTTCTTCAACGAGTTTTTTGTCTGATGGAGTAAGACCAGCATGGTGAATACCAATACCATATTGTAAGAATTGTTTGAGGTGAGTGTCACGAGCAAGTTCCAAAGCACTAATAACTTCATTTTGGTCCATTCTCAAGAATCTGTGAGGATTTTCATCAGCAGAACAATAACCAATCAAATCCATTGCTGTCAATCTGGTTTGTCTTCTGGAAGAAACGAAAATCAAACAAGGTTTGTTGTTGGAGTGTCTCAAAATTGCTTGATAAGCTGGCTTATTCATAGAATTCATTCTTGGACAATAGTTCTTACCACTGAATCCAGAAATACTAATTTGTAAAGGAACAGGTCTTACAGAACTCTTAAAGTTGAACAAACCTCTTTGTCCAACACCCAACCAATCGGCCAAGTCAGTAGCATTAGCCATGTTCGTACTGAGACCCATCAAACGAATGTGAGTTTGAGTGTTCCAAGAAATATATCTCATACGAGATGTAATGACTTCTAAAATAGCACCTCTTCCACTGCCAAGCAAGTGAATTTCGTCCATGACAATCAAACCAACATCTCTGACATAGGAACGATTTTGCCAGTTACGAGAAATACCGTCCCACTTTTCAGGAGTTGTAATAACAATATCAGCTTCCTTCAATAATTTAACATCAGGAGTGAAATCACCAGTTAATTCGACCATTTTCTTGCCTAACTTTTGAACAAACTTCTTTTCCCATTCAACAAGTCTTTCTCTAACAAGGGCCTTAAGAGGAGCAATATAAATAACCTTTTGATTTGGTTTAGTATTGAACAATCTAAAGATACACAATTCAGCAGCAAGTGTCTTACCAGAACCTGTTGGTGCACCAATAAGAATATTTTCATCAGTATGGTATGTCATGTGGAAAATTTGTGTTTGTACAGGGTTGAAATATTTGATACCCTTATCAGCATATAACTTTTCATATTCAGGATTGTTCAAGCAGGTGATTGGAAGAGGATCCAATGGGAGAATTGGAGTGCTTGGAGCAAAACCTTCTGGTAAAATAATATCCTTAATATTGACGGTAATTTGTGCTTCTGCACTAATCCACTTGTCAGAAACTGCTCTAATAATAAAATAGAGAGGTCTTGGATCTTCTCTGAAAGGAACAACAAAGTTGAGAGAATAGCATGGTCCTTCTTCGTCATCTCTTGATTCTTTCATCATCTTTTCATATTCATCATGCTTTAACAAGAAGTACTCAGAGTGATAGATGAATTCAGAGTTTTCATCTTCAACCCAAATCCACCAAGGCTCTGTTTCTCCGTGCAATTTCTTGTCCCAAGTAAAGTTTGGTCTGATTTTAACTTGGAAACGAAGAACATTTCTTGTAATTGGTTGAACGTTAGCTTCCAAATCCAAGTGAGGGAATCTATCAATATGTTCCATAATAATTCTACCCATTCCTCTAACATTCAATACTTGATCCAACTCGGATTCTTCATATTCAACTAATTTGGAGAGGGTCAAATTCTTGTTTTCAAGTTTTTGCAAGGCAAAGGTTGGAATCTTTGACATTTGTCTGAGTGGATGTTCAAATACCCATTGTCTTCTTTCCATACATTTTGTCAAGGTTAAAAGTTTGTCAACTAAAGATGACCAACGTTCCTTGATAGCAATTTCAAAGATTGCTCTAATAATTCTACCAACACTCTGAATAATAAAGGCACAATCGGAAATGAGAGATGAATTCTTAATCTTAACATGGGAAATGTAACTTTGAATCAACAAATTTACCTTTCCAGTGAATTCATCTTGTCCCTTTGTAACTTTAACTGGTGCATTGGCTGATAATTCAGCAAGTTCTTCAGATTCATCTTCTCTAACCTTGATATTCTTGAACTCTCTGGCACTAGCAACTATGTGGAGAACATCAGATTCGGACATCTTTGGATGGAGCTTTTCATTGTACAATTGAATTGTTTCGTAGTGAATATAGAAGTGAGAGGCGATACGACCCAAATCAGTTGCAGAAACAACACCAGTTCTTTCGTCGTAGATAATCATCTTGCTTTCTTGTAACATCTTACAGGCCTTTTCAATAAGACTCTTTCTCATACCAATCAATGAAGGATCGAGCTTGACTTCCTCAGGTAAAATACCATAATTCATTGGGTTTTGTCTCATTCTCAAGAAGAGGTAAGTATAATTCAACCATAAACAACCTTCTCTGACATTGGACACTGTACCCAAAACAATTTCAGCACACAAGTGGTTAGCCAAATCTTGTGTCATTTGTGATTCGATTGGTAAATTTCTCTTTAACAAGTTGAGGTAACGAGGTAAAACTTCATAACTAGTAATAATAACACCTTCACCTTCAACGTCAAATTGAGGTCTACCAGCACGACCGAAAATTTGCATAATATCCAACATTCCAAGTTCAGTCATGGTACTCTTTTCAGCATTATAAACTTCGGTACCCTTAATAATACAACAATATGATGGCAAGTTGACACCCCAAGCGAGTGTAGAGGTACAACATAAAACTCTAATAATACCTTCAGAAAAGAGCTTTTCAACAAGATTTCTGTCTGATCTAACTAAACCAGCATGGTGAATACCGAGACCTTTTGGTACCAATTCTTTCAATTCTCTATTGTGACACTTTTCTAATGATTTAGTTACCCACTTTCTGGTATGTTCACTCATTTTAACTCCAGCAGTGAGCATATCAAGAGCATTTTCTTCAACTGCCAAATCAATTAAAGCTTTGGCAGTAGTGGAAGTTTCCTTTCTGGAGTGAACGAAAACCATGACTTGTTTTTCTCTCTTCAAATTCTTCAAGGTTCTATTGAAGGCAATTTGATTGTATTCCTTATTTCTAGCAATTGGATTTCTAATACTGACACCAATAAAACTTTGTTCAAGTGGAACAGGTCTATAGGATCCATCAAAGAAGTGCAATCCGGAATGAGGATCAACTCTGAGGAAGTTAGCAACATCCATATAATTTGGTAAAGTAGCAGATAAACCAACCAAACGAATCATACTTTGTGTTGTTTCAACTTGTCTTAAAGTTCTAGCAACAATAGATTCAATAACTGGACCTCTGTCTTCATTCAACAAGTGAACTTCGTCAATAATGATCAATCTAGTCAATTGAATTAAAGCTTGATCAGAGGCTTTTCTGGTTGTTACGTCCCACTTTTCAGGAGTAGTAACAATCATTTGAGTTTGTTGTACTTCTCTCTTTGTCAATTGCATATCACCAGTCATTTCTTTTACTGTAATGCCAAGTGGTGCAAGTCTCTTGGAGAAGTTTTCAACCATTTCAGCTGCCAAAGCTTTCATTGGAGCAATATAGATAATCTTGAATTCTTCACGTCTAATCTTTCCTCCCTTAAAGTGTTGGCCAATTTCTCTCAAAACTGTCATCATTGCAATATTTGTCTTACCGCAACCTGTTGGAGCACAAACCAACATGTTTTCACTAGTTTTATAAGCAGAATAGAAAACATCAGATTGTACACGATTGAGGTGAGTATAACCTTTGAATGCAAGTTGAGCCCAATCTTCAAATATAGAAATTGGAACAAGTGGTGTGTTATCTTCACGTTTCTTTGGAGCAGGGAAGACGTGTTCTTCATAAGTTGGTTGTCTGATAACTCTTTCTTGAGTTTCTTTATCAGCCTCATTATTGGACTCTGGAATAACATCTCTTCCGAGAACAAGTACTCTAGATTCTCCTTCACCAGCCTTGAGAACATTTCTATCCTTTTCCTTCTTGAAGGTTTGATAGAGTGATTTGAGTTCATTCAACTCATTTTCAGAGTTTCCTCCTGAAAGGTTAAACTTGGTTTGATTCTTTCTACCAATTTTTCTACCTTCCTTCTTGAGCTTCTTTTGAGCATCCTTGAACTTGGATGTTGTCATCTTTACATGAGAGAATGAGTTAATACCTTCAACAGCATTATCTGCCATTTGCATTCTATACAAATCAGCCAAAATTTCTGACTTATGTTCCATGATAATTGACATTAATTCGAAAGCATTTTCTCCAAGAGCATCGAATAAGCGAGATTGTAATTGAACAGCATCTTGTCCCTTCTTTTGTAAAATATCCAAAACAATATTTTCAATACCTGGTGTCTTGCAAATCTTTCTGGCTTCCTTTTCCAACCAATCAACAGTATACATGGAAGAAAGAACAGATTCTTCTTCTTCTTCCTCCTCTTCTTCAACATTTTCTGTTGGTGCAGTGAAGGAGAATAGATTAGTTTGGTCTAAAACATTTTCCAATTGGGATCTAGAGAAGATACTAATATTTCTAAATTGATTATGCAAATGGTCTGCATTAGTAATATCATCAGCAGAACCAAATTCAATATTTTCATCAATTACTAGAGCTTCATCATCATATTCATCATTATCTTTTTCTGTACCAGTGGAAAAGTATGTATTAGTATTCTTTGATTCACCAGTTCCGATAATAAGTCTTTCAACTTTACCATATCTTTTGGCTTCTTCTTCTGCCAAGTTTGGTTTGGCATATCTGTCAATCCAATCCATTAACTTTTCCAAATGTTCCAAAACTTTCAAAATGTGAACTTCCTTGACAATTTGTTCCAACTTTTGTGTCTTTGGATCAAGTGACAAGCCAATACCCATATTTTGTAAATCTTTGAAAACACTCTTAACAGATAAAGTGTTTTTAAACTTTCTCTTAGCAATATAAAGTTGTTTAGCAATCAAACAAGCAACTTGTTGTTTAGAAAGTCCACTAGCAACACCATACTTGTTGGATGAAATTTGATCCAATCTCAATTGTTCTTGCAACATGGTTAAAAACTTTTCTAACAAATTCTTTCCGTTTTGTTCTTCAATTCTACGATCAAAATCCTTGTTGTGTTGATTAGCATTCTTAAAGCTAATCTTTGGTTTAACAAAACTTTCCCAAGTAATACCAAATTTTAATAAATCATCAGATGTATTCTTCTTTCTCTTATTTTCAATAATTGGGAAGAGTTCATAATACGAGGTAGTCTCATCAAATAATTGGAGAGTATTGCTTCCGATGGTTTTCTCACGAATAGTGTTGGATAAACGAGGTGGTGAAATTAAAACATCAAAATTAGAATTAAATTCCTCTTGACTATTTAGATAGGACAAACTTCTAGAACCTGATGAACGAGGTAAAAGTCTATCGATCACAGCCAAGGGATCATTATCTTTGTTAGAGAACATGGTGATTCCTACAAGAAGTGATTTGTTGTTGTGATTTTTTTCAATAATTTAATTTTTAAATTTGATGAACATTTTCGAATTTGAATTAAAAGTTTGCTGCCAAGACTTTCAAATCCAAAGATGAATGTATTAATAGAACAAAATAAGCTTGGGTTACAATTCTCGGATTTACCAATAATTGTTTTCTTTTTGTAAATTGAATCTTTTTAATGCGAGTTTGAGAAAATAGTTGGTAACAGTTTTCAGAGCTTTTTCTTAATTTTACCAACCTACTGCAAAGCCAATTTCACCTGCTACAATGGATAAAATAGCACCAGCTATCACAATTATTGGAGGAGAAAAATCAAAAAAGTTCATTAAGAAGCAAAATATTGTGGCAGCAGCCAGATATGAACTGGTTCCAACATTGTCTATCCACATAGAGATTGAATTGGAAACTACAAATCCTACACAAACTGCATTAACACCTATTAATGATAATTTGATTACATTATTTTCTCTAATCTTTCTCCACAATGGAAGGCAACCTGCCATTGTCAGATATCCAGGTAAATGGAAAAGTAAACCTGCAATTACTCCTAACAGTGGCGGTAAAATGTAATAGAGAGCACTGGAACGTTGTTTCACACGTATTTGATTCGGATTAGTAAAGTTGTTTGAGTTTGTTTCATTTCCAAAAATGAGAGTTTCATTCAGATATGTTCCATTGATAGTTCTATTGGAGCCACTATTTACTAATGCTTCAGCAAACTTGGCACCAATACAGGCACCATAGAATGCTGCAACACTATGCTTTGGACCAACGAGGGCATTAGAAATTGAAAAGCCATTCATGAACTGTTGCTCGGTTACCCACTTTCGTTCAACCATTTCATTTCTCAAAAGAGGAATACCTCCAACTCCACCTCCAAAAATCAATGTTCCGTACTTGTAGAAAAAATTAGACATAATTATAGTCTCCTTAAACACATCTACTCCATTTGTTATGGTTGGCTTTTTGTAAGTTTCGAAAATTACTGAGGTAACAATCAAAACAACAAATAATAGAGCAAAAATCAAAAGCATGGAAATGCCCAACCAAAGAGGTGAGTGAGTTCTAACATTTTTAGAAAACTTGTCCTTTGGTTTTCGTTTCTCTTGAGTTTCTTCCACTACTGTTTGGGTTTCTGCTTGAGGTTCTTGGTTATCTTGTTGAGCTGGTTCAACAGGAAGCTTTTTGAAAAAGCTCTTGAAGAATAAGTAAACAAAGATAATCTTTTGTTTGATGGTCAGCGAGGTTTCTTCCTCGTCTTCTTCGTTATCCTTCTTTTGAGCAGCTTGCTTTCTAATTTCATACTTGTCTATTCTGCTCATAATACGATCATAAATGAGGGAGAAGAAGTAACTAACAAAAGCACCTCCAAATATGAGAATTGGTAAGATCCACATTGGTTTGGCAACCATTGTCAACATGGCAACAAATCCTGCCAATATAAATGAAAATGCTCTACTTTTGCTCTTATTTAACATTGAGGCCATTCTGAACGCTGAGCTCACAGCAAATGCAATACCTGAACAAGCCAAACCGTTTTGCAAGTTGAGAACCCATCTCGGCGAGTTATCATCAATACTAATGTCAGCCATCAGCCAACCAAAAAGCAAATTGGCAATAAAACCAGGTCCACAAAAGAGTAGATTGGCTAAAAAGCCAGACCAAAAACCATGTCTTAACATGGCTATCGAAAATACTACTTGACTAATAATGGCACCAGGTAAGCTTTGAGAAAGAGCATAAATCTCCATAAATTCTGCCTCAGTCAACCATTTCTTCTTATCTACAAATTTCTTTTGAACCTATTTTAACTTGTTACAATGAATTGTTTTCTTTCTACTACATACTATTTGAATACCACCAACAAAAGTTGTCAATCCCAAAGGAAGAAATACAGTGACAGTTTCCTTAATCATGTTCCACAACCATTTCCACTGTTCTTGATTCTTTCTTTCTTTTCTGTCTTGTTTCAATTCTCGAAACAATTCTGCTTGTTCGCCATCTTCTGCCAAACTACCAGACCATTCCATTGAATTTCTATTCTCAGGACTCGATTCGTCAATCATTAATTCTTCCTCATCATTTTGCAATATTACTGCATCTGCCAATTCAATGATTTCCTCATTGCCATCACCTAGTCTTTGATTTGGTTTAACAATTCTAAATGAATTCTCCCTACTACCATTACCAAAACCATTCGTACTCGTACTCGAAATATTACTCAAGTTAAAGCTTACATGAAGTTCTTCCTTTCCAGTAGCATCCGAATTGATGTTACTCAAAGAAGATTGCTTTATCCTTGGACTTGTAGCATTACCATTCGGACTTTCTGTTGTTTTAGTTGTCGTCTTGTTTTTATCACTATCGTTATTACTATTTGCCATACAATCAATAATCTGTTCTTCTTCAAAATGATGGAGAATTTGTTGTTCTGTTTTTTTTCAATTAAGATGTAAATTTAGATGGTCATAATTGAAGAGCACACCTGAATGTTTGCTATCTACTTGTTGATTATTCGGAGAAGGCAATTGTACATTTGTAATAATAAGTGGCCAGTTAATGGTATCCAAATGGTACATTGCGAGGCAAGAAGAAAGAATGGTCGTTGGTATTCACATTTTCTTTGGAATTTCTTAACGGATGGAAAGATTCCGCGCCCTTTCTAATTGCTTTTTTATTGAATAAAAAATGAGGAAATTGAGTAAGGAATAAACGAGGTTGTTGGTTAGAAGATTTTGTTTTCGGAAGAACCAGAAATTGATTCATCAGCAAGGACAATTTAAATATATGATGATCAAGAGTATGGTTCTAAAAGGAATTAAAGTTGAATTCATTGATTCATCCAATATTGTAATTAAGCTGTCAATCAAGAGGACTATTCAAAATCAAGAACCAGAGAGTTGTTGCTGTTAGAAAAGACTTTTAAACTTGTTTAGATATCTATGCTCGTTTGTGACAATCGTCATGGATTTATTCCAATCCAAGTGGTCACATCCTAATAGAAATCATGTATTTATTGCATGTTACAATTCTTCTTTTCACGATTCTTTTTCACAATTTGCTTGAATGAAGGATCATTCCACATAGAGATGGATCTGACCATCACTTCGTTCAGATCCTTAATTCCAGCACCTGTAAGAGCACTTGTTTCCAAGTAAGTGAGACATCCCATCTTTTTGGCAAGTAATTCTCCCTGTTCAAAACTATGAATCTTCTTATGTTTTTTGACAAGTAATTCTCTACTAAGGACTGGATCATCTCTAAAATCAATCTTGGTACAAACAAGTGCAACTGCAGTAGTTGGGCAATGATGTCTTATTTCAGGAATCCATTTTGAAACGACATTATCCATAGATGATTCTGAACTACAACTGAAACTCAAAAAGAATAAATCAGTTTGGGGATAGGAAAGTGGACGTAATCTGTATATGTTTAAATCCGTTAATATTTCATTAGTTGCATAATTTATAAAATTAATAACTCTTCTTAAACTTACCTATCATAATCTTTTGAATGGTCAATCCAAAATACAATTTTAAAATTACTTACCTTCTGGTCCTGCAGTATCCCACAATCCAAGACTGAAAGTTGTTCCATCACAGACATAATTTTGACTGTAATTATCAAAAACGGTTGGCACATATTCATGTGGAAAGGCGTTGGTGGTTAGAGATATCCAAAGACATGTTTTACCCACAGCTCCATCACCTTATTATTTGAAATTTCAATTGATTAATTAGTATTCAAGTATTTTCTCAAATAAATGACAACTCACCAACTTGAACAATTTTAAAAGCACTTGTTGAAGCATTTTTCAACTTGTACTTGAGAATTTCTTCTTTAGGAACGTAGATGTCACTTCCACATTGTGACAAACCTTCAATATAACTGGTTCTCTTGTGGTGATCTCTGTCAGCTTTTGACATGCATTCTCCAATAACTTCAATCAAACGTCTCTTATAGTTGCTAGTAAATTTGAGGTATGAAGTATAGATCTCAGAATATTGATAATTAGTTTCATAAGCTCTAGTTATCTTGTTGTAATTATAGTTATAAGTTTTGCTTGCTTCCAAATATAAATTAATCCTTTGATAGTAATAATCCTTCCAGTATTGATCCTCTGAGGTGAGCTTGCAAATTCTCAATTTCTTAGAGACCAACTCTAATTTACACAAATCTGAAATTGTCATGAATGAGAGAACCAATCTGAAAATGTCATCATTCATCACATTATCAAATACTTCAATATTAAATGATGGCTCACCAGCTTGTTTCTTTTTCTGCTTCTTTTCAATCTTATCTGTTTGTTGGCTGGTCTCTTGAATTTTAGAATCCTCAGTCTTTTGATAAGTACCACCAAATACAAAGTAATTCATAGCAATACTATCATCTTCATTGATCACTTGGAATGGAACATTTGCATGAAATACGGGTCCAACATCTTTGCTTTTGAAAGTGTGGGAAAGAGAATGAGTATAAGTTACATCCCAACCATTCTTGATGTTATTTAAATCAATATAGATACAATCCAAATGGTCAACCTTATTATTACAACCACCAATGGAGTAAAGTCTTTTACCATTTTCTGATTTTTCCAACACCAATGAATGACCAAATCTTGGAGCAAAGCCATCAAGTTCAGAAATTAATACCTCCGATTGGCAAGTAGCCTTATCCACATCCAGAGTAGACAATTTAATCTTTACAAAATCCTTAACAAGATTAGTAGCTGATTTACCACCCAAAATATACCAATCACCAGTTTCTTCATCCAAAACACTAGCATGATAATATCTTCCCTTAATTTCAACACTCAATTCTATCAATTTCCATTCTCTACTCTCCAAATTGAAAATAAACAATTCATTCGATGTGAAACTATTGTTATCATAACCACCAAACACAACCAAATAATCACCATAAATAGTTGCCGATTGACCATAACGTGGACTAATCATCTGATTACCACCACTAACACCACTAACACCACTACTAGGTTCCAATAATCTCCACTCAGAAGTATCAAATCGATACGACCAAACGTCATTATGAAAACCATTTGATTTCCCGCCAAAAATAATCATCTCTCAGCACCATCACCACTACGATCATCATTTTCTTTTCCTTTCAAAAGACATGATGAGTGGAAGTTACGAGCACTTGGTCCGATATTGTGTGTTGTCTTGTTTACCCACTTTCTAGTAGAAACATCCACCTGAATCAGATCATTTACATAAACAAGAGGTTTGTCTAGAGTGTTGGAATTGACAAAGCCTCCGAAAAGGTAGACCTGATCCTTATGAAAGATACCACTGTGACCAATACGAGAGGTTAATTGGTTGAGGGGCAATGAAGAACTAGATGTAGATAACATTTTTTTACATACAGGAAATCAGATTGCAAAATGGAAGAAAAATCAAATTTCATGAAATGTTTTGTGATGAGTGATTTGACGTTTTGATTCCAATGTTCAAAGTTCTTTTTGTAAAGAATATTCATTTGTTGTGTTACTACTAATACGTGGGTTTAGTTGGTTTTAGAATAGTGATCTGAGGAGAAAAATGTTGGTAGAATTTTCTCGCTCACAATATTCACATCTTCATTCAAAAATTTTGTAAAGTATTGTAAATGAATCTGATTACTAAATCCACAAGATTGAGATGGAAGAGTGAATGCAGTAAAAAATCCAAAAGCCAATCCAGTTTTCTTCAAATAGTCCACCAATTTTTGAATCAAATTCTTTAACTTTTCAATGAAATCATCATGATATTTTGTAAGCCATCCATCAAACTTATTCTGGTTTCTTTTAGATGCGAATTCTTTCGTGTATGAAAGAGAATACAGTTTCAACATTATGCCACCTTCTTCATTAATGTAAAATTCATCAATAGAATTGGAATTAAAGTATACTGCTATAAACATTTCTAATATTAAACTTGTTGTGAAATTCTCTGCAAATGTTTGAGCTTTTTGGTTTTTGCAAAGTTCACTAAATATTTGAAAACCAGTTTCATTAATTTGGACAAGTTTCAATGAATCTGGAATGATCACAAATCCTCTCCTATATCCAATTACAAAATGTCCAATAGTAGTGTTATTTACATCTCTTCCAATAATATTTATAAAATTATTGATTGCAAAAGTTGAATAAATATCAGGAGAATTTGAATAGTAAATCAATTCAAGGAATGTTCCATTGTCAAGCTCCAAGTGAAGTTGTGGATTTTGAATCTTGGTTTCAGGATAGATAAATTTGTGAATAGTTTTAATTTTGGACATGGTAAAAGGCATTAATACTTGATAGTTCAATTCGAATGTTTTACGTTCCTCAATAGAATCGAAAAATAAACATTGGTTTCTAATAATTTCAATATCATCATTATCTATCATTTTCAAATATTTTGAAATCGTTAATTTACACACTTGATGATAAATTGATTCTGTTTTTAAAAGCCAAAACAATTGATTTCCAATAGATTTTGATTTCACCGATAACTTCAATAAATATTCAACTAGTACACCATTCACTGAATCAAATTTGACACAATGAATGAGAAATGGTAACAAACTTGTTAATAAACCATGATCTACTTGCTCCAATAATTGAATAATTAATGATTTTACAAATAATCCAATATTTCCACTGAGTAATATTACAATTTCATGAATTTCTGGTTTTTCCCATTGTGAAATTAATTTTCTAGATTCATAAATAACCCATTGATTTTCAAACGAAATTCTTCGAAGGAATGGAACAAGTAATGAGGAATCGCTCAAGTCAATTCCTGTTTCCATATCAAAAGTCTCTAAAAATGGTCGTTCAATAGGCCTGTCCAATTCATATTTGATATTAAAACCATGATTTTGAAACTCAACATTTAGGTAAATATCCGAGTCCAAATGCAAATTTAAATCTCCTTGGTATAATTGAAAGCTTGAATCGAATACTGGACATTTACATTTAAGAAATTCCCTTCTGGAAAGTGTACCTGTCATTGAATCCAAATCGAAACGTATGAGTGAAATTTGAATGCAATAGTCACATGAAATTTCAGAAATCAATGAATTAAATGTAATTTCTTCGTTCCAGTGTAAGTTTTCTGTGAATGGAATCATTCTTGTCGAGTGAATTTCTGAACTTTTCCTATTGGAAACTATTGAACATTCTACTGAATAGGAAAAATATTTCCTTGATTTGAATTGATTGTGTCTGTTTGTAATTCCATGAATTTCCTTAATCAATAAACTGAATTTCTTATCAATATCAAATTAATTTTTGGTTTCCAAAATTTCAATGCTCTTTCTAGGTTCAAAAATTGAAATATTCGAAAGTGAATCTAAAAATTCAACATTAGTTTCTTTCATTTCATCGAAGTTTTTTCCACCACAATCAATATAATCAATTTCCATTCCACAAATAATCTCTCTTTCAGAATCTTTCATTGATGAATTTAAACTCAAGTCCAAATATTTCAATGATTTCATTTTCTCTATAATTGGAATTACTTCTTGAGAAAGTGAACAATTTTGAGCTTTCAATTTTGTTAAATTTTTCATTTCACATTCATTAAGAAGATCAATAACATCATTGGATGAAATTTTGCCATTGCTAATGTCTAAACTTGTTAACAGATCCAAGTTACATAATTTTTTTACCGTTTTGGAATAATTTCTATCAAAGGTAAAACTTGTTAAAGTAAAAGCTTTCCACTCATCTTGATAAACCTTCTCTAATTTCTCCCAAAATGTTAAATCCTGATTAGTAATCTTTAATTTCTTTAAATTCTTTAAATTAGATTTTTGTAAAAAATTAACATCATCAGTAGTAACAAGGTTAATTTCTAATTTTTCTAAACTTTCAGAAACTCTTTCAAATTCTATGAAATTCACATCGCATCCAATCAATGCAAGTGATTTCAAACCGATTGGCAAGGTTCTACTTTCAATAACAACGTCAATTAGTTCCAATTTTTTCAAATTTGGATATTCTAAATTAGCAACAACTGGTTTCCTAATTTTGAACATACGTCCATACGTTTTAGGACCATCAATCGTCAAGGAAACAAGCTGTGCTTTAATTGAATGATCACCTGTTTTTGCATTATTAAATTCATTTTCAATTTTCAATTCTACTAAATTAGGTAATGACAATTTGCTATTCATTAATTCATGACAAATTGAATTATCAGATAATTTAGATCTTCTGATATCAAGAGATTTTAAATTTGAAAATTGATTAATAATAAACCGCAATTCATCAATAGGAACAAGACATTTTAAATATTGTAAACTTGTTCTTAAATTTTCAACAATTTCCAATGTTGCTTGAGAAACTGGGTTTTCACCAAATTCCAATTTATCTACAAGTAGCTGCTGCCGATCAATTTCAAATAGTGCATTATTAATAAATGTTGATGATTTTGCACCTTTAAATTCAACATTAAATTTCGTTTTGGTGAGCGATAGAAACTTCCACTTTTTACAAACGAGAGAAAGCGTTAGGAGGCGGAATTTTGAATGGAGGAAGGAAAATATTTCTAACAACATTTCTGTTGGTAATTGATCAGTTAAATCGTGGCTGTGAAACATCAACAAGTCTGACATTTTTTTGTAAATCTTCATCATTCATTCTCTGCATCCTGTTCGAGTCTTAGTAAAAATTGGAAATTCCTTTGTTAAATGAAATTACAATTGTTTATTATTTATTTCAATTAACATATAAAATAAGTGCAAGTAAATTGTGCAACATGAAATAGAAAAAATTGAACAGACTCAACAAAATAATTATCTCCCCCTGGTGGGCTCGAACCACCGACCTGCAGATTAACAGTCTGACGCTCTACCGACTGAGCTAAGGGGGATCGCGGTCACCAACCAATGATTAAATAATTCTTGCTCAAATTACCATGCCTTATTGCAACCTTTCTGATTTTGAAACCAACCTTCCTGCTTGCCTTTCATGATGGCTATGATAGATTTTAATGTTAATCTAAGACTTCTTCAAAATACTCCAAAAAGGGTGTCATCTTACGATAAATATTAGATGAAATCCAAAAAGAACTTTATTAAGTGATATCAAGGTAGACCACAACAGACTTATTCTTGCTTCTTGCAACATCCGTCCTTCTTGCAACAACACTTCTTGCAGACCAAGAGACCGACGACAGAGATGAGAATACCAGTAGCAACACCACAAGCGAATGATTTAGTATCAACGTTCAAAGACATTTTTTTTTGTTTGTTTGGGTTCTCGGCACCTTTACGGATATTTTTAAAATTCGCCTTTTATGAACCTGTTTTTAGGCTTAAAAGCCATTAAGGGGAATTTTCATTGTAAAGGTGGAAATATAGGTGTATGTTCAATTTGAAAATTGATTTTATGGTCTGATTTTAGGCGTTGTGTGATTTTCAAACAGTTCATTTATTTGAAATGTATCTTCACCAATAATTGGCAGAATAAGCTCTATTCCTAATGTACATTGTTTTGAATTGTGCAGAGCTCTCAGTAGGTCTCTTTCCAAGAGTGTGAAAGAGATTTTCAAAGTGTATGAAATTATTCAATCCTTTCGACTAATCAACACTGATTCGTTATTAATCATGGATTGAAAAATTGGTCCACACTCAGTTTCTGTCATCATTGTGTGTAATGCTTGTGAATGCATCTAGTCAGTATAGTGTTGACAACTTGGATGGAAAATCTTTTGCCATTCTGAAATGGCATAGTCTCCTTGTGGTAAAAGCTCCAAGATGTTGTTTTGTGAATTCTTATTCTTCTTTTGATCTGCAGAAACCTTCATGGTATAATTGATATTCTTTTGACCATCCTCAACAATTTCCTTTTGTTTCATGTAGCAAATATCAGTTCTCAACAAGTACTTGACGCCACCCAAGACATCATTACCTTGATGAAGCAATTCGTGCAAGAAAACAACACCACTACCCATTTCTGGCTTGATATCAAAGGTTTCTTCCTTGGAATAGGTATCAAAGAATTGAGTTTCACCTCCCTTTTCAACATCATTCAAATAGACAAGGAATGTCATAAAGCTTTGTTCAGTAAATTGCTTGACAGGTTTTTTACCTTCAGTCAAGGAGAGAATTCTCTTATTGGTGCCATCAAAATGCTTGAGGAAATGTTGCTTCTTCTCATACTTGTACATTCTAAACTTATCGCTCACACTGAATAATTTCCATTCCTTTGCCTTCTCCAAAGTAGGACAAACATCAGCACGATTAACTTCAGTTGGCAAACTCTTGAATCTAAATTCCAAATCTTTTGGAAGATGCTTGGCCACTCTTTCAAAGATGGTGGCACTATATCTTCTAGTAAATTCAGTGCACTCTTCAATAATTCTCTGATTATTTCTAACCTCGGAAGCCTCCACTCCACACCAAACCAATTGTCTGCCACCAGTTGTAGGTACTTGCTTGTAGGAAGTCTTCTCTCCGTGTTGGATAATCTCCTCACACTCTTCCTTGCTCAACAAATTTCTAAAGTGGAAAATACCAGGTTTAATTTCTTTAAATTCAACTTGACTCATGATGAATAACAATAACTTGGCTCTCTTGTGCAAACACTAACAGATACAGGAGTTGTTTTTTTTGATCTTGTTCAAGTAGAGGCAACAAGTTCTTTCAATTTCAAGGTTGATTTATTAATAAATTATTGGTTGTAACTCCCAATGTTGTAACACACGATTATAACACCACCCAAAAGCCAACCAACTCCTTATGAATTCGTCATCGTTATCCAATTTCACTGAAAGCTTCAAAACAATAATACCAGCCTTGTTATCATCACGTAGAACGATATTCGATAATTGACAAAAAAATTTGATTATTTGGAAAAGCAATTTATTGATCGTCAGCATTGACAACATAAAAGAACACTTCACGAAAAAAGGAAATAGGCAACCAGTTGTGTTCTTTATGCGCTATTGATGGCCTTGTTAATATAAACACTCCTAAAGAATAATAGTATTATAGTAATTACAATTAACTGCTGCTTATGCTGCTGTAATAATTTTCATCATCATCAAAATTTGGTTTTAAACAGATGCAAAATAATAATAATAATAGGAAAGATTTATCTTCTACAATAGATCAAAAGAATGGTCATCAACATCCGAATCATCAAGATGACTCCTCATCAAAAACCATAATTTTCAACAATTCACTACAAAATTTATATGATGACTTTTTCAGGGATTTTAATGCTGATTCTCCAATTCGGAAGATTCTACCATCGAGTAGAGAACATACACCTGGATTGGTTAATATCAATGCGAGCCAGGCCGTTGTTAGGTTTAGAAATTTATTTTCCAAACTTCCTCTGGAAATTCACTATCAAATCATGTCATTCATGGATGATAAGACATTGATGAAGGAGATCTTGTCGAGTAAGTGGTTATCAGTTCTGGTAACTTTGTACATTGTGGGAGGTGGATTGGAATATGCTATTGATAATTCTATTAATGTGTCATCTTCGTCATTGTCATCATCATCCAATACACCTAGTAATCATCAACACAATAGTAACAATACGAGTATAATCAATGGTATGAGTGATGGAAAATCATTAAAGAACCGATTGAAAAAATCAACATTTCAATTCCTGATTCAAACACTTGTGGAAATGGCTAGGAATGGGGAAGATAAGAAAAAGTCAGTTCCCTCCACACCGACTAAACAATCTCGTTCTCAAACCATCACACCAAGAGGTAGAGATACTCCAACTAGTGTAACCACGCCAAGGTCAGAAGCGAATACTCCAAGAATGGTCAGAACAAACTCTGCACACAATGAATTCACACAGTACCTTTCAAAGTTTGATTTCATGGATAAGAAAATTTCTTTGGATATGGATATGGCTAATGAACTCGGAATTCAACAATATTTGATTGATTTTAATACTTTTGATTTGAGATATTTTGGAGATGAAATTCTAGTGGATAGTGTTATTAGTAGCTTTAGAAAGAGTTTGATTCAAATTGGAATTTTTAAGAATATTACTCGTTTAAGTTTGACTTTTACGAAAACCTTTGCTTTTGACTCGATTTTCCCAAATTTGAAAACAGCATCGAGTAGCTTTTTTTCCAAACTAATGGCAACAGGTCAGGACCCAGAGATAACCATCAATACCAGCCCAAATGTTGAAGATCAAAATCTGAATCTTTTAAACTTTGAAAGCTTACTTCCTAGAATTAGAGAGCTGAATCTTCTCAATTACTTACCAAAAAAGAAAGGAGAGCTAAATTCTCTATTGAAATTAACAACCTCACTGGTTTCCTTAAAGGTAGTATTTGATGGAGTAACTACTGGAAGTAATACAATTGACTCTCTGCAACCTTTGGAGCATTTGAAAAAGGGATTGACTCATCTCACAATTGGAGGATTGGTGCCACATGGATTTTTGGATCAAGTAGATATTATTCAAGACTTTCCAAAACTCAAATCAATTTCATTTAACGGAGCAATATCCACACTACCTATGAACCTGAGTAGTGGCGTTGTGGTTGGAAATACATCCAAACTTGCTTCCAAGCTTTTTCACTCCCTCTCCAACGAAAGTCAAGTCATTGAAAAATTCTTGAACAGGCTCAAGAGTTCTCATCTTCAATCAATAGATTTTTATCAACATAAGGCCAGTACTGAATCTGATACACTATTCCAACAATTGTTGCAGTATCTCAAGAAGCAGACGTGCTCTAATCCTATTGTACTATTTCCAATGTTAACACGACTTTCCACTGTAGATCATGGAGCAGCAACTGATTGGTCATTTATACTTTCTGGAGGATTGGCTGATCAATCTTTCGTGCTGGGATGTAAAAATACTCTCCAATACTTCCGTCACACTCAGAACGGCTCAGTTGATGTCACATCTGGTGTGCTAAAGATCTTACGACATCATACCAAATCATTGAGAGAGGTTTATCTATTGTCAACTTGTGAAAAGGCCATACTAGACTATGCATTCTTAGGGTTCCCTCAAGGAAAATTCGAAAAATTATCCAAATTGACAATTGACCACTACATGATCAGCGATGAAACCACTCTGATTGAAACATTGGCCATTTGTCCTTCTCTAAGAAATCTGAAAATGACAAATATTACAACCAAAAAAATAGATAACACTCTCAATCCAAAATGTTTCAACTTACTCACCAGTTCCCATATTTTGGAATATTTGGAGATTTCTAACTGCTCCATATCTGATACTTTAATTGCACAAATTTTATATTTATTTAGGAAATCGTTGAAGAGTTTTTCATTGTCTGATCACATTTCCAGTGGAACTCCATCAGTACATACCTTCATGACACTTGTCGAGTCTTCCGAAATTAATCAAGTTCAATCTAATGACTTTACATTAATTAATAATGAAAAGCTTTTGAGATGTTTCAAAGTTCAGAGTTTGACATTTAACAAAACTTCGGCCACTATATTCAATATCCTGTTTACACTCTTTTCCTTCCCTAGTTTGAGATCCATTACTGTTTCCAACCAAAAGAATGATGCTGTTCCAATAGATGAAATCGAGGCAAGTTTTATCAAATTATTTAAAGCAGCCAGTGGAAAATTTAACAACCCAACACTTTCCAAGAAATCATCCGATTCCAGCATTAGCACGAGTGAAATTAATATCATACCAAAATCTCGTTCCGACACTTCTCTATCCTCCAGAAAACCTAGAACTACCCTATTTTTCCCTCCCTCACTTTCCCATATTATTCTGAAGAACAATTCTCAATTCTTCAGTCTTTCTATTTTAAAGACCATTTACGAGTATCATTCCCACAGTTTAACATGTTTAATAATTGACAAACCTGTAAATATCAAAGCTTTGGATTGGAAGAATGAATTTACCGCAAGCGAGAGGTTATGTCACAACCTCAAATCTTTCCACATTCACAACTACAAATTTTCCAATGAAGAAATTCCAGAATTATTGGATACCTTGCGATGTTATCACAAATTGAATTCACTCTACATTGAATTGGATGGTAACAATCCAACCAGAGACTTTTTCGAAAGATTGGAAGAAAAATGTACAGAATTGAGAGATGTTGAAATTTTTGGAAGAGGAACAAAAGACTTGTCCTATCAAAGTCTACTCAATTTTGTCATTCAACTTCAAAAACTAAAACGATTGAGATTGTATTTTGTACCTAGAGTTACAACAACTTTTACAGGTGTTTCAAGTATTGACGATCTAAGGGAGGTCTACAGATCTAGAATGAATAAGACACCTCCCGAGATTGTTTGCGAGAGATCGAACCTTCTAAATTATCCTCTCTTTTAAAGGAATTTTGATTAAATTATTTATTTAAATTGCTTGGGGAAAATAAGTTTATTCAAATTTAGCATAATTATAAACAGCAATTCTAAATGAGCCATCATCAGTTGCATAATTTTGTGGAATATAGAGCAACAATTGACCTTCATCATCCATCTGAGTAAAAGCCTTAGACAAATCATTCTCAGCAGATTCTATTGGATAATAATTTGTTTCCTCATTCGACGATATTGGAACTTTCACAATTTCTCTATTATTATTCACACAAACAACCTTTGCTTGATCGCTGAACATTTCACAATTGGAAAATCTCTTAATTGTTGCATAGAATAATCCACCCATGGAGTAGAGAGCTTTTGAGGCAGCTTCATAACGATAAACGATATTACGAGTTGCAAACTTGGAGTAGACAATACTAATCATTGAATTGAAGCAGCTCAATGATTGGATATTGAAAATTCCAAAAGAATCCAAATCTTGTCCATCAATGATTTTCAATGAATACGGGTCAACCAACAACAAATGTGAATAGGTTGAGTTTCCAATACCAACAAAAATACCTGTATCTTTCATGAATGCTACTTTTCCAGTGGTCATCAATGGATAACCTTGCTCTCTCAGTAAATTATTCTTTGGATCGAATGTGAAAAGTGAAAGAGATTGAGCCTTCTTTACAAGAATGTGCAAAACACTTAATTCACGATTTTCGTGAACATCAATTACTTGACTGTTAGCTCCAAGTGAAATCACCTCAACAATTTGTGTTAAATTCTTCAAGTTGACTTGAACAATATATGATTTGCCCAATTCCTCACCAGAATAAACAAGATTCAACAAATTGTATTGTGGTGTGAATAAACCACCAACACATGTCTCAACAACTCCCATTGTCATCCATTTAGAGCTCATTGCAATATTCAACATGAAGGAATCCACATGATTGGACGAATCTACACTGTGAATTTGATTCGGACCACTTGCAACAATAAAGTAACCTTCCTGTTGTTTCATACTGAATGGAATGACTTGATCAACATAGCCAGAACGATTAATATCAATCTCCATGATTTGATCTGGCTTGATTCTTGTTGTTGATGTTAAAATCTTTACAGAGGCAGCACAAGAGGTGATGAGAAATGTAAGAAGGATGACAGCAAATGCCACAGTTTTGAATACAGTTTGCATGTTTTCTCTTGTTTTTTTTGATTGTCAACATGTTAAAAAGTAGCAACGGAGTTTTTATATGGTTGTTACTTGGTTATAAAGTTTAGGTAGGGTGTTTGTTGTTGGCTTGAGACTTAAACAGTAACCCTCTATATTTTTCAATAGTAGATGTTAGTAGTAGATTGAATGGCTTTTTTACTGCTCCGAACAAGCAAATTAGACTGAAAATGATACAGTACTCTCTTGTAAACTGATTGGTCATTACTGTAGTATCGTTGATTCTGCATAGTGCCAATCAATATTACACTTTAAACCCAACTAAAGGTTGGGAATTCCCAACTCTTTCCAAAAATATCTTAGCATTGAAAATCCTTTAAATTCCCACACATATTCTCAAATAACCATCAATTTTCAAATAAAAAAAAAAGAATGACCTCCATTGTTGCAGGAACATTAACATACCTAGGATTTACTCAAGCCGTTTCTTGGTTTGGATTTACTAAAGCTGGCATTGCTGCTGGTTCTTGTGCAGCAGCTTGGATGAGCTCAACTGCAATTGCTTCAGGTGGTGGTGTAGCTGCAGGAAGTGCCGTTTCTACAATGCAAGCTGCAGCTGCCACTGGTGCCATTGGTGGACCAGTTGGTGTTGCTGTTGGTGTTACTGTTGCAGGTGCTGTTGCTGGTGTCAAGTTTTATTTGACTGGCTGGCCATTTTAAATGATTATTATTATTGGTTGTTTTCAACTTTACATCTCACTTCAATTCACTCTATATATTCTAAATAATGTAGTTATTATTATCAAGTCACAAGACAATATGCCTCTCTGTAAATAATAAAACTTCCCCTTCTTGTGTTGCATCTAGAATATGCTCTTTGGATAATAGGATAATGTATTATAATGATGAAAATATAAAGGAATAATTAGGGTCTTGTTCGAGTACTTTATTGATGAATTCTCTCAGATTTGCAGTGATAACTCCAATCATCTAAAGGATGGATATGGAGTAAAGTTTACACCAATCAATTCGTCACTCAATCCACCAACAAACTTCTCTCTCAATAACCATTAACAGCTCATTTCAAAAGAGTTGGTTCTTTCAATTGAGCCATCTTTTTCTGAATTGCCATTCTAGCTCTCTTCTCAGAATCACTCTCTCCAGAGGCATAGAACTGATACAATCTTCCTTCGAATACCTTATTCTCAGAGGATGGCAAAATCAATTCTCCCTCCACAACAAAATAAACTTCAACAGTTCCAAAATCATCAACAGGTTTCAATACAACAGCCAATCCAAGTTCCTTTAACCTATCCACAAATCCAGTTAATTTGGAAGTTTTGTGCATAGGTGGCGAACCTCAGCAAGCTGTTAACTATATTAAATACGAACGCATCATTATCAATTTTACATCGCGAGAAGATGATGATTATTTGTTCCTTAATATAAAAAATTGATGATTCTCATCAAATAACTTACTCCGAACTCAATCACAACAGTCGGCTTTTCAGCGACGGCAGTTTTTTGTTTGAACATTTTTTTTTAATTGTTTTTTTGTATATCCTAGTTTGGCGGGAAGCTTATTAAGGATTTGAGAATGCGGCGAAATTGATCCAGTTTATTTCTCCTCCATAATTATTGAGCCATTTTACAATAGAGTTTACAAAGAAAGGTTGTGAAAATAATTTTTTACAGGTTAGTATGGTGAGAATCCTAAAAAAGCTAAAAGAACGAGTTGGTCTAAATAATGCATGTGAATCATTACAAAAATTCTGTTTACGGACATCAAGTCAGACATCATTGAATGATTTAGAAACATCAAAATGTGAAAAGGCACATCAATTGCAGAAAAGTTTCTTAACAAGCTGTATACAAAAAATTGTCTCTTTACTCACAACATGACAGATCAACTCTTTTATTCGATTCTTCACATTCTATACGAATCACAATCGAATAACTCGTCGAGCAGCAATAATTCAACTTTTTGCGATCCAACACTCTTCACAACACCATACAGCCGAGAAGCCAATCCCAATCAAGATTACGATATTTGTCCTGATACAACAGTTTCGTTTGGTGTCGTGTTGACCTTTCTAATATTATATGTAAGCTTATTGGTTGTCACTTCGATATTGATTTTGTGGAAGAGAAATTCAGGACATGTTGTTGCGAGAAATTTATCACATCTCTTCTTGACCATGTTTTCAGGTTTATTCTTTGTGGCAATATTTTGCCTTCGAATAATTATTGGACGAAAGCAATTTCCTTGTTCGCTTTATTCTTGGTGTTTCTTTGTAACTGGACCTGTGATTTGTTTGCCGACAATTTGTCGATGTTTAAAGTTGTATTTCATGTACAAGTTTAATTTACAAAAGACGAAACTTTATGGACATTTGGATGAGCAGAGTAATGTAGACGAAAAGGAATTACCATCAACTATTAGAATGCCACATCAAGAATTGTTTCATTCTTCAATTTCAACCACTTCTTCATCTCCAAAATCAGCCACACCTGTGGATACACCACTGGACACACCAACAAGTTTACAATCCTCAACCAGTACTAATGAAGTTGTTTTCATAGATGCAAAAGAATCCATTTCCAATCGTGAGATTGAAATTCCAATGAAAGAACTGAGGAAAATGAAATTCTTCCAATTTATGGGCAGTCACTCTTTCGTCATTTTGGTTTATTTGGGAGTTTTCGTATTTCAAACTATTTTATGGGCCATTGTTGGTGGAATTGATGAAATTGTCTACACAATCAATAAGAAAACAGATCCTTCAGCAAAAAGAGCTCTCATTCCAGCTGGTTTCTTTGAGTCTGGTTATGGATGTATCATGACTAGTAGTATTCTTGGAATAATCTTGACAGAGGCAATTATTTATATTGCCATGGAGGTATTTACATTGATTTTATGTATCAGATCAGATAGAGATACATGGAATATTAAGAAGGAATCATTGATTTATGTGGTGATTCAATCGATTGGAATGGGAGCTTTTATTGTAGCTGGTTTTATACCAATTGTTGGATCATTGATCGATTATTATGTGCCCTATTTGCTCTTTATGTGCACAGCACTTTCTTTGGAGACTGTTGTGTGTGTACTATTGCCTGTTTGTTATGAACTCAATCAGGAATTGAAAATTGCTTGGAATAATTTGAAATCAGTTTCAGTAGAGGAATCAAAAAAGGAAGTGATAAGTGGTGCAGAGCTAGTTCTGAAAAACAGAAAGACATTCAATATTTTATTGGATTTTGCGAGAAGATCCTATTGTCCTGAACCTGTACTTTGTTGGCAAGATATTCAAAGATACAAATCTCCACAACAAGTCAAAAATCGAAAGGAAATTGCCAAATTTATTATTGATAATTATATTTCTTTGAATTCTCCTCTTGAATTGAATATGGCATCCATTGAGAAAGCACGTTCTGACCTAATGATTGAAATTGAAAAGTGTGGAGATGAGAATTTACCCTCCACTCTATTTGATGGATTGGAATTGCATTGTATTCAGGATTTATCTGATGTAATGCATCGTTTGACTCAAGCCAATTCGGATATTTCAAGATTCTTGAGAGAAAATCAGAATTAGAACTACAATACTTCACTAGGTATATCAATTGTGAAATTGGAATTGTTTTAAACAATTTCTTCAAAACAAATGAGTTTCATTCAGCGCATCTTTGCATGGCAGATTGTTGACGACTAGCTTTTTCTCTAATATGATCCAGAGCTACCTTTTTCAATCTTTTGTAATTTTGTGAAATTTTCTTGCTGTTCTATTTTGTTTGAATTTCTTTCATATTTTCTGGAATAATCTGTGGATAATAACTTTCATCTAGGTCATAATTCCACCTTCCTCTTGAAAGTTGTTTTCTTTCATCGAATGCCGTCTTTCTAAATTCAGAATAATAAATTTCAAATAAATTATCAAATCCAAGAATGGAATTTTTCAATCGTTTAGAAATTAACAATAAATTAGGTAAATCCTTCATTGGAACGTATGAAAAGGTGTGTAATTTCACCTCTACAGGAACAGTTTTCATAAATGAAGCCAAACATCCTTTTGGATGTGGACAATCTTCCAAAAGATTATCAAATTTGGTTGCTGGTTTAGCTGGCTCTTGTACGTTGCCCATTCTTTCTTTTATCTTTGTTTTTTATTAAATTTATCAAGTTTTGCTTTGTCCTCTCCATTTAAATAAGGAAAAGAGAAAGGGAAGCAAGTTCACAAGTTCCTTATCTTTCAATTTTTGTAAAATATTTTGAATTTCAAAGATATATTGTATATTGAATATTGAACAATTATATATCAATTATTTGTTTGCTTTATGGAAAACTGTAATGGATTACTATTTCGGAGAAGTAACTCCGCAAACATTTCACAATTTTAATAAAAAACGAAATTAAAAAAAAATGCAAACAAGCAAAGCTTCCATCATTCTCTTCATCACACTGATGATCATCATCGGAGTAGTTTCCTCCGATCCATCTTTGTATTTACCTGACGATTACACCATGATCCAAAATGATTATGTAAAGAACAAGATTTTCCAAACTCAAGTTGCTGCCAATCATAACAAGGGTCTCTTCTCTCATAAAGTTGTTACTCCACAAGGTTTCCATGAATCCTATTTCTATGTTCAATCTGTTGATACTTTCTATGCCTTTACTGAATATTCAAATGGAAAGTGGACTTGTACTAGACGTAAAAATGCTGGAATGCATAATTTGGCTATGGATCCATTGAGATCTGCCATTATTTCTGGAATGCAATATACTGGAATTGTTAATAATTGCTTGAATATCATGACTCAAAAAATTGGAACTTGTGATAGATATGATAACAAAGTTGTTACCAATATGGTGATCGATTATTATATCAATACTAATCATACTGGAGCTTTCCAACTTCCACTCCAAATGTACAAGATTATTGGAGATGGTCAACCAACTTTAATTACTACTTTTAATATTATGGGACAATCAAGTGCCTCTGATTTTTCATTCCCAGTTCCAGAATCCACTTGTCAAAATCAATAAATATTTTGCAAATCCTTAAATCCTCATTCAAACAAAATCAAATTTCACACTCGATGTGAAAATCATTCCCTCTTTCTCCAAAGTTCAATCCACCCATTTTCCCTCTCAGCACCAAAGCACCTCTCCAAAACAATGAAATGCAAAGAACATCCATTTCGACACTTTGATCATTACAGTAAAGTTTATCACTTATCTAATTTGTACAAATTTTAACGTTAAAAAAGTAAAAAAATCGAAAACAACAAAGAACAAGAAAAAACAACAAAAAAACGCACAAGTCATTTGCTTGCTGGTGATTCTTTTTTTCTTGCTTGTGGTGTTGGCTTTCAAATACATTAATTTTTACTTTTTAGAGATATGAAGAATAGTAATGTTGTAGGCTCGGATGATTCTCTTCATCAATTGGCCATTGATAATAACAACGACAACAAAGATAATAATAATAACAACAATAATTTATTTAGAGTAGATTCCGAGAGTGCAATGATGAATGAATCGACATTATCAACAATAGATGAAGATGAAAGGTTTCATAATGATGAAGAACAAAATAATAATATGAATATGAATATGGGTAGTAGTAGTGGTAGTCTGGATGATTTGGAGAGTGTGAGTGTTATCATTCCTCACTCACTATCTTCCTTCACTAATAATTCAAATCATCGCCAACATGTGGACAATGATAATAGTAGTAGTAATATGGAGGAGGTTCTCATTGAAGACTATAATGTTTCCTACTCTCCACCCACTTTAAATCCTCCAACACCAATTAGTCCGAGTAATAGTAGTTATTCATTGAATAAGTTTAGTCATCATCATCACATCAAGAAGCAACAATCAACAAGTTTGCAAGCAATTTTGAATGAGTATACATCATCGGGAAGTTCCACACTTACTAGTAGGCAAAAACCACATCATCAACAAGCTACAGTGCCACCAGGAGCAGCTGCTTCTCATCAACAACAGTTACATGTGGATGAGCCAATTGTTGCACATTCTGATGACGACGAACAAAATCCTTCCTCACCACTCTCATTTTCCACTCAACCAAATACACACTTCCATAGAACTTCCCTCTCACTCCATTTTGAAGATCCTGACGATGATTCGGATTTTTCACATGCTCCAGAGGAAGAATATTTGGATAATCAAAGCAAGTATGTTCATGAAATTGCCTCGATAAAAGGACTGAGGCATCAATTCTACTTGGAAGTATTGTTTTGGTTGTGTGTAGTTGCGAGTGCTGGTTCATTGTTGGTTTGCTGTCGGTGGCTAAAATGGCTCAAATCATACATGACCTATTCGTATAGTAGTAACAATGGTCACTCCTTTGCTGATGCTTCAAAGGTATTAATCAAGGCGAAGGAGACAAACCAGTGGACGATTGTAAAAATTAAGAAAGGATTTGTGAGGAATTTTGATTCGGATTTGAGAGTTTCGTTTGAACCTATCATGGTGCGATATTTTGTATATAGATTTCTAGTATTTATATATGATCCTGTGACGGATAGTTTTCACAGGGTTAGATTTAACACATGTATTCCATTTTCTAAAATTCACAAAATGGCTGAAAAGGAAGCAGAAAATGAAAGAGAATTGAGAGAGTTACTATTTGGTAAAAATTCTACGGAAATTCCAATGAAATCAGGAGTACAAATTCTATTAGATGAAATTTTACATCCATTCTACCTTTTCCAAGTATTCATCCTTGTGCTTTGGTTTTTGGAACAATATTACACTTATTGCATTTCAATAGCAATAGTTACTCTGATAGTTATATCATTCAGTTTTTGGAGAACATATGATAATTTGAAAAAATTGAAGGACTTGACTTCGAATCATTGCTTTGTAAATAGACTTGCACTGAGAGCACCATCTAAATATAATAGAACAATCTATTCAGAAGAGAATGCTAGTAAGAGAAATGAAGAGGAGGAAGAAATGGACTCTCTCGATTTATTCCCTGGAGATATTATTGAAATTACTGATGGTATGACATTGCCTTGTGATGTTATTTTGTTGGGTGGTCAAGTTATTGTTAATGAATCAAAATTAACAGGTGACAGTATTCCAGTCAAGAAGAGGCCACTGCCCTATGATGACGCCAAGTTATATTACCCTTCTAGAGAGAATAATCACACAATATTTTCTGGAACGCAAGTTTTGACAGCCAAACCTTCTCCTAACAGTCTATTCGCAAACAAATGCTTTGGTATTGTGAGTCAAACAGGATTCAATACTCTGAAAGGAAAATTACTCTTATCAATTCTATTCCCAAAGACTGCAGAGTTTAATGTTTATAGAGATTCTCTCAAATTCTTAATTGTATTAGTAGTGACTGGATTTATTGGAATTATTGGAACAGCTGCAAATCTATTCAAATTGGGAGCACCAGCTGGAAATGTCTTTTTACACATTCTAGATATTATCACTATTAGTGTGCCTCCTACCCTGCCATTGGCCATGACAACAACAATAACATTTACTATGAGAAGATTGGGAAAGAGGAAGATTTTGTGTACTTCACCATTACGAGTTAACCTTCCTGGATATGTCAAAATTGCAGTTTTTGACAAGACCAACACAATAACCGAGAATGAAATAGATGTTCATGGAATTTTCCCATCCGTTGAAGGTCTCTTTCATCCATATGTCAAGGGAACTAACATTTCGAAATTATTTGCTTCTAATAGCACATTGGTTCAATGTTTGGCATGTTGTAACAATCTTAGTAGAGTTGGTACAACTTTTATTGGTGATCCTTTGGATTCTAAATTATTCCAGACTAGCAAGTGGTCCATGCAAGATATTTCCGAGTCAGCTTATGGTCATACAATATTCTTTGAGTCAACAGATCAGAAGGTTGAGAAATCCTATTCTAAATTGAATGTTTTTGATTTCAAGAGCTCAGTTCAGAGAATGTCTGTAGTAATTAAGAATAATGCAACTGGAAATTTACACGCATTTGCTAAAGGTAGTGCTGAATCTGTCAAGTCCATTTCTAAACCATCCTCAATTCCTCCAAATTACTCTGACATGTTGAAATGTTATGCTCAGAAGGGCTATCGAGTTATGGCACTGGCCAGTAAAACATTACCAAGCAATCTCACTTTATCCGAGTTGGAAACCCTTCCAAGAGAATATGTAGAATCAGAAATGGAATTTATTGGTCTACTCTTGGTAGAAAACAAGGTAAAGAAAGGAACTTCAAAATCCATCAAAACATTATTGGACTGTAATATCAAGTGCATCATTTGTAGTGGTGACAATGCATACACTTCCATAAATGTTGCCAGAAAGTCAAAAGTTATTGAAAAAAAGAAGGATTGTTACTTGAGTGAATTGAAGAGAGAAATAGTCTCCAATGTGGATTATATTCAGAATATCATGTGGAGACAAACAGAGAGTGGACAAGTAATTACTACAGAAGAGCTGCTCAAGTTGCGTAATATTGACATTGTAGTTGTTGGGGAGGTGTTTGAATATGTACACAATGAACATCGATTATTCGTAAAGAAAACCAGAAGAGAGCCATACATTAACACTAAGAGACCTTCTCTACTTCATATCATTCTTACATCATGCAATATTTATGCCAGATTTTCGCCTAATCATAAGAAAACCCTAGTGACAGAACTTCAAAAAATGGGATATGACGTAGGTATGATTGGAGATGGTGCCAACGATTTGGGTGCTCTCAGATCGGCCCATGTTGGTATTTCCCTTTCAGAAGAAATATCAGTCGCAGCACCATTCACTAGTTTGAAACCAACTGTCGGTTCAATGGTTACAGTTATTCGTGAAGGTAGAGCAAGCTTACTTACCTTTTTCCAAATTTTCAAATTCATTGCCCTCTATTCTATTGTTCAAATCATGACAATTGTTGTCTTACTCTCTAGAAATTGTAATTTTGTGGATTTTCAATTTTTATTTATTGATTTAATTGTAGTCATGCCAACAACCTTGTTAATGACGAGAACTGATGCAAGTTTAGCTCTGAAAAGAGAAAAACCACCAACAACCCTCATTTCCAGATTTATTTTCCTTTCCCTTGGTGGTCACGTTCTCCTTGCTTCTGCTTTCATTTTCCATGTTTGGACTGAAATTATGCGTGAGCCATGGTTCTCTCCAACCATTAACACAAACTTTATGTACTATAAGAATGATTTATTGCGTTCCTATGAGACGACAATAATGTTCTTTGTGTGTACATTCTGTATTATCAATATTTCTATTTGTATGAGTATTTCAAAACCATTCAAGTTGCCAATCATTACAAACAATTGTAAGTTTATTATAAGAATAGTTTGATGTTAATATTTCCAATTAGTTACCTTTACACTTTTCATTATCATTATTTATTTGGCAACAGCTTATTTACTTTTCATACCTACTGATTTATTGAAACAGGCAATAAGCTTGATTAATTTTCCACTCTATTACAAGTTGAGGATAGTAATTTATTCATTGTCACATTTGGCTATTGGTTATTGCTTTGAAATGTTGTTAATTGTTTCTCCAACAAGAAGACTCATTAAGAGATTTACAGTGTTGAATATCGCATTGTTGACTAGAAGAATTTTGAGAGCTTTTAGCATTCCTGTTTCTTCTTGGATTGTTGGTTTAATTGAAAATGAGCAAACAAAGCTCAAAGTTTACAAACAACTGGCCATGTTTAAGCAGACTCAATAAACTTCAAGTGTCATTTTGAGAAATTCATTTTCAAAAACATTTGGTTTGTTGCAAAGATCAAATTTTACAAGGAAAGTTTAGTTGTTTATTTAAATCATGTGTTCTTTCTGTAAAATTTTAGTCCATTTGCAATTGCTATATTTGAAATTAAAGTAAATTTGATGCAGTTCATTTCCAACTCTTTCCTCATGAATTAGAAATGTTTCTTCTGTTTCGTCTAGCTCATTTGGTATGGTCATCATGCATCTGAGAATTCTAGCTTTGTTTTCCTCATTTGCAAGATTGCAATCCTTCAAAATTGTATTATCCACAAACTTTTTTATCAATAAAATCTTAGATTCTGATAAATCTGTTCGAATCAATGGTTTAGGTTGTGGATTTGGTATCTGTGGTTGTGGATAATATTCCAGATTCTCACTTGCGAAATGTACCTTTGGTTTGGTTTCTCGCACATCTATTATGTTAATTTCCTGAATGGTTGGACTCGTAAATGAAATGTTAAATGGTGGCTTTCGAATAGATGCAGTTAAATGTTTGATATTTACACATTTGTGAACTAATTGTTGCAGTAATGAATGTTCCAATTCTGTGTGGACAATTAATCTCTCAATTGGCTCACACAAATTTGAATTTATCAATTGGGGAATCTTGGGAATTGCCTTCTTATTGAGATTTAATATTTTAATGGACGAAACAACCACTCTTTCGAACTGTTTACTCACCAACATTAATCGGAATGCACAGAAATTCTCATTCACAAACGCAAACACCACTCCGATTGCTTCATCACTCAGAAAATTAAATTTGTGTCCAATTTGTTCTTCCTCACAACTGTGCAAACATAATTCAATTTTTCGTTTCTTTTGTTTGTTTTGATTTTCGCTAATTGCTTCTTTATTCTTTTCCTTCCACATGTCCACAATTTGTTCGTTGGAAAATCCCAATTTTTGCAACGACAAGAACCATTCCACATCTTCGTCCATTTTTTTTCTCTCTAATCTCTAATTATTTCTTATTTGAATTGAAATATTAATTAGTAACAATCACTAAAATGGACTCCAAGTTTTTTTGGATCTTTATTTGGTTACTGATTTTTTACATGCGGTCTTGTGGGAGCTCCAATGTGTCTTTTGACAATTTCCAGAGCAATAGAAAACTTTTTGGCAACCTGAACATCTCTTCAAAGGTGCTGACTTGGTTCCTGTCTTGTTGCAGTTGGCACACTTGTCAACAGTTGGAGTTTTTGGTTTTTCTTGGACAGCTGGTGGGGTGGCTTTGAGAGTTTTTTCCATTCTCTTCTTTAATTGATTTTCAATCATTTCTTTCACATTCAAAAGTTTTCCATCAATTTTGATATCCAATTGTGGTTTTCCTCGTCTCAATAATTCGGCACTTGTTTGAACTAATTGACCTAACATGTTGTTGAAACCAGTTTCATCAGTAAGCTGAACATCAGCTTCACTATCATATTCATCAGGAGCATATTTGAAAGCAACAAACTTATATGGACTAAACATTTCAACTCCAAGAAGAAGACGAGCAGGAATCTTGTGGTTATGTGAGCCGTGTTGATCTTCCAATCCTTTGATCATGGTACAACGACGTGGCTTTGAGTTTGGAAGTACAGATCTACCATTTTCAAGTTCATAAACAAAAGCAGCTTGAGCCAATTGAAGAAGTGAGTTACTTTCATCAGAATGTTCGAAAATTCTGGTGACAACCCATGGATTATGTCTGCTATGTTCTGGATTCCATTCAATAGTGACTTCCATTTGAGATGGGAAGATATCCGATAATTTCTCATGATTCATATTCAAAGTACAAGTAGCAACAAATGACAAACGCTTACCAGTTTCCAAATCAACCATATCTTCATATCTTCTGGATGGCTTTTCTGGATTGGCATAATTAATAGTATGAATGAATCCATTAAATGTGGTAGCAGTAAGACCTTTTTGTGGTTTGGTGAATGGAATGTAGACATCAACAGCCATGTTAACTCTTGGTTTCTTACCATGGTAGAATGGTTCAATACAGCCATAACTCCAATAGGCACCTCCGTAATCAGTTTCCAACTTTCTGTTAGCACTATCTCTATGGTTGGCATATAATTGAGAAGGAACACCTGGAGGGACAATAACTTTCGGTATAGTAGTTCCCAAAAGTAAGAGTGGAGTTTCAGGTGCTGGTTCTTCGATACAAGTTGCCTTGTGAGTTTCGAAAAGTTGAGTAAATTTCTTAAATTGGGCAGAAACGTGGGGAGAAACATTTTGCATCATTGGAAGGACACTTTCAGGAGGAACGGAACGAGCAAAATATAAAAGAGGAGTCTCCTTTAAAAGACCTACAGCTGTGGCATTTACATTTGCTCCATAATCGATAAGAATGGTAGCTAAATGGAGAGCATGTGGGATTTGCATAAACAATTTACAGACGTGATGAAGTGGAGTTTCTCCTAATAAGTTTCCTTGGTTGACAAGTTTTTGAATAGTGAGTTTACCTTCTTGTAATTCACTATTTTCTTCCAACTTTAATTTAGCACATTCCAAAAACTTTTTAACACATTCATAGTGGCTTTCCTTGATAGCAAATATGAGAGGAGTCATACCATCATGTGTAATAGTACGTTTATCAAGTCTAGCACCATCCTTTACTAATCTTTCTACTAGAGCGATATTACCATTCATCATGGCAAAATGAAGAGCAGTGAAATTATCAATTGATCTATCATTGACTGTTTCTGGTGATGAAAGCGACAATGCTGTTGCTGTATCATTCTGTAAACATGCCAACATGAGTGGGGAGAAGGTTTTGACATGTTTCTTATTATTCTTTTCATTGGCGTATGGTAAAATTTGAATTTCATGATGGTGATGTCCATGATCGTGATCATGATTACAGCCTTCATGATGGTGATGATGATGATGTCCGTGATCGTGGGAGCAACCTTCATGATGATGATGGTCATGGTCGTGATCATGACTACAATTCTCATCGTGATGATGATGATGTTCATGAGAACAATTTTCGTCATGGTGATGATGATCATGCGAACATCCTTCATGATGATGATGTTGATGGTCATGATCATGAGTACAATTCTCATCGTGGTGATGATGATGATCGTGCGAGCATCCTTCGTGATGATGATGTTGATGGTCGTGCGAATTATTTTTCATTTTTTTTTAAATTTAAAATTAAATTTCCTTCAAACCAACTTCGGCTGAAGAAAACTCAGACAAACTTTTCGATGTTCTTCTTGAAAACCAACACAGCAGATAAGATGACAAGGATAATCTTGGTTAGATTGTACATCCTCTCGGGTGCACCGATATACAACTTAATCTCAAACAAAAGATTAAGACTAATGGTTATTCTAATGGGTGACAGTTTAACCAGTCAACTTTACAATTTCCTTGAATAGCCGTCATTGTCATTTTGACAAACCAATAGATATCACATCAACATCTTTGACTTCGAACGAGAGAGAACCCTCTAACCAAAAAAAATGGCGCAAAAGAAAAACTCAGCACCACCCAAAAATTCTTCGAAACATCTCGAACCACAAAGTAAAAAGACCAAGAAATCAAATGATGATGTTGGTGATGATGAGATGATGATGATTAAGAGATCGGAGACTTCCACAGAATTATTTTCTCTCGATGTCTTGATGGTGATTGGATCATTTGCTGAGACGATTGATTTGGTCAGGTCGATGGCTCTTGTTTGTAGAGATTGGAATCAGGCTGTATTGAATGATGGTGTTTTTAGTGCTGTTTTTGGAAGAGATTTTGGTGATGCTCAATGGTTTGTCGATAAAATTAATTATAATTTGAGTGTTGATTTGATGGCACCTTTTGCTATTAAAGCAAAGAAAGAAAAAGAAAATGATGAAGATGAAGATGATGATTACTCTAACTGTGATGATAGAGAAGTTCCAAATCGACCAGTTCCAAATCCTTCTGCTGACAAGTTGACTTTGAGTGAAATTAGAGAAATTTTGGAGAGTGGTTTTGGAAAGGGAAAGTTTTGGTATTCATTATATAGATTGGTTATTGCTTTTATACCTATCCAATGTCCAAAACTCATTACAGAAAATGAGATTGTCATTCCACTCAATAAGGGAACTAAGAAAAAGATAACCAAGAAAAAGAAGTCAAAAAAGAATACGAAAAAGAAAGCTCCTCCAAAAAAGGATTCAGATGAGGAAGACTACTTGAAAAAAGATGTAATTCATAGAGTTCTTTCTGAAGACGATGATGATAGTGATTTTGAGAAGAAGATTTCCTCCAACTATTATTATTTTACTTTGGGATTGCAGGAAATGACAGACAGTATGGAAAATGTTGCATTGGCCTCTCGATTGATTCCAGCTCTTGAATACGATTTGAGTACTTACAAGTTGGGCATAATTCTCAGCTTGTTTGATAGACATGGATTAATTTTGAACTATTTTGGACAGAATTTATCTCATCAAGAATGTCTCAATAAGATTACTAAAGAATACAAGGAACATCAAAAGCGAGTACTAAACTATAATTTTAGTGAGTGTACAAGGTCTGATGTTGGTGCACTTCCTCGAACTCCATATATTGAGATACTCACGAGTTTCCAAATAGGATATGATACAGCTGATAGTCATCCTTGTTCTATTCTCCAGTTCTGCTATGCAATTTTATGTGGAAAGGAAACTGAACTCTTCAAAGGAACCAGAAGAAAGCCAAAGAAATTGTCAACATTTGACGATGATTACGAACTCAATAACATGATTGGAGTTGGTCCAAATACTGAAGACAAATTCATGCCATACTGCAGTTATGAAATCATTGAGAAACCTAGATTTGATGAATACTCGTTTGGAGTTTCAAAAATTATGATTGAGGTAGACCCAAGAAACCTTCACAGCAAGTTTATTTCCTCATTCCCTGGTTGGGCAAGATCTTTTTGGAATGCAAACTTTTACTTTTTCCATGTTGTAGAGTTTGAGACATTTGTTAGAGATTTCAATGATTCTGATATTCTAATGGTAGCTCAGAATCAAAATCAAATTCTTCACAATCTTTGTTAATCATCCTTCAATTTATTCTCTTGTCCTCATCTGTAGTCCACATGGTAAACAACAGAAACTGAAGCTATTTTGTACATTAACACATGTCGTTTAATTTGCGGACTGTTGGAGATATTAGGTCGCAGTTTAATAATTGACTTGAAAATTTCATCCAACATTAAAATAAATTATTTTCAAAATCCAAAAAAATGTCCAAATCAACAAATAAGAAAATGCAGGAGGAAAAATCTTCTTTGGAGAAGCAACAAGAACAGGACGATGAATTAATTGATGAAGAAACTCGTGATAAGAGAAAGAGGATTGCCACCTTTCTACACAATTTCGGTCCGATTGTTTCCGTCATCATTTCCTTTGCCTTGTATTATGTTGTATTTAAAAGTAATTGGATTGGTAGTCAATCACAGCAGAATGGCAATGAAAAAACCCTTTCCCTCATGATATTAAATGCTAGAATTTGGACAGGCGATCGAATGAAATTGGAAAATGTGCCAAAAGCATCAAGAACAAAGGGAGAAAAGAATATTCCAATCAAGTGGGCTGAAGCTCTTGCTGTCCATAAGGATACTGGAAGGATTATTGCTATTGGAAGTAATAGTGACATATTGTCACGATTTACAACATCAATGGCTGAAACAGTTTTGGATTTTAAACAAAAATCGAGTGATGAAGTTAATACTCCATTGATAGTTCCTGGATTTATCGATTCACATGCACACGTAATTTTGGGTGGAAAATCAATGCTCGGAGTTCAATTGAGAAATGCAAAGAGTAAGGATGAATTTATTGGTGCTGTTAGGAAATTCATAGAGGAGAGAAGTGTCAAGGCAGGAGAATGGATTACAGGTGCTGAATGGTCTGAAACTGAGTGGAATATTGAGGGTGGCACCAAGTTACCTAACAAGAATTGGATTGATTCATTCACATCGAGTAATCCTGTCTATCTTTCCAGAATGGATGGTCACTCCTGTTTAGTGAATAGTAAAGCAATGGAATTGGCAAATATTACCAAACATACTCAAATTACAGGTGGTTCTGTAGACTTGGATCCAATCACAGGTGAACCAACTGGTATTTTGAGAGATAGGGCTTTGGACATTATTCAAAAGATTATTCCACCAACAGATAACGAACAGGCAGCCAAGCTTGCCATGGATGAAATCTTGAGAAATGGTATTACCTCCGTGCACGACATGGGTTCTGTATTCAATTTGGCTAGTTGGGATCAAGTGAAAACATTCACAAAACTTCACGAAAAGAAACAACTCAAAGTTAGAATTTATGCCTCTGTTGAATTGGAAACTCATCAAAAATTGAAAAAGTACATTAAGAATCAATATAGTAAGCCAAAATCATCTCATGTCATTCTCAATGATGAATTCGACTATAGTTGCTGCTGGACTGAGAAAAGTGGAGGCAGAGCTGGTGATGAATGGTTCAAGATTGGAGCTCTCAAAGAATTTATGGATGGCTCATTAGGTTCAAAGACAGCCTACATGTTTGAACCATTCGAAGGTACTGAAAATAATACTGGTCTATTGGTTGTTGATCCAGAGGTTTTCTATCAACGTGTGAAAGAAGCTGATGCCAATCATCATCAAGTGATTGTTCATGCCATTGGTGATAAAGCAATTTCGATTTTATTGGATACCTATGAAAGAGTCATTAATGAATCCAATGATAAGACCAGAGATAGAAGATTCAGAGTTGAACATGCACAACAAATTAGAGAGGAAGATATTGAAAGATTCAAAAAGAACAATATTATTGCCTCCATGCAACCAATCCATCTCAAGGATGATGCACTCTACGCTGAAAGTATCATAAGAGAAAGACAAAAACAATTGTACAATGTCAGAAAATTCCTGAATAAGGGAGTTAAGGTAGCTCTGGGAACTGATTGGTTTGTTGCTCCTCTCGATATTCTCGATAATATCCATGCAGCTGTCACTAGAAAGCCATGTCTTTCACCATTACACGTTGAAAGAAGAAATGAAGCAAAGAATCCAAAGAATTGTAAACCATTCCTTCCAGAAGAAAAGATTTCGATTGAGGAAACACTCATTGCCTATACTCAAAATTCTGCCTATGCAGGTTTTACTGAACATGAAGTGGGAACCTTAAAGAAGGGATATCTTGGTGATATTACCATACTTTCGAGAAATATTTTGGAATTGGACGAAACAGACGAAAGTGCATTAGATTCCATTACACGCGAAACTAAAATTTTGATGACCATTGTTGGAGGTAAAGTCATGTATCAAAACAATGAAGAATCCCTTCAAAAACTCTTCGTTAAAAAGTAAATACATTTTAAATAATTTCCATTATTAGAAATATTCCAAAATGATTCGAAATATATTGTAAACACAAATTTGATATTAAATTAATCAAAAAAAAAAGAAAATGAAACGTTTCCTCATTCAAACCATTCAGAAAAGACCCTTCCACACCAGATTAATCCTCCCCCTCGAGGTAAAACCAACGAAACCTCAAGACATGGATCTTCCAATGGAATCCACAGTTGAGGCTGATGAAGTCCACGTGGAAAAGATGAATAAAAACACAGTTAATCAACTAAAGGAAGAACACGGAGGTGAAAAATCAGCAAAAGGTGTCAGAAAAGGAAGAGAAGGAAGTGAAAAATTGTAATAAACTCTTAAAAATTGAAGATCTACAATAAAGCAAGTTATCTAACGAGTTGGAATCTCTTGTACTCTGGAGTCTATGAACAAGTCATTCCAATTCAATTCGAATCATTTGTGAAAAATTGTAAAGAAATTTATTCACAAATTGAGTTGTAAATAATTTTGCAAAGATTTACAAAGCTGGCTTACCAGACCAAACCATTTTTCCAATTCCACATTCTCCACGGCCTCTCAAGATCCAAAAATATCCTTTAATTCCCCAATCTTTTGTAAAATTATATTGAAATTATTAGAAATTATTTTGAAATTACAATTTTCTAATTCTGAATGAAAAAACAAACCTTCTCCCCAAGAATTAGCACAAATCCAATAAGGAAGCTTGGAGGCAGAATCATATCCCCACCTGCTACTGTTAAAATCTTTGAAAAATATCCAAAAACTTACCCAACAATTTTGACAGCATGACCACCGACATATCTTCCAGACACATGATGATAAACACCAGACTTATAGGAGTAGAAATCTCTGTATACGCCCATGGCAACTTGTATAGGTCCATTTGCCTTCAAATCTGCCATAATATCAAGCATTCCTTCAAGTTTTCTTGCAGAACCAGCTCTGTAAAATGGTGACTTTTGACCTGGAACACCACAAGATTTGACATTACATGCAGGGACTGCGCCTCCAAAGGAAACATACGGAACACATGCTTCAGATACTGTTCCAACAGAAACTAAAAATCTCCAAGTAGCATCAAAGAAACCACCTAATTTTCAAATATTCAATTTTTTTGGTGAAATTGTAAACTACTTACCATTACATCCATTGTTTTGTCCACTGCATGAAACCATGAATTGAGGAGAAAGATCGACATTAACCTTTCCTCCACTCTTAATACAAAATCTATCAGCCAAAACACTACTTGCCTATTGAGATATTCAAGTCAACCAACCACACAATTAAAACAACTTACAGAAAACTATTCATGATCCAATTATCCACACAAATTCATCAAGATTAACTTACTGCCCAACAAGATCCACAATTCTTTTGATTTTTAATCGATCTAATACATTGTGGCCATTGTTCTCTAGCATCGAATTGAGTTGGAAAATCTCGCAAACGTAAAATTGTTAAATATCTTGAATCGCTCAAAGGAGTGTTAGTGCTATTATCTTTATCCATGACCTCTCCTTTCAAATCGTTTTCATTGACGTTCAAAGCACCAAGTAACTGTCAAAGTACTGTTTAATGAATTAAAAATTATTTTTTTGACAACTTACATTGGTCATGTCAGCCAAACTTTTACCTTTAAATTGAGGATATTCAACGGCTTGCCAAGATGCTGATGGTTGAGAATTAATATTCGAAATCATTTCTCTGGTTTGAACAGGAACTTGATCCCAAGAATTTTGTTGAAAATCATCGTACATGCAAGTGACACTATTCGAAAGTAACAAGAAACTACACAAGAAGGATACGATCAAATAGCCAGCCATCACCAACAAGGTGGTTGGATGTTGAAGTTTAGCCATTTTTTTTCGAATGGTTTCAGATAACAATTTCATGAACTGGATGATCGAAGAATCGGATAAAAAAAAGGAGTTTCAGATACAAGGTTACTTGTGGAGTTATAAGTTTAATGTTCTTTAATTTTCCCTTACAGCACTAGTTCAATTTGAAACTATTTCAAAGTTTTTGCAAACCTTAAAGATAAAACATAATGTTGTTGACATAACTCAAGAGAATCAATTGCGGTGAACATAAACGAAAGCACAAGTGTGGACAAAAACAATACTAGTGAGAATTGGTCGACTTGTTATTCAATCAAAGAAGCAAGCTGAGGTATTCCTTGATATAACGAAGGAAAACCTTCAATTAAATAAGGAATTACTCGAGAAATCAACAAAGATTTAGAGGATCTCTGTTTTGCAAGGTTGCTTGCATCCATGGGATTTGGCAACTGTTTTAGTTCTGTTAATTTGATTTTCTATGAACATTTACAATGGATGATACGTCCATCATCTTCACATTAATAAATACACACAGAGTGATTCATCCATATTACATCATCATCAGCATGATGATTTATCCCACAGCATCAAATAAGCATTCCGAAAATAATATTAAAAAAAGAAAAATGCAATTATTACTTCATCAAATCATTATTAATGAATTTAAATCGAATGGAGTTGTTGCTGCTAATGATAATTTATCATCATCATTATCCATATCTTCTCCAATTGTGATGGAAAGAAATTCACCACTTTCTGCATCATCATCACCTTCTTCGCCAACAGCAACAACATCAACAACTCAATCATCAGTTTTTGATGTTTTGCCTTCCGATTGTCAATGGAATATGAATTCACAATATAAACACGATCGGACAATGATGTTTGTCACTGGAAAGAATGATTATCTTCAATTGGTGGCTGGAGAGAAGGTAATTTATGATTTTACATGTCATTTGGATCAACAATTGAAATTCTCTTTGGATGATGTGATTCATATTGCAAATGGTGATAATCATTCGATATTCTTGACAAGTGATGGAAAGGCCTTTGGAATTGGATCGAATACTCAAGGTCAATTGGGAGAATTCAATGTAGAGTTTGGAGTTTTATTTGAAATTAAGATTAAACAATCAAAGAGGGGGAGGATTACAAAAGTAGCATGTGGATCATTTCATTCTATTATATTGAATAGTGATGGATCTATTTGGGTTACTGGTGATAATAGTTTTCATCAATTGGGAATTGAGGTTGACCATTTGAAATGTTTCACTAAAGTGGAATTTCAACAAGATTCACCAATATCTCACATTTCAACTAGTTATTCTCATACACTTTGTTACTCTGAGAGGGATAATATATTGTACAGTATGGGAACTACATTTGGCGATGATACTGAATATTTCACACCACATCGATTGACATTTTTTGATGATAAGGATTTCAAGTTGACTTCTGTGAATGCAGGATATCGATATTCTGCATTTCTGACATCCAATCATACAGTGTACATTATGGGAAAGATTGAAAAGTACAATGTTTTTGAACCAACCCAATTGAACTTATTCGAACCATTAGTTCAAGTATTCTCTGGAGGAAAGCATTTATTCTTAAAGACAATTTCCAATCAATTCTATGGACTAGGAATGAACGATGACAAGCAATTACCATTCAGTAAGGTCATTACTGGCACAATAGAACCACAACTCTTACAATTACCTACCCATGAACAAGTTAGTGATATGGCAGCTGGTTCCTACCACACTGCCCTCACAACCTCATCAGGAAATATCTATGTGTGTGGCTGGAGTGAATTAGGACAAACTGGCTTAGGTAAGAATACCATCACTGCAGATTGCACTCCATTAAGCTTGGATCCATCAGTCGTGTTGGACATTTCTCGTGGAACAACAAGTGTCAAGCTGTTTCTCTCCTCCTCAGCCGACAATTCCTTCATTCTCCTCAAGAGAGCACACAATATCGGTCGATTCTATTGTCGATTATTTCACTCTGTCCTGAGTTGCAATTCATTGTGTGATGTGAAAATTATTTCACACCCTGCTGACCATACAGCAACAACTGAGGCGAAGAAATAAAGAACAGGTGCACCTCAATACACAAAAATCTTCATTCCTTATTCAACAGCCAAGTTTGCAGTAATGAATGAATTGGCGGTTTGAGCTTGAGTTTACAAAAATGTCCAAATTAGGCTTTGCAAATCAAATGTGGTGAAAATTATGAACGCTTGCAAAAACTCAACACAAAAAAAAAACAACAACAACCAACAGTAACCCTGTTCCCATCCACTTTTTTCCGATCACTACATTATTTTACCCTTTTAAAAACAAGCAGCAGTTGATTTCATTATAGCAGAAACTTTGTAAACATGTCCTCCAAGTATCGTTCCTTGTTAATTACTTTACCACATCGAGTTGGTGCTCTCAAATCATCCCTCGATACCTTTTCCAAGCATAATATTAATTTGACCAAGATTGAGTCGAAACCTTCCAAGATTTCCACACGTGTGTTTAATTTCCACGTAGATATTGATGAACAGGCAAGTAAAGAGGATGTTGATAGTGCCATTAAGGATATGATTGAGAATGGAAAGGCAGAGAAGGTGAAATTCCTTGGTGGGGAGGAATTGCCTTGGTTTCCAAGAAAGATTTCGGATATTGATTTTTTCACAAGGTTTGTTTCTTGTTGAATTTTTTGGAAATATTGACCAATTATATAGACAAACACTTGAAGCTGGAGGTGATTTAGAAAGTGATCATCCAGGTTTCCATGATAAAGAATATAGAGATCGTAGAAAAATGATTTCTGACATTGCCATTAATTACAAACACGGAGAACCAATTCCAAGAATCCAATACACACAAAATGAGAATAATACATGGAAGGTAGTTTATGAAAAATTGACAGAACTCTATCCAAAGTATGCCTGTGAACAGTACAATTACTTGTTTCCGTTATTCCAGGAAAATTGTGGATTTAGAGCTGAAAATATTCCTCAATTGCAAGATGTCAATGATTTCCTTGTAGAAGTCACTGGTTTCAGATATCGTCCAGTTGCTGGCTTGTTGTCGGCTAGAGATTTCTTGAATGGATTGGCCTTTAGAGTTTTTCACAGCACACAATATATTAGACATCACAGTTCTCCATTTTACACACCAGAACCTGATGTAGTTCATGAATTGTTGGGACATTCAATCATGTTGGCAGATCCAGATTTTGCTGAATTCTCCCAACAAATTGGTCTTGCCTCTCTGGGTGCCTCAGATGCTGACATTGATAGACTCGTTAGATTGTATTGGTACTGTTTAGAATTTGGCTTGGTGAAAGAGAATAATGAATTGAAAGCTTATGGAGCTGGCTTGTTGAGTTCTTTTGGTGAATTGGAATTCAGTTGCACTGGAAAGGATAGAAATGGTAAGGTACCTCCACCAGAGTATAGAAACTTTGTTCCGACAGAGGCAGCTGAGAGATCCTATCCAATTACTCACTACCAACCAATGTATTATGTTGTAGATAGTTTAGAATCTTGTAAAGAGCTCATTAAGGGTTTCACAATGAATAATTTGGAAAAGGAATTTGTTGTCAAGTATAATCCATATACCAATACAGTTGACGTCTTGGATAGTGAAGCCAAATTGATTGCCCTCACCAAGACTGTTCAAAATAATTTGGATTTAATTTCGACTGCTCTTGGTAAATTGAAAAAGAGTGCCGAAATGGAATAGTCATGTATTTTCTATATAGTGAGCGTATTCAGCAAAATAAATATTGTGAAGTTCCTAATGATACATCTATTGAATTGGTTAGTAACCATGAATGTATTTCCTTTTAACAACTTGTTTAAAACAAAGGAATGAGATGGCGTGATGACGAATAAACCAACCCTTTCAAATTTGTTCATTATAAACAACGTCCTTTATTTTGCTTCAATAGTTCATTTCTGTAAATTCAGATTTTATGATTTTATTGAATTGTGTAAATTTCAATTTCTGCTTCTGTGAAATATTGTCCACCCGAATAGTAATCATTGGTAATTATACCATAACCATAAGTGTTAGGATTAAAGTAACTTAAAGTATTAAATTTTACACACATGTCGTGTCCTCCTCCAAAAGTCGGACCATAAGTCACATAATTGTACATGGCATAGGCCTTGTTGGCATTCTGAAGAACCTTAACGAAACGTTCTTCTTTCGTCGCAGAAATGACGCTAAACATAAAGGCAGAAGCATCTGCATTAGCAGTGAGTGAGGCCTCTGAACGCCAACTCAATGAAGTATAACCTCCAAACACAGCTCCTGAAGTTGATTTGATAAGAGTTACTGTAGCTCCCTTATTATCACATTTGGCATGGAAGCTAGCCACTGACAGGCCATCTCTACTTCCCCTATAAATCAATTTTAATGCAATAGTCGATGAAGTTCCATTTACAATTTCCCTGACAAATCTATCAGCTTGGGTCATGTTCAAAATTGTGGAATTGGCCATATCACCCATGCTTAATAACGCGGCAGTGGAGAATGGACTTGGTGTTGTTGTGGTGGTAGTAGTAGTAGTAGCTGCCTTAGTAAGATTACAATCTGGTCCATCAAACTTGGTACATGTTGAATTGATAGCTTGAATTTCGAGTGATAGCGAATAAATTGCTGACTTGAGTTTGTTAAGTTGTACCACTCTCTTGTTAATTATTGTTAACATGTCAGTTGTGTTGGCATTAGCCGTGGCATTCAACACAGTGATGGATTTTTGCAATTTCACACTAGCACAATCCAATAATGATGCCTCTGCCTGCAGTGATGCAAGCCATGATCTAACCGTGCAATCAGACGAATCAGTACATGTCGTTGCTGCTGCATAAATTGGCGAAGTAGCAAGCATGCTAAGGATTGAAAAGACCGCAATGAATAGTCCAATAATTGAGGTTAATTTGCTGCTGCTTGGTTGTTGTCTATACATTTTTTTGTTACTATCACACTACAGTTGTTGTTGTTGAGATGCAAGCAGTGCGCCTGCTTATTGCTTAATAATGGCATCAGCTGATGTTGTTGATATTAAATACCACAGAGAGCGTGGATTGCATCTCAAAGGATTTTTACAGTACACTACGGTATCTAATAACTTTGGTATTGATGTACTAATCTAGATAACCGTAATCTTATGAGCGTTTCGATCAAACCCGAATGCATCTTTTCAATATATATGAGGAGATTTCGCTTATTGATCTTGCCAAGATTGTTTTCCGCAAGTTTGAATGGCTTGCAAGCTATTTGTATTATATTTCAATTCATTTGAAAAGTAATGTCCACAAATGAATCAGCAGAATGCAATTTTTGATACATCTTTTCCATGAGTAAATTGTGCCTTCCTGCTCTGAGTTTGGAATAACCTGGCAATCGACATGAAAACATGTCATTCAAGCAAGTCACTGATTTGCCTCCAAATATTATCAAATCTCCAGACTTTGTAATGATACTGGTCATGCCTGATCTTGCACAGGGAATTTCATCATAATCCACAAACATTAAAGATCCCTTACTTTGAAAATCTCCACCTTGTGTATAATTCCTATTCTGTAAACGTGTCCATTCCAATGTTGAAAAATCAAATTGATAAATGTAATCCAGAAATGAATGTCTGAAATTGTAACCTCCATACACAAAGAAATATCCAGATTCCTCATTGGGAATAAAACAATTATGTCTAAACCTCTCCACTGGAACGAAACCTTTCATGTTATCTATGGGAAACCATTGCAAAGCTCTCAAATCAAATCTCCACAAATCTTGGAATGCTTCATTATTTCTAATTCCTCCGAACATGTAAATGGAATGATTAAGTTTTGAATAAACACACGAGTGATAAGTTCTCGAGTTGGGAAATGATTCAGAATATTGATCTGAATGTTTTGATAGGCATTTCATTACATTTCTATCAATATCATACTCCCAAACATCCATCAATGTTTTGGATTTGTCAGTCATTCCACCAATAATGTACAAATATTGATCCTTAACTGAAACCATGCAATGTCTGGATCGTTCCATAATCATTTCAGATTCCTTCCCAGTATACTCAATCTTGATAAATTTCTTAAATGTAAAATCATAACAATACAAATCATTGGAAAAGTGTTTGCTCGAATTGTACCCTCCAAATATGTACATTTGATTATAGAATTTTTCGACAAAAGGAAAGCAGTTTTCATCTTGTTGCAAATCACTCAATTTTCCAATTTCTGGATATCTCATCAAGAATTTTTCAAATCTCTTTCTGGATAAACTAATCGAAACTGCAGTATGATCAAACATTGGGGAAGGCCAACATTCTGTTCGACTCTTTGCATAAAATTCAGTCCACTCTCTCGTAGGAATATGAAAACTCCACATATCACACAAATCTTCAGATTCTCTTCCGCCAAAAATATAAATTTCTTTTTTAAATCATTTTCCATTCAATATATTTACAGTAAATAATAATATATTTACAATATTTCCAAATATATTCTTTCAATAATTGATCAACCTACCATCAGTTCCAGCCAAATAAACAGCAGAATGACCAATTCTCCTCTCGGGTTGAGTTGCAAAGCCTGTTTCTTCATCAAAAACATCTTCAACATCGGAACAAAGTTTATTCCAAAAGCAAAAATCTTCCTTTGGTTTTCTATTCACTCCCTCAACAGCAATTTTTGATTTTTTATTGTGATTCATGTAGAATTCATACAATGAAAAGCCATCCTCCGATTCTTCTTCTTGCATTTTTTTTAAATATTTAAATAATCTTTAAATATTTACTGTTGTAAATTGTATTAAATTGTATTAAATTTGTAAAAAATCCATTGCGATAATAGGAGATAGCACTTGTTTTCGGCTTCCTTTCAATTTCTAAAACATTGAACGTTAGAAACGTCAGTTGTCTGATGGAAAAATAAACAGAAAAAAATATGAGTGACGACAGCTTGAGTATTGACGAAGCCGAAGATGGTATTCAAGTTTACTTTGATGTAGGTTTTCTTCATCATCACACAAACAACAACAACAAACTTTCTAATACGACCACAAACTATTTCTTTTTGCCGCCAAAATCACTAACTGCTTTTCGGTAATTGAAACTCCCGCTCATCACGATTTTTTAATTTTTTATTTTCATCATACGAATTTTATTATTCATTCCGTGATGATACATTTGATGATGAACATTAATAACAAAACAACAACAACAACAAATACTTGTAAAATTTAAAATACAACAACAAAAAAATAATAGGAAATCAAAGAGAAGGACAAACTCTTACGTGATGCCGTCTATAATCTTTCCAAGGCTTCATCAAAGGAACAACGTGATACTCTAATTAAAAAAGCAGAGTCAGCCTATAAAGGAGCAAAGGAAAATATTTCCTTCGCAAAGGATGATTTGAATGATTATACAGGAAATAAGAAGAGGACTTTCCAACAAGAATTGAAAAAGCTGGAACAATCCGTATCTAAGAATTATGCTGATTTGACTCAAATCAAGGAAAATAGAGAACCTGCTGCTGGAAGTGCTTCACCTGCTAATTCAACAACAAGTTCTTCAGGTAATAGAAAGCCAACAAAGACATCTGGATCAACTAATGATGTTCCATCAGCTGGTAAAAGTTCTGGTACAAAGAATCAACCAAAGAGGAATGATGATCATGATGAAATTCAAATTACCAATCTTGATGATGATGATAATGGAGGCGGTTCAGGACCAAAACAAATGCAAAAAGGTCACTCTAGAGTTGATGAGGTACTCGATATTTATGATAAGAATAATGACATGCTTAACAATATGATCAAGATGGGTGATGAAATGATTCAAGTTGGTGCTGCAGCTGCCGAAAAACTTAGACAACAAACTGAAAGAATGAATGCAATTCAAAAGGATTTGGATGATCTTGGTGATGGTTTAAAGAGAGCCAAGAAGGAACTTAATGCCTTTATGAGAGGTACTGCATGTGATAAGGCTGTTGTCATTATCTTTATTATTGTAATTATTGCTATGGTTCTTTTAATTATTGGGTGGCAAATTGCCAAGTATTTCTGTATCAAGGGTTCTACTAACAAATGTATTGCCGGTTTCACTGCATCTAATACTACCTCTCTTCTCACATTTATGGGCTTTGGATCAGAGAATAAGGCTCCTGCCGTTCCAACTCTTCCTCTTATAGAAGTAATCAACATTCCCACATCTGAAGTTCCAATATTAAGAGAAATGAAAAAAATAGAATAATATGCTAGTGTAATTTATTAAAAACCTAAAAATTTGTATCTCTTTTGACCAGGTTAGATTTGGTTTTTATTTTGATTCATATACAAATGAGAACCTTTCTCTTGGATCTCCAAAATGACATTTCAATACCAGTGCAACTCCATCAAAAGATGGTTCCTCTTCACGATAGGGTTGCCACCTTGGATCAGCCATTGATTTTTTACCTGACAAGTGTCTCAACCAAAAGGCACGATCAAATGATTTCAGTAATTTGAATTCATTTGGGTAATTTTTATCTGCCAATGGATCAATATCTAAAAGCTGTAAAACAAACTGATCCAATTCACAGTGAGTTTTAAATTTAACAGATTTTTGAGTCGTTGGAATGTTAAACCTCTTTTTAAATTCTAAAACGAAGATACAACACAGATAAACTTTCATTGTTTCAATAAACTTACCTTCCTCCAGTACAAATTTCATATTTCCCTTTCCTTTCTTTTTTAATCTTTCAAAATAACTTCCCATAGCTCCTTTATAAATATTACTCTTATTAATTCCAATAGTTTCTAAAACAGCATCCACAAATTGTTGACAGTTTCCACTTTTCACTCCATCTCCTCCAACACTCTCATATTCTACAGTGGTATTCCACTTGATAATAATATCAACAAGATTTCCAGCAATTTCATCTATATTCGATCCAGTGAGAGTCATGTCTTCAGTAAGGTCGCACGCAATTAAGGCATTTGTTGATACAAGTTGTTTAGGAATACACAGACCCGAGTCGTTCCATTCCAATTTCCACGGACCTACCATTATTGCAGAGTGAAACATTCCCATATCAGGTAAAAATTTGGTTTTTGATAAGAGAGGGCTGAGAATTTGTCTAATAGCCTTAGTTCCTGCAGAATCTGTAATTTCTGTTACAATAATCTTGACTCTCAACTTGTCTCTATTCATTAACGACTTTTGAATTTCCAAATGTTCAATTGTATTCAACTCATCCTCTTCTTCCTCTTCTTCATCATCCAAGTCTAATTCAATAGAACTAACAGAATTAATAGAGTAGTACTCCTTTTGTTCCTGATCTTCCTCCGTACTCCTCGATGACATTCTCTCGAAAATTCCCTTTTTCCTTTTCATAGCCAACGATGATCCTCTAGTACAAGGTGAGAGGCACATCTTTGAATAGTCCTGAATGGCATTAATAACACTCTGTGCCCAATCTGTCTGAAAGTACTCCTTTTTCAATAATTGAGGATCGGAGAGAATTGAGGCAAAATTCTTCATCACCTCTTCTACTTTTTCCGGATCTGTTCTTGTACATGCCTTATTCAAGTGCTTATTCTTTTTAATCTTTGCATAGACAATCATTTGATTCTCGCTGCTGTTGCTGCTCTTAGTACAACTACTCATATAAAAATATTTGTGCCTTAATATATTTTTTTTTAGAATTTCATGATGATCATCATCAATATAATTTTCCTCATCACGGAATCTATTAATATTATTGTATTCTTATATAGTGGCCGCAGTTTATTATTGTAATAAATTACAAAAAAATGAAAAGAAGCAGTTGTGAAAATTCGTCTATTATTCATATTAAAAACGGAGGAATTTAAATCATCACCATCCGTACAATCATGAAATTATTTCTTCTTCTAATGATGATGACGCGAAATTAATTGTTGTTTACAAGCTGGGGTGGTGTTGTATATAATAAATATAGTGAAAGGCCATAATACAGTTTATTTTGAATTAAATAACAGCAGATTTGGATTGAATCTCATAAAGTTGTTGCCAAACTTTATATTCTTTTGTTGTTTCTAATCTTGAAAGAGTATCTCCCAAATTTGTAAGTAAATGAACACTCAATAGTTCTATAAGATTCGAATAGATTGGCATGTTTTGAGAATTTGTTGCTTGTTGGAAATCATTTCCATCCTCAGCCATTTCACACAATTGAGAATGCGAACTTTCCACTTGTTTCATCAATTCATAAAATGATTTTCTCACATTTGATGGAATATTGACTTCATAAATTGAATTTAACGAAATGTAATCCGTTTCGAATTGTTTCATTAATTCCAAATCAATCACTTTGTCTTTCTTCATTTTAAATTGTTCCAAACTCATGTAACATTTGTAATTTTCAAGTGACATTTCCTTAATACAATATTCTCTTAACATGTGTTTAAAAGAATCATTGTTCAAATAAATTTCCAAATTTGAGATCTCTTTCTTCTTTCTATTCATGAACTTGGTCAATATGTGTTTGAAACTTGCTAGAAAGCCAGAGCTCATAATTACCAAACAATAGATTATTAATATGGAAACCTTGAAGATATAATAGTTTCCAAAATAGCAAATTACCATGAATATAATTGTTAAGGAAAGAGTGAATAATTCTAAACGAATCAAGAATGGATCATCAAAAAAGAGATAATAATTCAGTCCCTTCTCTTTCAATATTTTTCTATTAAAAATCACGTCAATAATGATGGCAATTCCACCAATTACACAACCTATTCCAATAACTATTGCATATAATAGATTTGATAAAAAACCAAATTCAGCTGAAATTGAAGTATCAACAATAACAAGAAAAGGAGAACCCAGAATTAAAGTAGCAATCAAAGCCATTCCTACAGTCAATAAAATACCCCAAAAGGGTCTTGAAATCTTTCTTTGAAAGGCTATTTTCTTATTTGTTGATTCCACATTCTTAATTGAGATAATATGATATAAGTTTCTCAAATAGTAAAATCTGAAAATTGTAAATCCATATGTAATAGTGAACCATGTAATTATATACCCTACAAATATAATTCTAACAAATGGACAAACATTGGCTATCATAGGACTGTATTGTGTTTCAAAATAGAGAGATCCCAAAGGCAACAAATATGGAACTAACAATCTAATTTTCAAAGCTGGACTTTTAAACGCTCCAGAAATGAATAATACAAGATAATGAAAGATTGTTAGCACTGCTACTGGAATAAACCAATAATCTTCAATAAAAAAATCTTCGCAAAAATCTTTTTGACAGACGGTACATTCAGGAAAAAGGAAAGACAAATAAGTGGAATTTGGTGAAATATTATAGAAATTCACAATGCTCTCTTTCAATTGATTTGAAATATTTTGAGAAATTAAATATGGAACTGCAAAAGAATTGAAACGATTCAGAAACAATACTTCACTTTCTGAAAACAGTGTGTTGTTTTCACCATTCAATATTCGAAAGTAGCTTTCAATTTCCCCTTCATATGCTATCAAAATACTGTTTAAAGGAATAGTTTCATTACAGAATATTTCGTGGGAATGATTACGAAAATTCAAAGCAACACCAGAGGAAGATTGAAATACTCTAAATGGTTCTAAATAAACTGACACAAAGTCACTTGCTGAATACAGTCCATGTTTTCTATTTCCACTTCGATGAGACCGTATTGCCAAAGGAAATAATTCACTACTTATCAAGATGACATCAAATAGATCAAATAAATTGGGTTGACATGTACCATGGAAAAAGTATCTATGTGAAATGAATGGAGCAACACTTTCCAGTTGATGAAATGTTAAGAAGTCTTTTAAGAATTGTTTGGTATTACTACCTTCGAAACCGTAGGAAACAAATCCTATTTGAAGAGTTTGTGTAATAGCATGTTGTTTTAGCATGTTTAGAATACTATTCTTGTCTGTTAAATTATATGAAACGAGATTGGGATTATCCTTCCACATGATTGCCTTGATAAATGATGAAGGATAGACAACAGTATATGAAGGATCTATTTGATTATAATAGCTTTGAATAGAAGTCATAGTCCCATTACTTTCCACACAACAAGTTGACCGAACAAGTGAAAGCAACAAAACTATTAGAAACAATAGATGAACTAAGTATTTCATTTTTTTTGTAGCACATCTTTCACAATACGTGCTTATTGAAAGACCTGCCACGAGACTTCTTTTCATCCATTTAGCCGTGTCTCATAGTATTTTAGAATCATTTATCACGGTTAATTAGTGAGAGATTGATTACTTGACTTATTTTGACATACCTTCCATTTAGCCCTCCTTTAAATGATTGTCATTTCCAAAGCAGTTGCGGTTACGTTTATAAGACATAACTAAGGACATAACATTTTTGATTGTTGCCAACCATCATGCATGATCTAGTTCGGTTAAATTCCAACGTTAATTTTCATTGATATATTGATTTGAGATTGTAATTAAGTTTAAATATGAAATGACATGTGGTACAAGGCCATGCTTCTCCATGGATATAGCTCTTGTTTCAAAATCAAAGGTTATGTTGGATACCTTTTGGTGATTGAAGCATTCACAAAGTATCTTTGGGTCAATCCAATAAAGCACAAAGATGCTGAAACTGTTGAACAACATCTAAGTCAAATGCTGAATGAATTACAAATTTTACACGGAGTAGATTTCAAGACATGCCATGATTATGGAACGTAAATCATACACGCTATGATTAATAATAGTATTCTTAATTAATATTTCGTAAGTATGCAAAACTGCTTTTGGTTTGGAGGTTGTGTTCGATATTGTTGACCAAAGGACTAGAAATTTGGTAATTGAGAAAATGTTCCACGATTAGTAAACCAGGTAAAGTCTTGCATCCAAATTTCATCTGGAGAGAATACTCTGTCCAATGGCCACAATTTTATTATTGTAACAAATAACAAAAAAATGAAAAGAAGTTGTTTTGAAAATTCTTATTCTTCTGCCGGTTATTATTCAGATTCAAAACGGAGGAATTTAAATCATCACCATCTGTACAATCATGAAATTATGTCTTCTTCTAATGATGATGGTGCGAATAATGATGAAATTAATTGTTGTTTACCAGATGGGGTGGTGTTGTATTTGGATTTGAATTTTGCTTCCGATCTATTAATTTGTCAAATTAGAGATTTACCATCAAAACACAAGTGGGAATTACTAATTCAACCGACATTGTATTTTCCTGTAGTCGGGGTGGTGAACTGTTCGATTAATTATTATGAAAGTTCTCGTTTAGTTTCGAATTGGGAGAGGGATGGCGAATACTTTACAAGACGATTTATGGATTTATTTACGCCAAATAATTTCTGCACTACCTGTTCAATTTTTCATCCTTGCTCTTGTTCAAGATTTTACAAAATTCCAACGTTTTTGGACTTGTGGAGAAGGAAATCATTTGTTTTGCCACTTGTTGAGAAATATGGAAGTAACGTATTCGCATATGCTTCTAAAGAATTGAGAAATGATAGAGAACTAGCTCTGAAAGCTGTCAAGATTAATGGAAACGCACTTCAATATTGTTCTGATCAACTAAAAAACGACAGAGAATTCATATTAGAAGCTCTTCGTCAAAACTCAAATTTAGAATTCTTATTTCTAGTTAAAAATGATAAGGAAATAGTTTTGGAATATGTTAAATCAAATGGAATGAATATTATTTTTGCTTCTGAAGAACTATTAAATGATAGAGAGGTTGCCCTAGCAGCTGTTAAACAATGTAGAAGGGTTTTTTATTATTTACCCAATCAACTGAGAAAAGATAAGCAAATTGTTTTCGAAGTTGTCAAACATGATGCACCAAACTTGATAGATTTCAACAAGGACGATATAGGTGAAGAAGAAGAAAGATTGGTATTCGAGTATGCCCATTTACACTACAAAGAGAAATTAAGTGTTGAAGCAGAATTGGTAGATTTTGAAGAGTAGAAACATTCTTTCAACATGTCGACGAGGAGTATATCAAATTATTATTTATTCAACATTAATTGATTTGATTCTTTCTGGAACTGGGTCAATTCTTGGAATTTTCACACTCAAAGTTCCTGCATCTGAAAGAGAGGCTTTCACCTTTTCAAAATCAACAGAGCCCTTTGGAAATCTAAAAGACTTGGAAAATTCAAAATGTCCATTCTCAGTTTTCTTTTCAGCTCTGACAGTGACTAGCTCACCATTTGAGTTTTCACTCACCTTAATTTCAATATCCTTCTTTTCAAAGACATCTCTTGGAATATTATTGATATCCAAGGCGTATTGTAATTTACCATCTTCCAAGGTTTCAGTTTTGATGAGAGATGAAATTGGTTCTCTCTTCTTCTTTTCAACAATTGGCTTTGGTTCTTCCTTAATTGGAGTTTCAACTTTTTGAGATTTTTCTTGATCCAATTGATTCATTCTTTGGGAATTCAAGTAATTTTCCAAAAATTGATGATTTTCATCGAATAATGATGGTAAGAAGGATCTCTTCCACATGTTATTCATTCTTCTTCTCATCATTTCAAAAGAACTATCAAAATTGAGGAACATGTCACTGAAATCATCACCAAGTAAGCTATTTCCAAAGAGGGATGTTCTTGGGAGGAAGGAATTGAGGAAGAAATTGGATCTTGGATGATGGAAATCGAATAAATCTGAACCGAATTGGTAGTTTCTCATTTCTCTCATCAAGTCTCTTAAGGCTCTTTGTTCAGAGTGATCTTGATGTAAGTTTCTACGACCGTGTGTTCTCTTGAGTTGTGGTGGGGCTTGTGGAGTTTCGTTTTGTTGTTTGGTTGGAGCTGGTTTAGTTTCTTTTGGTTTAGTCCCAACTTGTGGAGTGGTGGAATCAGTAGATGCTGTATCACCTTCCTTCTCTACAATAATTTCCTCTTCAATGGCCTTTACATTCATTGCTAACATTAGAGCTGCCAACAAACAAGCAATGAGCAATACTTTGATATTTGACTTTAACATTTTGCGGAGTAATTTGTTATTCTAATAATTTGATGTTTTGAATTTCTTTTTGACTTGTTTTTAGAATTGAGGATAATTATCTTGCATTTTATAATGTTTCGACAATTAGCTCCACACGTGTTTGAAATAATTATAGAGTTCTATTTTTAACTTTTTAAACATTTTTGGTAATAACACGTGTTTAATGAATTTTCACTCAATTTTAACACGAAAAAAATTCCGAAACATCAAGAAACAACATACATCGGAATGCAAAGAAGGTTTCACTATGAAATTGAACAGTTTATCTAACAAAAATGTTTGATTCTGGCAATTGTTCATATTTTCCTTGGAATCCATAAGTTTTCCATGGATTTGGAGAACATTGACCATAGATTTCTGCAGTTCTACCCACTTGAACACCTAATAAACAATAATCAAGACCAGTCATTTGACAACCACTATTTTCACGATGGTAGAGAAGAGAGTCCGTCAAGTCACTTGCCAAACTCTTACAAATATTTGGTGCTTTAAGCTCACTCATATCAGCAATGGCAGTTCTATTATCGATACTCTTTACCATAAGTTCTTTTGCAATATTTCTGAGAACAGTCCACTTTTCCTTACTCAATGAATCGCCATTAAAACTTGGTTTGACAATTATGGATGCAACTTTAGGAGAAAGTGCATTCTTTCTTGAGGAAACTAAAATCCAACCACCACCAGAAGTCACTTGATCACAATATACAATATATTTAGATTGACTTTCATCTGGCTTAATCCAATACAATCCACTTGGTGCCTTTGTCATTGATTTCATATATTCTTGACATGATGCCAAACCATCTCCAATACTAATTGCTTCTTCCATTTTACTAGTATCTGATAATGGTGGTGGTGGTGGTGGAGTATTGATGATTGGAGTAGTTACAGGAGTACTCAAAGGACTCATCTTGGTTGTTGTTGTTGATACAGTTGGTTGACTTTCTCCACTTTTTGAAGATGATGAAGGAAAAGCACATAACAACTGCAATGCAGCAATATGCATTTCCAAATTCTTCTTAATTTCCAACAGGTCTTGAACATTTCTATTCATGCTATCAATTTGATCATTCACAGCAACGTTACTAAAATTTGATTGCTTGTTCTTGGATAATCCTCCGAGTGCCTTAATCATCAAGTTTAATTCCTCCATAGAGTTATTAAGGTCTTGATATTGTTGTTGTTTAGTTTTCAAGAGTTGACATGCGTCGAGAGCTAATGATGAACCGACCATCATTATCATCATCACAACCATGATGAACACTAAGGTTGAACGTTGAAACATTTTTTTGGGAGCATAATCCAAATCGTAATCTACTGTAATGGGTTGAACTGTGCTAAATAAGGAAAACGTAAATAAATGAATCATTCGAATAGTTTTATATTTGAGAGTTGACGGTAACGACAGTTGTTGAGTTTACAGTTGCAACATTTGCCTGTGTGTAATAGACAGGTGGTGGTTGTTGTTCAATGACACACTTTTCAACATACATTCTAATAAACTTATTTCTGAAATGGTGTTGATAGAGTTCATTCAAACCTGTCACTTGAAATAATGTGCATGTCATGCAAGTAATGGTTCTTTCACACATGTGGTATGAGATTAATTTACACATTTTTCCACCTTTCGTATCGAAATTCAAACGTAACTTGTATAAATCATGTTCTGGACGATGTGGATAACCATAAACTGGATATGGACTTGGATAGATATCGAGGGGAACTTCTGGAGGAGGTGCCTTTTTGAGTTTCTTCTTTTTGGCATGTTCATTGATGGCTGGAACCATTTGAGGATGAATGACGCAGAATCTGCCAACTCCCAAATCAACTTTGGCAAAGTATTTTGGATAGTAGAAAGAGTCTACGAAAGGTTGGAATAAACCAAATGTTGAAGTGGAAACAAATTTCAGAATGAGATAGATCAATTCGTCTACTACTCCCAGATAGACATTATAGATCTTCATTGTTCCCATGCCGTTTCCCTCACAGACAGGCTCCCAAACTAGGAAATCTTGAAAGGTGGCCTTCTTTCTCTTCTTCATTTGAACTGGTTTTCCCCAGTAAATCCTTTCGTCTATGTGCGACCAGAAGAATTCATGAGATTTACCCAAAATATACCACAAACCAAAAGTAAAGACAATCAAAATGGCATCTACAAAATACAAGAGTGCCAACTTGTAGTTTCCTCTCGATTTGTATCTTAGCATGCGATTCCCAAACATCATTTCCTTAACTTCTCTTCTTTTCCTGAAATTAATGCAAAGAAAAGTTCCAATTCCTGGAAAGAAGGCACATTCAATGATTAATTTGGTGAGAAACATGAGCATTGTTTCACCATCTGCAAAACGACATGATTTCAGGTTGTTGTTCAATAGATCATAATCGTCAATGTTTTTTAAATCACATGGGTTGACTGAAGGAATGAATGTTTGTTGAGGATAAACAACGTTTGGGTTGACCATCATTGGAGAGCTGGTGACCATCATGGGTTGATTCATAGAAGGATAGGCAATTGGTTGTTGGGGAATTACCATTGGTTGAGGAACCATAACTGGATTCATAGCCATTGGTTGAGGAAGAGGTTTAATCATGACAGGTTGATTTTGCATCATTGGTTGAGGAACGACAGCAATGTCGACACTTTGTTGACTTCCATAGAAAGAACCTTTCTGTTCCATAGTAGTAGAAGTTACCTGAGTAGTAGCCATCATAGTATTCAACATCATTGGTGGTTGAGGAAGAGGTTTTCCCACTGGTGGTTGACCTTGAGCCATTTGCACAGGAGGTTGAAACATGCCAACAGGAGGCTGCTGAAGAGGATATTGCTCTTGTTGAATAGTATCCATGGGTTGTCCATATTGAGGAGGATTTCCTGTCGGGTTTGGATACATTTTTTTCAAGTCAATCTGTCGCAATTATTGACGTACACTTTTCACATAATTCCTCTGACGTCGGGTTAGTGAATTAGTTGTAATGCAAAGGACAAATTGTCTCTTGGACGATATTTCAGGTTGAGTTTGACTGGTGTGAGATTACAATGAAAATGATAGAATATCTTAATTTTTGCCGCCATTTTTTCAAGCTTACCGTTACAGCTTCAGAAAAATCTTTTGAATAAAAATAATATTTTTAAAAGTTTGAAATAACAAACTCTAAAAAAACAAGCCACTGCGTACATGTAGTTGCGCATGGCCTTAAAGATTTTATTGTACACAAACATGTAATTGCACATCTTCGAAATTCATATGATTCAATCTCAAAGTTTACTTTCATCATCTATCGCATCTGTTGCTCTTTGTTACAATTATTAATCAAAACAAAAAATGTCTGCACTATCATCCGATAATACAACATCATCATCAGATCAACAACTTGATCATCCTAACAACAAAAGTGATGGCAGATTAGTGAGACCTGATCAACAACCTTTTAGTGTTGGTTTTTCCAAAGAACATCCATCAGAGCACAAAGCCTTCACTGGGTCCTCTGATGATCTTTTGGTTCCATTCTGTAGGAGTGTTCAGGCTGTTTGTTATCATGATTTGTATGTTCAGGGAAAGGAATATGGCATTGTAGAGCCTTGTCCGAATGCTCCTCTCTTTGCAAATTGTACCATCTTGTTTGAAGCAATGCACAACAAGGAGAATGAAAATTATGAGCTCTACAGAAAATTCGTTTCTTGGTGGACTGATGCCATTGCTAGGATGATCTTGACTGGTGGTATTGAAGATGGAATCCATTTCAATTTGGCTGGTTATTCGAAAGAGAGAATTCAAGTAGTGAAGGATAGATACTTTTCATTGATGGAAAATGATGAGAATGTTAAATGGTTAGAATATGAATTTGTTAAAAATTACAATACATCTGGTAGATATAGACACGTTCCACACTTGAAGTTTAACACAAAATGGACGGAGGAAGAAAAAGCAATCATGAATTGCCCTAATGATTTATATCCTGGATTTACGGATTGGGATTTGGGTGTTATTTTACGAGATGATTTATTATTGAGCAAGTGCTCTTTCTATTGTGTTAATTCTGTTCATGACTTGACCAATTATAAGAAACTCAGTAAGGAGGAATTGAAAGAACAGTTTGGAATTGATATTCAATAATATTTTACAAAGATTCTAATCATCATCACTTTTGTTTTTTTGCTTATTTCAGATTGTTATAGAATTGAAAACAACATTTGCACTGCAATGCTTCATCATGAATGACATGTTGTAAACTGGAAAACCAGGAAAGAACGGAATTAGTTCTTTCAAGTTTCCAAACCATTGAACGGAATAGGAACCCACTAAAAAAATGAGTGGATTACTTCATCTTTTACCCCCGGAAGTACTCACTCACAGTATTCTAGCATTTATTCCTCACAATTCCTTGATTCATCTTAGGTTGGTGTGTTCCGAATTTGATCACTTTATTTGGGATTATTGGAAATGCACAAAAACTTCATATTTAATACATTTCCGAATGTTTGATCAGCAATTCATTCGGATTGCACAAACCTACCTGAGTAAACTTCCCAAACTTCGGTCCATCACTCTACAAAATTTAGAGGAGGCCAACCAAAGGTTCTACGACTTGGAAGGTGATGGTTTGATCAAAGGCTTGAGTTATTTAAATAATATTGAATATTTGGATTGTCATAAATTGATCAAGGTAAAGCCATCATTTGTTGAAGAGTTGGCAGAAGGTGGTGATTTGGCCAACACAGTGACCGAGTTGGTTTTGCCACAATTTTGGGCAAAACCTATCCATCTAGACTTTACCCCTTTTAAAAAGTTGAAACGATTATCCTTTGTGAAGGGTGTTGATGAAGGTTTTGTTGGCATTGCTGGTATACAGTTTCCACCTTCATTGGAGTATTTCATGTTTGGATTCACGGCCAATAACCAAATATTAGAACCATTGAGCCAATGTAAGAATTTGAAAGAAATTGTGTTACCAGAAATAATATCGTGGAGTAGTATTTCAAAACTGTTAAAGCATTTGGATTTAAATAGTATTATAATGAGAGGTGTAGATGCTCAAACTTTCCCTCTCCAAGAATCTACTCAATTTTTAACAAATGTTAATACTCTCCAATTTACTGCAAGCAGGTTCAACTTGAAGCCTTTGCAAAGTTTAAAATATTTAGAAAACTTGACTATTAATTTTTCTAGAGACAAGAATATTGATCTGCTGCACAGTGCACTCAGTGGATTGACCAACTTGAAGAGTATTGATTTCACTTTCGACGAAGATACCAACTATGAATCTAAAAAGACTTTTCCCCCTGTAATGTTTTCAAAATTACACACTTTGAAAATTAAGAATTGTTTATCGAGCAAGGCAATTATGAGTTTAATTGTCTTTCTATGCAGTCCTTCTCTCAAGGAGATATCCCTATGTGATGAATATATTTATGACGATATAGTGTCGAGCCCATTATTATGCCTAAAGAACTGTCCACTACTTGAAAAAATGGTTATAGATTTACCTTCTAGTTACCTTTTAGACGTATTTAAATTTTTCAAAGAATCAAACACAGTGAAATTGAAAGTTCTAAAGGGATATTCATTTGATGAAAAATTAATCGATATGTGTCCCAATAAGCACACTGTAGAAGAATTGGAAACGTCAAATAATATAGTAGAAGCTTTGGATTTGAGAGAATTTTCCAACTTGAGAAAAATGACATTGAATAACCATGATGAGGATGTGATAATAGAGCTCCCAAATTCTTTGCAACATTTGAAAATAGAAAATCTTCATTCATCCTCTAATATTTTAAAACAAATAGCTAGACTTCCATTTCTAAAGACTTTGAATTTAGTTATACACAATCTTAGGGATGAAGATTTAATAGAAATGATTGAGAATATGGATGACAATCCTCCAATAAGCTCACTTATCATCAGATATTCAGAGCATTTAACAAATTCTATTATTGGTCCCCTAGAAAGAAAGATGGTCAATTTAACAACTGTTCTTATTGATGACTGTCCAAAAATTAGAGATTGTGGTGAAATTACATTGCTCGAATATGAAAAGAGATTTGTATTTTCATCTATCTATTCTGAGTTTGAGCAACCTCCAGTTGAACGTTTACATTTATTTGTCAAGAATAATTTAGGAAATTTAGATGGTACACCAGAAACTATCATAACAAAGATGAAATCTCAAATTGAATTATTAACATCTTCCGGGAAACTGACAGAGTTGTATTTCACACTTGTTGAATTTATATCTAGAGGCTATTTGAGTGGTGCTGATTGTAAAACTACATGGTTCTTTTACAAACACATTATTAACACCTATACTGAAAACCAAAACGACAGAAGTACTCAAAGAAATACTCAAAGATATCTTATAGATAGAATTATTCACCAAATTTCAGATGAGTTTATGGATGGGCATAGAGAGGAAATTTTGGACTGTCTTTCTAAAAATCTTCATCGATTTTTCAGCAGATTTTCAGATGTGGCAATAATATTGTTGAATCATAACCGTTATGAACAAGTTTTGAAATATCTGCCATTTGTTGGTCTTATTAGACTCAATCCTGTTTGCCAAGAAGTGATGAAGTTATTTGTGGAGGGAAAATTAAGACTATTGGATTACTATAGTTTATCAATTATCGAACGTGTGATGGATCTTTTCTGCCGTTCTGGAATATCCGTTGAGTATGTAAGATTGCTCGAATCATTCTTCCAACTAGTTGTCCAAACATACTTGATCAAAACTCCTTCATTTCCTAATGCTAACGACCTGGATAAGTTGGATGAAATCCAAAATAATATAGTACAACACCAGCCGGCTATTGAAAATGATTACGTAGATAATTATGTTCAAAGAGTAGCTATTCCTTCTTCCTCATCTGAACAAATGGAATTATCTATTGATGAATTGGTGAGATTATTTTCTCCTCATTTTGCAGAAAGTGAATATACTAGGATTAACATTTCACCTAACGAGTTCAAGACTAAAAAATTCACCATTGAAGGGCATGAATGGCTACTTTCAATTGATGAATCAGTTACCTTCAAACTAATACTTTCTAAGCCAAAATTAGAATCTGGAATATTATTTGGTCATACCATAGCCCACTGTTGTATTATTTTCCCAAGTGGAATGACCAATTTCCATGTGTTTACCAACAAATTCATACCACAGTCTGACTATTCTTACAATAACCATGTCTCCTTCCCAGAAGAGCCATTCATTCTTTGTATGAAAATAGTTGAGAGCAAGTATTACACAGTGGAAGAAATTACCTCTTTATTGGGGGATAAAACTATTCAAGAACCTGAAGTGAAAGCGTTGATAACAAAATCTGCTTGGCTTGCAAGAAAAATTCACAAGAATAGGCTAGTTCAGTACAAAAACGTTAGAGTTATTACTACCACTGATCTATCAGACCATGCATTTGCCAGCCAAGAAATGGATATATTTGGATCTAAGCACATTCTATACATACGACCAAATGTTGAAGGATATTTTTACATTGACTTTGGAACGTATTTGAGCTCATCTCCACATTTAAAATTGAGTTACCTCATTGCTAATGAAACTTTGGATGAGGAATCAATTGCTATTTCCAAAATTAACAAACCACTATACGAAACTCACGATCTTAACTTTTTGATATTTGGTTATGAAAATATCGCTATAAGAGGCAAATCTAACATATTCGAACAAGGTATTTACAAACCTAAAATCATCACCAAAGAAAATGGCAATACCTATTATCAATTTACTGTTCATTTGGTTATTGTCTTGGAGGATTCTCTAATTGGTTTCGAACCAGTGTTTTCAACAAACAGGCTTGCTGGATATGACAGTAGTGAATTTAGTGATGATGATGATCTCGATGTATATTAGACTGTTGTCAACATGCCAAGTGATTCATCTTTGCATAAGATATTTGCATTCTCAAAAATCTCCTTCAAATCCAGAAAGTACTTGGGTATTGAATAGTTGCACTAGAAAAAATGTCATCTCGCATTACTCTCCACCATCCCACCTTCTCTGAACAAGAAACTAAATACCATCAAATAATGAATAATTTGTTGGAGAATTTCACACATACTCTTCCTCTTCTCTTACAACAACACCATTTGATTTTCAAAGAATTTTATAAGTTTGAAGAATCTGGAGGAGTCATCAATTCAATATTCATGATCCGAGCTGTTAGAGAGGGAACTCTCGAAGGTGTTGAACTGGTTTTGCGAATTTCCAATTGTCACACTTTCTGGAAAGGAATTTCTGTTCGGAATGAAGTCAAATGCATTCTATTTGCTGAGAAAGCTGGAATACCAACACCTAAAATTGTTTCCTATTCAGATAATGCTGAAGAGTCCCCTCTTGGTTGCGAATATATTTTGCAAGAGAGGGCAAAAGGACAAACTTTGGCAAACTCTTGGAGATTTCTCTCAATCAAACAGAAAGTTCAGCTTCTTGAGGAGTTGATCGTTATTGTTGGAAAATTACACACAAATTCCGAGAATAAGAAGGATGATTATCAAGTTGGATCCTTGTTGGGAAGTGAAAAGAGTTCTCTTGGAGTAATTGTTGGTGATTGTGCTCCATTGGGACCTTTCAAGAATTTGAAAGAAATGGTCATTGAGCAAATAGATTTCACTCTGAATCAAATTTCGAATACTGGAGAACAAGTTCATTATCCTCATTATCTTGATTTTGTTTCTCTTCATTCAGAACCTCTTCTTGATTTGAAATCCAAACTGTTGCATACAGATGATGGAGTGGAAGATCCTAATGTCTATCAATTTTGTCATTGTGATTTGAATGCATCGAATATAATGATCAAAAGCAATGCATCCTTAGATACAGCAAAGGTATCTGCCGTTCTTGATTGGCCACAAAGCAGATTCACTTCAGTTGTAAAGGAGTGTGAAACTCTAGCTCATTGGGCCTGTCTTTTAGAAATGCTGAACAAGGACATGCCCGTTTCAGATATGGAAACATCATTTGATGATAAACAAGTCAGATCCAAAGTAATAGAAATTATCGTCCCAATTTGGGAAAAGAATGGTATAAATGTTACCATTCCAGACGAAACTACATTCACACGACACCAAACCTATCTCAATATTTTATATTCTATTCCAAGATTGTACTTTTTCACAAACAGTTGGTTTCATGGCTTGATGAAAATGGGCAACTTTGACCTGCAACTTGGCTACAGAGACGAACCATTTGATGGCAGTGAGGAATTGAAACAATTGTTAGAGGATATTAAAAATGTTCTGTTAATCTTCTATTTCGTACACTTTCAAGTTCACCATTACCTTCAAAAGGTTCACCATCTCACAAAACAAAATACCAAAAAAATGTTTTCACAACTACCCTCTGTAAATTCTGTTTTATTTGGTGGTGGCTATCCATCACAACTATCTCCAACAACTCCTCCTTTCGGTGGTGTTAATTTGTTTGGTGGTGCTTCTTCCATGATGAACAACATAAATAATGGCTTAAAGTTGACTGTTAGAGAACCTACTGCAGAGGACACAACCCGATCATTGATCATGATGATGGAAAAAGTAAATATTGGATCATCATCAGGTGGTGGTGATGTGTCATCAAATATTGAAAGTTTGTCAGCAAATGAAACTAGCCAATTATTGAATAGACTTCCGAATATTGCATCTGAAGTGGATGATTGCAAGGATTTCTTCATGAGGTTTGTTTTCTTTTACAATAATAATTTACAATTTAAATAATTTAATATCTTATATTATGAATTAATCAAAGAGAAAAATCGTTGAAAGCACCAATTACTGCAGAGATCAATAATGTACCCTTTCCACCGGAAATGAATTTGGAGAAACCAAAAGAATTGATTGAAGAGGAGGAAAAGATTTTAGGATCAGAGTTGAGTGTGATTCGTTATTCGCCTGAAGGTGTGTTGGATCGTTCAGTGCCATCGATCACTATTACCTTCTCTCAACCGATGGTTCCTGTCAGCAGTATTGATGAAGTAATGGATACAGTTCCAGTGGATGTTTCTCCTCTTCCAAAAAAAGGAGGTCAATTCAAATGGTTGGGCACAAAAACTCTAGTTTACGCAGCCAAATACAGATTTGACATGTCCACCAAGTATACAGTCACTGTTAAGAAGGGAACCAAATCAGAAATTGGAGGAATTTTGAAAGAAGATTTGACATTTAGTTTTGAAACTCCAAGATTATCTTTAATCAGCTCCCTTCCTTCTGATCACACTATTCATCCTCTGAATGAAGTTCCAATTTACTATTTAGAATTCGATCAAGACATTGATCCAAGTGAAGTTATCAAATTCATTTCAATTAATGAGAATAGTAATTTAGCCACCTTAATTCATGACGGCAAGAGTTCAAATCCTCTCGTACAGGAGTTCATCCTCAAAGCACTCAAAGATTTCGACTTGGAGAAGAGGGATTATCATACTTATGAAGCTTACAAACGAAAACTCAAAAATGCTCCAGAGAAACGACATTTGTGGTTCCATGTTAGTAATTATCTTTTTGGAAACTCTGTAAAGGTGAGTATCATGAGCGGAGTTACAGGAACAGAAGGACCATTGCCAACACTACATTCTCATATCACCACTGTAAATAATTATCCTGCGTTCGAGTTTATCAAAAAGTATGGAGGAGAGCTCCCAATGCAAGCTTTTAGTTTGCAATTCACAACTGGCATTGATTTGGAAAAATTGACAGAAAATATGTTCACTGTTTCACCACCAATTGAACGGATGTCATTAAATCCATTTGGAAATAGTATTAGCATCTCAGGTAAAATCAAAGGAAGAACAACATACAAGGTTTTCGTAAAGAATCTTGTCGATGTTTGGGGGCAAGTGCTTAAAGACCTTACTGTAGAATTTCAAGTTAAAGGTGCACGCCAATCAATCCAAGCATTCAAAACCGGTGTTATTGTTATGGATCCAACATTGAATCCAAGTCCATCTTATCCTATTGTAACTGTAAATTTGGATGCTGTACGTTGCAGGGTTTACCAGGTCAATCCATCCACGATGTTCAATCATTCAGTACTCAGATTCCAAACAGACGCTACCATTAAATATCCTGGCACTCTAGTTTATGATGGAATCATATCAACAAAGGGAGAAGTTGACGAACCAGTCGAAACTGAAATTAATCTTCAAGAATATCTTCAGTATCCATCTGAGAGCATTGGCCAATTGTTGGTGGTTGTTGAAGCTGAAATGAATAGCTGGAAAGCTTCATGGAACACTCGACCTGGTTATGTTTCATGGATTCAAACAACGAAGATTGCAGTTGATTGCGTTATTGATAATAACTCTTCAATTGCCTACTATTGGGTAAATTCCTTAATTGATGGCAGTATTATTAAGGACAATGTGACCTTCCACTTTAATAATCATACAACAAGTTCACCAGATGCAAAAACTGGAATTGGTTGTATTAAAAATATTTCTGGAAATAGTTATGGTTCCTGCTCTTTGAATGCCATAGCAACTCATGGACATGACACATGTTTCATTCCAGATGTATATTATGCCAGAAATGCGTTTACTCCTCAAATAACTGCCCATATTTTCAATGATAGAGGATTGTACAAGCCAGGTGAGACTGTCTCTATTAAGGGTTACGTAAGAAGATTTAATTTGAAAGGAAATGTTTTTAGCATTGATATTCCAACAAATTCTTCCACTTACACAATTTTAGATGCCAGACAACAACGATACGAATCAGGCAAAGTACAATTAAGCTCTGATGGTACATTTAATATTCAATTCAAAGTTCCAGATAATGCCAACTTGGGAAGTCACACAATTATGTTCTCTGATTTTTCATCAAATCACGCATTCAAGGTTCAAGAATTTAGAACTCCAGAGTTCAAATCAAAATCTTCAGTATCACCTGGAAATTACATTGTTGGTGGATCTGCCATCTGCACAACCAATGCAGATTACTATAGTGGAGGTGGAATTTCAGGAGCCAAATGCAGATACACTATCAAACAAACTACCAGCAGCTACACTCCTCCAAATCAATCCTCATACACTTTTGGAACGTCTCTCAATTTCTTTGGAAACGACTTTGTAAAGCAACTTTTCTCGGCCAACTCAAATGTTGGTGTTACAACCTTTGAAGGTACAACAGATGGTGATGGAGAACACCAAATTGCAATTGCATTTGAGGAGAGTAATCGTGTAAAGAAGGCTCCAATCACCATTTCTGTAGAATCTACAGTTCAAGATATCAATAGACAAACAATGACATCATCAGCATCCTTCCTCGTTCACCCTTGCAAATATTATTGTGGAATCAAGTTGAGTCGAGAATTTGCAAAACAAAATGTTCCTATAACTGCCTCTTTGATTGTTACAGATATTGACGGAAATTTGGTTTCAGGAATACCAATCCAATTGAAAGTCACTACTCAAGTGAATGTCAAGAAAGGATACAAATATGCTTCTGAAACTGTTGAAGTTATTGATAAGGTTTTCATATCGGAAAATGAACCAATTGAATATTCTGTCAAATTTGAAAAAGGTGGCAACTATTCATTTTCTATTGGTATTGTTGATTCTGCTACAGGACAAACAAACAAAGCATCAACAAGTTTATTTATCACTGGATTTTCTGCAAGAGAAGTTTTGATAGGGAAGAAACAACTCACTCTTCTTACAGATAAGAAAGAATATCAAGTTGGAGAAAAGGCCAAGATTCTGATTCAATCTCCATTTGATTCCAAAGCTGAAGGCGTACTGTTTACACAACTTCATGGAATTCATCGTCAATATCCAATTCAAATTGATGCTGATCTTGGTTATACAGAATTTGAGCTTGGAATTACTCTAGATCACATTCCAAATGTTAAAGTAAGTGTTGAACTCTCAGGTTCTGAATCAAGAGTAGATGCCACGGGCACTGTTTTAGATTTACCAAAGCAACCTGCTTTTTCATCAGGTTCTTGTGATATTGAGGTTTCAAAAAATTCAAGAAGCTTATCTGTGGAATCTAAACCTGAAAGAGAATATTTGACACCTGGAAGTGAAACCAGTATCAGTGTACTAGTTAAGGATCCAATGACTGGAGCTCCACAAGAAGGATGTGAAGTGTGTATCATTGCTGTGGACGAAGCTGTACTCTCTCTCACCAACTACTCCATCAGTAATCCACTAGATACCTTTGTTACACCATACAACACTACTTATCAACCTTACTCTCTCAGAAATAATGTATTTGTAAAGAGCTATCAGGGAATAATATTCCAAGAGGAGCAAACTTATACCACCACCAATTCCCTGTTTGGAACTTCTCTTACTAACTCAGGTTTTTCATTTTCTCATAATCATCATAGTTATCCGATGCAAATGCAAATGCAACAAATGCCAGCATCTGATCCATTTTCTCCTTCAGTCCAATCGTATGGTGGCTTTGCGTTTGGTAGTGCAGCATTTGCTGGTATGCCAGTACCTGAACAACCAATGATTGCAGTGAGATCAAATTTCAATCCATTGGCAATCTTTAGTCCATCTAGTAAGACAAATGCAGAAGGATTCACAAGTGTAAAATTCAAGATACCTGACAATCTTACAAAATATAGAATCACAGCAGTTGCTGTTAAGGGTGATTGGAATTTTGGAATTCATGAATCTTCCATGATAGCTCAACTTCCATTGTCAATTAGGCCATCTCTTCCTCGATTCTTGAACTTTGGTGATAGAGTAGAATTTACATGTGTTTTACAAAATCAAACTCAATTGAATTTGGAGGTAAATGCAGCTATCAATTTTACCAATTTGAACTTGTTGGATGAGTCAAAGAAGGGCCTCAAGATTAGGATTCCAGCTTTAGGAAGAACTGAATTGAGATTCCCAATGTCAACCGATAGAGTTGGTATTGCACGATTCCAAATTGGTGTGTCGATTGCCACAATCGGAATTAACTTTTCTGATGCCATTGAAAAGGAAATTAGAGTATTTACACCTGCCACTACTGAAGCATTTGCCACTTATGGTGAAATGGATGGAGATTCTTCTGTTTTCCAACCTGTTAAGGCTCCTCCAAATGTTTTCACTCAATTTGGAGGCTTAAAGATTTCTACTAGCTCTACTGCACTTTCTTCACTCACTGACAGTTTCTTATACTTGTACAATTATCCATACGAATGCAGTGAACAAATTTCCAGCAGATTACTTTCCATTATTTCTTTGAAAGACATTCTTCTTGCATTCAATTCACAACAAATTCCTAGTAAGGAAGCAATCGATAATAATATCAAACATGCTCTTACTGCCTTAGAAGCAAGACAATTTCCAAATGGTGGATTTGGATACTGGTCCTATAATAATAATTATCGTATCAGTCCATATGTGACCTGCCATGTTGGCCACATGCTTGGACGTGCCAAGATTGCAGGATATTCAGTGAATGAAGGAACCCTCTCAAAATTAATTCCAGTATTGAGAAGTATTGAAAATTATTGTATTGAACTTGATTATTCTGAGGAATCTATTAAATCTACCAAGGCTTATGCATATTATGCTTTGGCTTTGTTGGGTGATTCTCAGGTCAAGAATTTAGCTGAAAAACATTACCAAACCTACAAATTGAATGGAAACTTTGAACATTTAGCTTGGTTGGCCACTGCCATGTATTTATCTAATAATAATAGAGCTACCGCCTCAGCCAATCAAATCATTGAACATTTGAATAAGCATGTTAATGAAACTGCACAAACTGCCAACTTTATTACAAGTTATGGTGATGTACTGTCAACTAAACATGTCATGTTACATAGTGACAGAAGAACTGACGGAATTTGTTTAGAAGCTCTTATTAATATTACTCCTAACAATTATCTCATTCCAAAGATTGTTAAGGGATTGCTAGCTCACAAAAAGAAGGGTCGTTGGGGAAATACTCAAGAAAACGTTTTCATTCTTCTTGCTCTCAATACCTATTTTAATGTTTTCGAAGGTGTGACACCAGATTTTGTGGCCAACATGTGGTTGGGTGAAGATTATTGTGGAGAACAAGTGTTCAAGGGAAGATCCAAGGATGAAAATCAATTAAATATTCCAATGAGTTTGTTGGAATATGAAAAAAAGACTCTTGCCATCTCAAAGCAAGGTCCTGGAAGATTATATTACAGAATTGGAATGGAATATGCACCAAAGAATTTACTTGTTGATGCATTGGATTATGGATTTGAAGTTCAAAGAACCTATGAACATGTTACTGATTCTTCTCATGTTTCATTTGATAAGGAAAAGAATACTTGGAGATTTAAAGCTGGAGAATTGATTCGTGTCAAGTTGACCATGACAAATACCAGTCGTAGATATCATGTTGCCTTAGTTGACTATTTACCAGCTGGTCTCGAACCAATCAATCCAGAATTGAAAGGAACTCCAGAGATTTCCTCTCTCAATGGAAGTAAAACCAACAAACCAAATTCTTGGTGTTGGTGGATTAATCCAATCTGGTACGAACATCACAACATTAGAGATGAAAGAGTCGAAGCATTTACTTCACTATTATGGGAAGGCACTCATCAATTCACATATATTGCCAGAGCAACATCCATTGGTTCATTTGTGATTCCTAGTGTAAAGGCAGAGGAAATGTACACTCCTGAAATATTTGGAAGAAGTGCTACTGAATTTGCTGAGGTTTATGAATAATAAATTTTATCCAACAAGTCATTCCACTACAACCAACATTTGAAAATAATTATTGGTGGATTGATGAAGGTGGTTGTAGATTTTCTAAAGAACATAACATCGACATAAAATGTTGTATATAAAATCTTCGTAAGGCGGCTTAGCACAGTGGCAGTGCATCAGTCTTGTAGGCAGAAATGCTGAGATAACTGAGGGTCGAGGGTTCAATTCCCTCAGTCGCCTTTTAGCATTTTAATCTCTTTCTTTGAAGTACTGCTCTCTCTTAACACTGCTATTTTTAATAGCATTGAAATTCAAAGACTTCCTTAGTTTTCCTCAAGTTAAAAACTTGGCGGAGACACATGCTGTGCTAAGCCATTCAATCATGTTCAATCATTGAATCTTACTAATTTGGAGCGGTTTTCTAAGGCCGCAATGTACGGTTATTCTAATCTGGAACTTTAACTTTCCACATTTCAACTTTTACATTGAAATGATTGAAGAAAAAAAACAAATCACATCCCCAACAAGATGTTCCATCGCCACAAGTCTGGAATTTATCTCCCGCTTCTTGCCCTTCTTGCTTTTTCGCTCGTGCTAATTTTTGTTCACATTCACGCCAAGGAATTTGATGTGAAGAATTTAGCAAGAACAACCACGGAACAAGATTGTACTAGGAAACAATTCGTTTTTATACCTACACCTGATAGTTCTCATGTTAGAGATATGTCAGATGTTGCAAAAGCTACAAGTTTGATTTTAAATGCCAAATGTAAAGGATTTAATATTTCCCAAGTTAAAGTTTTGACAGTTTTTATATGGAAGAGTGTGTTGGAAGAAATTGCCAATAATTCAATGAGTGAATATTTCCCACATGAGCAATATTTCACTCCAACTTTGATGTATGATATTAAGGATTCGAAAGTTAAAGCTAAATTGAAAGAAATGGATGGTTTTAGAAAGAGTGAAACTTCCAAAATGAAAAGATATGTCATGGGTATCGATATCTTGTCAGTTGCCTATTCAACTATCATTCAAACAATTGATAACATGTTTGAACAAGATTCTGAAATGAGGTCAATTAAGGAAGAACGTCCAGAAGATATTTTATTTGTGATTGACATGACAGCTCATTCAGCAGTTGATTACGTCCAAAGAGAAGGTTTTAATTTTGTCATTGTAAACATTATGCCATCTGTCATTTTCAATCACCACACTCCTCAATATATTGGCAGATTTCCCTTCACCACAACAAGTCTTGCAAAACTTGAAAGAATTTACAGAGAAGAAGGAATTTTCAAATATTTACTGACACGTCTCTATGAAGAAGTTTACATCCAAGGTCAAATTATTCTCCAGGGAATTAAATCGATTCAAGAATTGAATTCTGACAGGCGAGCAAACAACATGACAGAAAAGAATGAAATTTTATTCACAACCTCAGAAAAAACTTTCATTCACTTTACAGCTCCTGGAGTTTTGGATTATAGTTATGCAATTTCACATAATAATCGATTTGTTGGTTATAAGGCAAAATCAAAGAAGGATCACAAACTTGTTGGAAAACCAAAATTATTCGACAATTTGGGAGAATCTAATTTTACAATGTTCAATGAGAAGAATGATAATTTAATGGATGATGAGATGGTGGCATGGTTGGATGATCAATTGGAAAGAAAATTCTCAATTGTTTATGTGGCCTTTGGAACTAAATTGGAAATTTCTCATGAACACATTACAACAATTTTGAATTTTATTGTAAAATCTGATGAGAATATTCGAGTTATTTGTGTTCATGAAGGACATGCCAAGTTAAATTTGTCTGAATCAGTTTCTAGTAAGATTCTGTTCCAAACATGGGTCAATCAGGAGTTAATTCTTTCACATTCGGCTACTTCAGTTTTTGTAACACATGCAGGAGCTCACTCACTATTTGAAGCAGTTGATAATCAGGTTCCAATTTTGACATTCCCAATATTTGCCGATCAATTTTCCAACTCTGTTCGTTCAGAAGATTTAGGATTTGGATTTGACATTTCTGAAGATATTTACAATCGAGATGAAAAGTCATTTGTCAAGAGCATGAAAACAGTTTTGAGAGATAGAATGGAAATTAAGAAGAGAATGAGAGAAATTATGAGAATTAATCAAAATGCTGCCAAGTTGAGCATTTCAACAATTCAAAGTTTTGGAGAATCATTCAAGAATGTCACTGAAATAGTTTCGAATAATGTGCTGACTGCTGGTGAAATTATCATTGATGTTGCTTTTGATCATTTGGATGAACATTTGAGAGATGTTTCCACCAAACTTTCTTGGTATATTCAACTTAATATTCCATTGATTTTCGTTAGCTCAATTGCTCTTTCACTTCTTTTCCTAACTTTCAGATGTTGTTTTGGAAGAATTAAGATTGAAAACATGAAAAAGAAATAAAACACTTTCTGATGAAAGTCCACATTCAATATGTGACACAAAATTGCTCGAATGATGTTGTTCATTCTAGGAAGAAGCATTATATCTTTAGGACATTTTTGAAGGAGAAAAAAATAGGGCTCAAACTGAGGCTTCTAAAAAAGGAAATACATAAAATTTTAAAAAAATAAAAAATGCTATATTCAAGCAGGATATCTAAACTACCATTATATGAAAATTGAACGAAAAATAAGGAATATTGAACTAGAAAATATAAAAATTGCTTCTCGAGTGCCGGAATA